ATATATATATATATATATATATATATATATCACATGGATAATCATCTTCTCTTATTTCCTTTCATTCTGAATCTCATTCGCTGTACTGAAAACCTCATTGCTTCATTTACTTCTATTACTCAATGGAATTCAGAATTCAATTGCAATTGATATGCTCCTCTTCACCAGGAGTAGTACATCCATCACCATTTCTACTTGAATAATTGTTTAGGATATTATATTACGTACAGTACGTATTGCTCGTTGACCTATGACCCTGTAGGTCCTGTAACGCGATTCTCAGTATCCTTGACTTTTTTTTAACAATAAAATAATTTATAATTAATAGTTTGAAGAAAGCGAAGGTACGAGATTCGATTTTTTGATCAGCTAAAGCTTTTGATAATTAGCGATCTCGCCCGATCCCTTCATAAATGGAAATATGCATTAATTAAGAGTACAAAAATTTAGATAGGATATATTAAAGATACTTGTGGATCGTTGCAGATACAGTGTAATGTAATGAATTATGTTTACGTGAGACGTGATGTAGAAGGGTTCGTAACAAGATGGCGGTTTTATCGTCAGGTATAATATTACATATACATACACATAAAGTTTTAGCGGAATTAACTGGTAGGAATATACACATGCATTCATGCGCATTGCCACATTCATGTTCTGCATTTTCTTTTTTTCTTTCTTTCTCTTTATTCATTAATTTTAGCATTTACGATTTAAGTTCTTTAGGCACAACGTACTTGCTGCCACTTCATTCTGGATGTACGAGGAAAAAAAACTGACAAGTAGAGCATATAATCGATAACAATGGAATTTTATGGAATTATTAGTGGTTTGGTCAACTAAGAAAAAAGACGTGTAATAAATCGTTATGGTCGCTTCGATCGAAATTCCAATGCTTTTTGGCTTCATTGAAACTACTACAAAGGCCAGTGTCGATGATCTGTGAGAATTGCAGTTGATAAATGATGTCAGAGAAGAACTAAATTAACGATCAAGGACACACCTGTGAAAGTATCTACAAGATTAAAGTGAAGTTTAAAGAAAAGGAAACTTATCGTTATAAAGATAATATATCAATCTTTAATATAAATCAGGTGAAAGCTATCGGTTGACGTTTTTACTACACACGAAAAAGTTGAACTAAAGTGACGCATTACAGAGAGCAATTTTTCTACATACTTCAAATCTTCGTTTGAAGCCTCGACGTGAGATGTCTTGAATATATTTACACATGATTCTGGATCTTAAATATTACTGTGAACGATAACATCGTAGGGGGTTCAAAACGAAGATTTGGCGGGATGCAATATTCCGTTAATAGTAGCCCGATGATAAAATCACATAAAAAAATCTCAGCCAATCGAATAAAATTTTCACGGTTCAAATTGATAATCTAGAGATTTTTTCTTTAGTCATGTGTATATATATATATATATATATATATTTCTTGTTATATCGAGAGACTATGATATGCATAGGTATATCTATATATACATATACAAATAGTACTCATCCATGTTCAAATCAAAAGCCGATCATTTTACTGTTTTGCAGATGAACGTAACAGATAATTCTTGTTATATCGAGAGACTATGAATTTTCACGGTTCAAATTGATAATCTAGAGATTTTTTCTTTAGTCATGTGTATATATATATATATATATATATATTTCTTGTTATATCGAGAGACTATGATATGCATAGGTATATCTATATATACATATACAAATAGTACTCATCCATGTTCAAATCAAAAGCCGATCATTTTACTGTTTTGCAGATGAACGTAACAGATAAAGGATCGATATAGTGATACTACGTATAAACGAATTCACAAACATACAAAGAGATGTTTTTGTGGCATGCAAAGTGATAGGAAGAGGTAGAGAACAATTTTACCAGAGACGACCGACTGCTGCAGCGTATATTGCATCCCACAGTGTAGTGCCGTACTCAGTGTCAACGGAATACATGAATTGAATGAGGTATTGACCGATGACATAAGGGGATGCGAAAGCAACAAAAGTGATGATATAGAAGTGCCAGAGAGGGAAGTGAAGAAATGGATGTAAACAAAAAGAAAGAAGAACAGTACGTAAGAAAATAGTATTAGTATAGTTAGTCTTGCGGCCATAGCGCCTATCCCTCCATATAATATTCCCCTATGCTATTTTTTTTTTTTTTTTGGTGAACGCTTGAAGATCTCCATTCATTCTGCGCGAGTACTCACTTGGGAAGTTGCGTTCATCACCGTTCTGTAACGGTGTTATTACTGTAATAGGTAATAAAGATACTCGTCGAGATTCACTGGACGATAGAAATACAGAACAGACGTCCATTTAAGGATTCATGTTGCTGTCATTAGGCACAGCACACACTCGGTGGAATGGAACGGACTGCAGCAGCGCGTACAAATCCCTAAGGTACAATCGTTCTGGGTGTCTCATGTGGTTTAACGAATACATTGTAGTGAAGTGAATGATATATTTCTTTTGGTTAACTTATGGCGAGTATTACGAGATTATGATTGTGTACGATTGTTGGAATTATATAGTGGATATATGTTATAGGGAAACGCAAAGGACTTTTGATATCATGCTACAGCTACAGCCAGGTCCTAGGAATCGTTTGCCTTGTAGCGACGGAGTTGGTGATCGTGATGGGTGATGAAGGGTGATGACGTTGGTCAGGTTGGCAAGCCTTACATGAATCAGGATGTGGCTTCTCCTCGGCCACCATCAGGGCTGCGCTCTCAGCTGGCGGTATGTGTCCCTCTAACGCATTCACACAGTTTAGCACGCTCCTGCAAAACATCACGCCACTTGTCCAAATTTTCCGCTTCTTCAAACATATCCATTGGGCTTTTCGTCGCTCTTAGTCTTAGAGAATTATTAGAGTACTCGTGTCTGGTACCCATAGAGATAGATAGACAGACACCCTTGGGACATGCACGCTAGTTTATTGTAATCTCTCTTTTCTTCCTGGTGCTGGACGATCGTGCTAGTGAGTTTCTTGTTTGTGGTGGTTTCTTTTTTTTTTTCTTACTGTCCAGCACGCTTGCAGTTACAATTAACTGGATTTAACGTTCGCGGCATTTTTAAACGTAAAAATAAGATTCAGTTTGATCAGTGAGCTTATCGTGCTTCTTTGTGATTTATTGCAAACATACGTAGATCAGTGCTGTATGGTGTTGCAAGATAAACTTACTGCTGCTGTTTCTATGTGCACGAAGAACCATAAGAATTCATAGAAAGACTTTTACGAACTCAACGGTACCGTTCCTTTCGTTCAGTTTATCTATGAAATTCATATGGTAGAATAATACACGTTTACAGTGTATCGTTTTACAGTAACGTGAGGGTAGGAATAAATGATATATGGTGTATAGTATATCCGATATACTATGATAATGGTACAGTGATATAACAAGAATAAAGGTATTAGAAATCTCTTAAGGGCGTCCTCGAACCCTGCCACCTCGTTTGAGTTACTCGCTCTTCCGGTTTCACATATATACGAAAGGAATAATCCATTTCACAGTTTCTATCGTTTCAGTCTACTCGCAATATACATCACTGGCCTGTGTAGTAGAAGATTTTTCATCTGGCGTATTATAGTTTCTCTTAATGCCATATACGTCCATTAATGAAAGACGCGCGCTCGACGTTCCAGCATCTGTCAGAGAAGTAACAACGGTCAGCGCTACGCGCATGCGCCCAGACAATAAACGTTGAGAACGACGCACAGTGGAAGAAAAGTAAATGGAGAAACGAATAATTAAATAAACAAACTGATTTATTTTACAACGTGAAATATTCGAGTCTTAATTGGTGATGCCGAAATATTCGTAATTATAATAATTAATTATTTGGCCGCTTTAAGAAAAAATTTGGCGCATTTAAGTGGTATTTTCATAAGTTACACAGTCTGTATCCGTTTTCCGGTATTTCTGTCCTATTATGTAATAAGTGCCTACAACATCTCTAGTAACAATATTTTCAATAATATTATGCGAACGACAGTGATTAACCCTCTAATATCATTTTTTTATTTTCATCTATTCATCTCAATCATTGACTCAATCTCCTTTTCTCTTTCCCTCTGCTTCCGAATGAATGTACAACTGTCGCCGTATTCAATTACTCTTTTCTAATTAAAATTATGGTTTATCAGTAGCTTGGGTATGGTTGGCAGTGGTGGCGTCAGATAGGACGGTCTCCTTGCTAGAGTAAGTGGCGAGCTCCTCTTCCCTGCAATAGAATAACGTTACATGGCTATCAAGCCTGAAATCGTTCATCTTCGTGTTCATTTACGATTTCATCCGATCCCAATTGATTCCATACAAATCGATTATAACAATATCCTACTGTTATCCGATCTTATATGATGTCTACATGCTAAATCGCGATAATGATGATAGAACAACCCTGTATCATCCCTTGAATTTGTTTCAGAGAACGGGAGGAAGTGTCAAGGGTCCGTCAACGTTTGATCACTAGTCAAAGTAAATAAAAAAAAGTTCTTAATCCCGATCATAAAATCGTACGAGAATTAATTTTATTTATATTTTTTATATATTTTCAGGATGTACCCGTTCTTCGTCACGTCCTTCTCAATCGAGTCGATCCTCCCGTCTCTTTTGTATTAAAAAGAAAGTCCTGAGCGCCATTGTGTCACGATGAACCTTTTGCTATTATAACCCTAAGCACATGCTAGGTAGACTTACAACGTCAGGGCGTCACGTAACCGGTAACTGAATAATCAGCAAATATAGGCAGTCGTGTTCGTTGAGTGTTAATTAATGTTTTCTCTAAGCTTTTTCTTTTTCCTTTTAGCAAATCATCCCGTATATCATCGTTCACCCAGTATCTGATAGAATGATCAAGTGGTCTGATATAATGGACAGTGTTTCAAGTACAGGGTGATTCTATCTGGATGACTCTTATGCATGGAATTCTAATCGATACCACTGTACAGGTATGAGCAATATACTTTTCACAGAGTTTTCATTAAAAATATATTTTAATTATAAGTGTATAATCTATGATAAATAATCTATCATAAAACTCACTGCTCTACCTAATCTTAAGTAAGCAAAGAATCAGTAACGAATTGAAATATTGTACGACGAACTTAATGAGAATCGTCGTCGAGCGTCAAGCAGGATTAACAAACGAATCGGGTGAATGTTTCGGCAAGACCTTAATCAGCATGAAGAAACGTGAACATAGGTATTGACAATAATATAAAGAACGTATACAATAAACCAGGGATCAAAGGTAGCTCTTTTTACGGGGCTTACGGGATGATAATCCGTAATTAGACTAATATATAAATTGTAAGACAAAACGTGGTAAGCTCATCACAACGAACATTATGGCAGTATTGCAAATTGGCATGATCGCGACGATCGGATTTTGCCGGGTGATTCAAAAGCCAGAATACGTATAATTTAAAGGTCAAGCATCGGCTTTGATTTGTTGCGTCTTGATCAGTACAATTGAATTCTCTGATTTTCTTCTTTTTTTTTTTTTTTCTTAATAATGTATTAAAAAAACTCGATGTAAATACAACATATTGTACATATATTTATATATATCTGTATATACAAATATAAATATATATATATATACATATATATATATATATATGTATATCAGAGAGAGAGAGAATATTACGCCCAACAGTTATTTAATGTAAGCACTAACATGCAGTTCGCATAGCACAGCGCATATTATCGTGCCAGCTATTGACATGAACAGTTTTGAAAAACTTATCTCCTGTCGAACACTCATCAGGTCAAATGGACTATGAGGAGCATGCTATCGAATACAGGGCTCCAGGAAGTCAAGTCAATTGATCTCGGGGCTCTTATGTATTACATATTTTATTATTTTGGATACTATATGCGTCTCCTGACGGTACTTGCTTACTTCTCGCATCATTATCGACGATAATGGACGTGATTGGATATTCTCATATATTTATTTATATAAGGTCCATATACACGCTACATAATAGCCCTGAAGGAACTCATAGAAACTGTGAAATGTATGTTCACGGAAAGAAAAGAAATAATACGATTTATCACATAGGATTATTTAGTGTACCACACGCCAAGTCAAATTAGTACTTAGTCAGGTACAATTCATTTCTATGGTAGAACCAACTTCAATTGGTGGAAAAGGTCCTAAATAATCCTGTATAGTAGAAGAGCTATTCAGTTTCGAATATGCCGACTGAAGTTGGCTTCACCTTGTAGTAGGCATCGAGCGGACAAGTTGCTAACTTCGGTTGGTTCGTTTCGACTGAATAACTCTGTATACATATGTATGTATGTATACATGTAAATAGTAGTTGTCCATGCAACTATAATAATGTATATCTTTCTCGTAATTCAGCCTGGCTCTTTTTGGGATTTAAAAATTAATTCGGCACGAGCTAAGTAAGGACGTAGTATGCATGCCGGATTTTTTTTTTTTACGAAATCCTCACGGCTTCTCGTTAACTGTTGGGATTATTTTCTAAGCGTTTTTCTCTTTTTATAAGATTTTTCTTTTGTATCTCGTATTCGACCTTCTCTCTGTTCTTGTGCAAAGCGCAAATTTTTACGATTCTACGGCGATTTTGTTATCTTTGATTTACAAATGGGATGCTAGTCGTTGGATTCTCTCTTTTTTTTTTTCCATTCTCCCCTTTTACCCGATAAGCCAATACTTTTGGCATAGCTCCTAAAATATTATCGGATCTCTCGTAATGCATGTGGCTTATCTGTTACATATTACACGCGTGGGGTGTACTATTTCTTTTACTTTTTCTCTCTTCGTGTTTTTCTGTAGCCAATAAGTTCATCCCGTTTTGTTCGGGTCGGCGATCGTAAAAGAGAAAAAGTCGCCACGCGAATCCAACGAAGGCTTAAAAAATAATCCCTTTCTGCAAATATGAGTGTTTATATATATATATATATATATATATATATGGGTGATTTTGAGAAAAACTATGATTTTTGTCAAATCTCAATTTTTTAAAATTAAAAAATAATTTTTGGAATAATTTAATGACGTTTCAATGAATAAATGTCCAGTTGGAAATATGTTATTTAGAAATACTGTCAATCGAATCTGTCTAAATCAGTGAAATAATTATTTTTTTAAGGTGTAAAAAATGATCAGTATCGTGGTAAAGCGATCAGTAACCCTGGTACTAAACTTAAATAATTCCTGATCTAATATCGTAGAAAGATGATGTACCGAATAAATTCTACTGCCTATAGAATTAGTGAAAATGTCATTAAATTATTGTAAAAAATATTAATTTCTCAATGTGTGACGAAAATCAGTTTTCTTAAAAATCATCTATATAGGTTCAACGATGCCCTCAAGAAGATTATACATGCTCTCAAAAAGGGTCTGCGCAATAGTAACAAGGAAGTAAACGAAAGGAATAATAAAAACTGAAAGAAAAATGTCAAATGAATATGATAAATAACAAAAAAATATTGTACAAAGCCATCATAACGAACGAAACGTTAGCAGGACTCACCCGTATAGTCTGCTGTCCCTCAAGCTGCTTCTGCTCCACATAACACAGAAAGCATAGTTACGACATGGAGTACACATGATTTTTCTGATTTTCTTTTCTTTCTTTCATTTGCATACACACACACACACACACGCACTCTCTCTCTCTCTCTCTCTCTCTCTCTCTCTCTCTCTCTCTCTCTCTCTCTCTACATACACACAATCTGCGTAATGTCAAAACATACAATAAAATGAAACAATAACAAATAGTACCGGAACCACTAAATAATCATTTATTTTTCGAATAAACGATACACTCACGGTCCAATAAATTCTGTGTAAATAATTATAACGTTAGGATGATACTCGAACAAGATGAGAAACTTATGTGTTTAATTATACGTAACATAATTCGCTGTGTCTATCTTGTATTTTACAGGATCACTTAAAACAGGAGCATCCTCCCCTTCGCGTCCCTGACTTGAGCCAGAATGACGTCAAAGTAATAAGTATCTATTCGATAAGAAGAATTTCATATTTCGTCCTGCCTTGGAATCGAAGCCAAGAAAGTAGCAATGAGATCTGCCATAATTAAAAGGCACAAAATAAAAGAGTACCAAGGTGAGATTACGAATGACAAAAATATCTATTTGTACGAATAAACGTATCACGTTTGTCAACGTGAAAATAATCAACAAGTTGTATACAATTGTGCCGATTTAAATATTATTGCTTGCGTATACGTTACAAGCTGCTAATAGTCACGTGACTGATGGTGCGACGATAAAAAAATATTGAGTATTCAAACTTGTAACGTGCGTTATTTTGTAAATTATTAAAGTGACAATGATTATGGATAATCAATTAATCGATTGGTCAAGATTCTGGCGCTTTTTGTTCGATAGTCATCGTTCAATTATCGCTTATCGATTGAGCATCCTATTAAACTTGTATATCCTCTTGGTCTCGCCTAAAATCGTTAATTACAAACGCGTAACAAGTTATGTACAACATTGCCAGTAAAAGGTACTCTAAATAGGAAGTCAGTAACGATAGAGGAAAAAATAATAAATGGGTCGCATTATTTCTTATCAGTTAAGCCCAACTTGAGAACTTGTACACAATGGACAATAAAACAATTTCGTAAACGATTAATGAAACAAATGGTATATGACATAGACAACAAGTGCTCGACAGATCCGTCAAAAATTTATCACATCTCAATTTTCATGACGACAGCATGTCATGAATTGTTAACTATATCAGCGTTAACGCGCACAAGACGTAGAACCGTCTATGAAAAGTTTTTAAGAAAAAAAATTAATAAAAAAATAAACTTAATAAATACAATGAATATAATATTGAAAGCTAGCTGTCCATTGGCTTACTCGTGTAGGTACTTGGGACTGTACTTGATTGCTTGTTTGCAGCATACCTGTCATTACCATGCCTGAATATGGATAGGATCTCTTCGAAGGTCTTATTCTTGGTCTCAGGAACCCTCTTGTACGTGAAGATCCAAAAGATGGCGAGGAATGCACTGAATGGTAGGAACTTGTAGTTTTCAAGGCTATCCTGTAACACAGTAGAAAAGGGTCCTTGGTTTAGAATGCTATTGAACTTTAATATTGATTCGCAGAACTGAATGTGAGCAAAGTGATGATCTTATGACGTACCATACTTGGAAAACCGATGCCAACCGTGAAATTAGCCATCCAATTAACAAGAACCGCAATGGACATGGCAGCAGGCCTAGGTCCTTGGGAGAAGAGTTCGGCTGTTATCATCCACGGTATGGATCCTGGACCAACAGCAAAGAACACCACGAAGCCGAGTGTCGAGACCACCGACAGGTATGACATCCAGTCTATCATTTCCTGTACGTAACCAAAAAACGCCTATCAGGGGGTAGAATCGAGTTCTTCTTTCCTGAGTGGCTGGAGGAGCCTCAGGAACGAATGATGATAATAAATGATACATAACTTGATAAAAAAGAAATAACGTGGCATGCAAGTTAACATGCAGAGCTCAATCCTGTGTTAGGTGATACAGAGTAGAACGTAGTTCTGTGATGTCTGGTATAACTTTGTTGATTTGGTGCCTTCGCTTATTTACAGTAGCATACTTTCTTATGTAATGTGTGATTATCATGAAGGAGTGAAATACTGTTTTACATTGACCAACGTGTAGCAAAACGACTCGGACAATCTCTCTAGGTTTTGTCTTTAATTTTCGTAAAACTAATGGTAAGCCAACTTTCACCTTTTTTATATACAAGCGGTTTCTGCAAGGAAAAGTAATGCAATGAGCTTGTGTAATGTATCCTGCGAACGCTTGCTCAAGCCAACGTTGGCTGTATACAATTTCGTAGAAGTTAATAAGGTAAGTTCAACAGACCCTTGTGATCTTCGTGAAGTTAAAGCCGACTGTATATGATACATTCAATGTGAAAATATAATGAATTGCAATTCTTTTTTTTTATTTCATGAATATCCATCAAAAACTTCAAGTGTTCTGTAAGTCTGATCGCTGTGTCGAAACTCGGTGTGTTGAAATACCGACAGGTTTGAGCCAGACTGAATGAAATTGCATAATAACAGAGAAGTCGGACAAAAATCTCCTCCAGACAGTCACGAAAGAGATCGAATTTGACGAGGGGCGGGGGAAGGAGGGAGAAACGAATAAAAAATAGCAAAGTGAGCCAAGTAAGTAAATGTAAAAGCGTGCAGTGTTATTTATGTCATTTCTTTCTCAATCAATCTTCATTAATGTATTTTTAAAACGTATCGTTACTCGTTAACGGCAAGTGCTTGTTCCGATACAGAGACGCGTGCAGGAACGAGTAAGAGAAGGAAATAGTGTGATGGAAGAAAGAAAAGAGAGAAAAAAGAAATAGTGTAATGCAAACGAAGAAAACCATCATGCGGGTACAGGACACAGCACTTACGAGCTACATGAATGACTGGGATAAATTAACATGAGATTTCAATATAGCGAGGTGAATGTATAAATACAGCGGTGATATCTCTCACAGTCGGTGCAGTGCCGCACTCCAGCTGTGAACAAAGTGTTAAATGCACCTTACGCCTAGCTTCATTGTGTTACGAAGCACGAAGCACATTTACAACTCTTAATATTATTGATTCTTTACATCCTAGAAGCTTTCCTCGATTACCATTGCACAGTCACTGTTTAATCAGTGAAACAGCCAGAGACGGGTTTGGTCTGGCCAGTGTAGTTTTTTGCTAAAAACTGCACAAAAGCGTCCCGTCGTCCGAGTCTGTTAGCATCTTCGTATTTTTTTTCTTACACTGTATCCCCCATACAACTTTTGTATTCCACAATCCCTCTTATAAAGCCTCACAGGTATTATAATACATAGACGAATGTTACGTGGGAACGAACTAACGTCCACGCGATAAGAACATCAACCCACCAGTGCGTGAGTCCCTGTCTGGATACGCGTTAACGAGAAACAGGTGGCTCTACAAACCTTTATGAGCAACGAAATTGTGATGAATATGGAAAAGATGAACATGCCGCCAAGGCCGTATAGATGCAGCGTTCGCCTTCCTGTTCTGTCCATCAGTGGGATGGATATTAGTGTCATACCAACCATAATGGCGCCTATACCAATACTTGCAAACTTGGCACTCTCATCCGTGAGTCCGGAACTTATGAACAGACTCGTGGAATAGTAGAACACCTGAAACGGTAAGTAGCTAGGATAAGTAGGCGACCGATAATCGTTTGAGGTACCTTGGACGATCTGAAGGATCCGTTAATAGATAGTGGAAGTAATAAAGTTATCTTTACTTACAGCATTGATACCCGACAATTGCTGGGATAATTGCATAACCACACCGATGATAAGAGGTGCTCTTAAAGTTGGACTACATATAAGCTCTGTCATCGAAATGGTGGATTCGGACTGCTGAGCCCTTTCCTCAGCCCTCATCTCTTCGATGTCTTCCTCTACCTGATTACTAGCCCTTAATCTCCTTAAAGCCTTGCGGGCCTCCTCTTCCCACTGCTTAGTAATGAGCAAATATCTGTGAAGTAAACAACCAGGAACATCAGCGTTGTGGCTTACTGTATAAAAAGAACAGGAAGTACCAGGAACCCTCAAGAGATGGAAGAACTGTGCCACCCAATTCCCGTGTAATCGGCACCACGATACAGAGAGACTGCTAGTAGTAATTCCAATGTAGTACGGATTAATTACCTCGGTGATTCCGGACATACTGGAAGCAAGAGCAACTGCAATATGGCAGGACAGATCGCCAGTCCCAGGAGTACGGGCCAGCCATCATTCGTGCCAAGTATTTGCTCGATGCCCAGCACCTGGGAGACCAGGAGGCCCACCGTAACAGCGAGCTGGTTCACCGTGCCCAGGCCGCCTCTCAGGTTCAATGGCGCTATCTCCGATATGTACATGGGAACCAAGGAGGTGTTTAAGCCACAATTGACACCGATGACGAACCGCCCGAAGAAGAGCATTTCATAAGCGTGGGCTATCTTGGTACAGCCCATCAGGCATGCCCCCACGATGCCCAGCACGTTGTTCAGCAGTAAGCCCCCCTTTCTGTCATTCAGAATGAAAGATAATTCATACGTAAATGACACGTCGGTCTATAGTACAGAGTGATACATATTACAGGCAGTCAGATATTTTCGTGGCGATTAATCTCCACGTATTTTCTTTTCTGTTCCACATCCAGAGCGTAGATTAACCGTATGATTACATTGTACCAACCTGCCAAATCTGTTAGCAATTATTCCTCCGCTAAAACCACCAAGCATACCACCAATAGCAAATATGCTGACTGCCACAGAGTACAGTTTCTTCACAGAATCATCCGAGATGTCCTCACCGTATCTGTCCTTGTATACATCCTTCATGAAGTTTTCAATATTCTGCAACGACAACCAATTCCAAGATACGATCTACCTCTCATCATCATTAAGTGATCATCATCCCCTCTGGGAACAAAACTTACCACTTCAGGCGCATTGATGACTCCCGTATTGTATCCAAACTGCAGCATGCCAAGCACTGCTGCCAGTATTGCATACGACAGGAAGAACGTCAAACCCTAAAAATACTTAAGGTATTAAAACCATCGTCTAGGTTAAAAAAGTAAATCATAAATTCATTGCTAAAAATCAAAGGAAAAAGTAAGATACAAAATTATGTCAATGCGAATATGAATAAACACAGGTAAATTTAATTTTGAGTAACAGCTACGATAATATGGATAAACAAGGTTAGAAAAAAGTAAAGAAACCCACATTAATTATTGATTCCTTTATTGTATAAATTCACAAGAAAATCATAAGGCTAACCATATCGTTATTTATTCCTTAGATATGCAAAAGAAAATTCCTACGAACTGAAGGAACTGAAGGAACTGAAGCAACTGAAGCACACGAGTTAAAGTAGTAAGTTCTCGATGACACAGAGAAGGACGATATCACCTGCTCGAGGAGTCTAAGTTTCCGTCGATGAGAGTGCTCCTCCAGACGATCCACATATTCCCGTAACTCCTCTATCTCCTCTTTCACTTGCTGTACCGTATCTAGTTCGTGCTGCACCAGATACGCCATATTAACGTTATAAAGTTAGTGCGCTAATATGCATTCAACTATCAGGCATCTTATTAAAGTGTACGTAAGTCTGTATCCCTTCCTACCCAGAGTGCATGTGCTCGAAGTAAAAAGCTACTCAATTTGTAAATTACTTTTCCAGGTAAAACATTCAATGGGAAAAGTTTAGAAAAATACGTAAAGATGAAACAACTGTTCGCCCGAATGATGCTTCAAGATAGTCAACAATAATTGTGATTACGAGAGACACACAATTGGTCACCGATTTCGGATGGGAACAGTGATAAGCAATGTCAGGTACTCCGACTGTACCTTGATCGCCACCATGTCTCTCTTGACCTCGCTGACCTCGCTCTGGCAAGACTCTACACTCTTGGTGAGTTCCTGCAGTTGAGTGCGTATCTCACATAATGCAACGGTCGTTTCCAGCTGGCGGTCACCCCGCTGCAGCTCGTCCAGCTTGGCGCTCAAGTTCATACTCATCACGCTGACCTGCTTCTGCAGACTGTGCACATATCGTAGCATGAACTTTACGCCTGAGTGATAATATAAAACGAGCACATCGACACTAGATCAAGACCAGCTAGTACCCTAAGAGATAACCAACTAGCTCTGACGCGACAATCTTAACTGCCGAGCTTTGAGATTCTCCGTCAAGCAATTGAGTGCCGGTTAAGAGACGAGATTAGAGCATTTTTAAAATGTTACGCTCAAAACGTATTATTTGAAAAGCAATCACCCAGCATTGGGAATATGGAGTCGAGACACAGCTCGGCAGCATCATTATTTCATTTGTATACAGACAATATTTGCTTATAGTTATCATTATTGTATGTAGATTAAAAACAACACAGACAAAATACAAATGCTACTAAAAGCATGTCTAAAATGTGTGTATAGTGAGTGTGAGGTGAAATGCTACGATAGTCTGCAGCTGTGCACATGTTAAATAAACATTTTTCTTTTCCTTTCTTTTTAGATATCTTTAATTTTATCATCGGCACGAAAGGATAACGCGATAAAGAAATAGAGAGAGAGAGCCAGGACATAATATGATAATTTGGAGTTAAACGAATGAACGATGGCACCAGTGATATCAGTGAATAAGTTCCTGTACAGCTCAATAAAAAAAATCAAGCTTTTTTTTTCAAAGTACATTTACCAAAGGGAAACACAAGTAACAAAACACGATGTTGACCGATGCGTTCGATAACAAATCCTGGGCTACAAATTCGAATGATGAAACTTGTACAACGATAACTGATATACACCGTTAAGGAAACGCGTGATAAGTCGATCCAAAAAGCTTCAGAGATAGCTAAAGAATAATACAGGAAGAAAGATATATATATATATATATATATATATATATATATGAGTAAAAGTAAAAAGAGCAAAACGAAAGTAGAGATCAATACTGGCCATGTGCACAGCGAAGCAAAAAATGGTGAACGATAATAAGTGGTGAGAAAAGTATAATAATATTAATAATGAATATAATATAAAATAATACGATATAAATAACGTGAGTATAAGTATAGATAAAAATATGGTGAACATATGGTGAATAGCATAAATGAATGAAAAGTATGATCGAAAGGATTATTTATTTAATGCAGCGATGATGTAGGTTATGTACCTGGGAGGTAGGGAGACCATGGCTGTGTTCCGAAACTACAGTAGCCTCTATGCCTCCCCCACTCACTCCTCTTGATTCAGTTTTTCGTCTGATTCACTGATTATTTGTCTTTGTCTTTGTCTCAACATATGTACGTATGTTGGATCCCACCAAATCCAATCAATGACTCTGAATGATTGCACGGGCTTGTTGTCAAGTGGTCCAACCAAAGTAGAAGGTATGTGTGGGGTGGGACACCGACACTGTCCGCCCTGCCTCTATCTCACTCTGTAAAACTTTACCTAGTTTGGAAACACAGTCGTGGTTCAGTCAAATATTAAAATGAATTATTTCGCTCGCATTATTTTTAACGTGACTTCGAGTCTATTCGTCACGTATAAGAGTACATCGCCATGCGACGCACCGCCAGCTTACTCACCCCTGCCTAGCTGCCCGCGTCCACAAGCGAGCTTGCAATATTGAATGGCCCATCACTTTGTGTGTAATGAACGGACGGCAAAATAATTGACAAAAAATGTGGCATGACTTGATGAGTGAAAACGCTAAGGTATCCGCACAAGTCGATCACTGCTATCGTATAATATATCAGAGTTACACGCGGAAGTGTGAATATCATTCAATTGAATCACCTTTAAATAATAATCCTTCAAATATTCTAAAGTAACGCCTGCGATATTGCGAATGGCAGTGATATCTTTTGTGCGATGAAACTCTGTTACAAGGATATGAATAAATGAATGAGCAATAAGTGGTAAGCCTGCGAGCGCCGCAGCCAAAGAGTTCAAGTAAACGGTAAAAATGTAATCACGTGTTCTGATATAATGTCGTTACGACCAAAAAAGGTGTTAGGTATGTAGAGAATAAGGCTAGAGCGTGTGATTAATGTATAAATGTTAATGAGGCGTGAAGCCTTGCATTGCATTCTCGTATGTATATTGTAATACAGGAGCATTCAGTTTGAGTAAAAGTTGAGTCGAGATCCATAAGTCAAACAAGTGAAACCGAATTGGATGGTCCTGTATGACATACGAATGAATAGAAACTATACGTATAAGCATCAGGGGAGCATTTGTCTTCGGTCCATCAGTAAGAAAAGAAAGTATAGTACCTCTAAGGATGAGAAATCCTAATAAAAGAGGACACTCTCGAGTATTTATGGAGACGAATGTGTACCAAGGGTCTTATACCCTGGTGATTCTACTCGGCATAAGACCCTCGGTTTCACAGAAATACTGGACACAGTCTCGTACGGTTGTCTATAGCGAAGAAAACTGGGATCCCGTGGACGTTCAAAGAGTGTCCCAGTCGTTAGGCTCCAGGATCCCTCGGGTAATCGTCGTGTAGATCTTCTCGAGATATATTAACATACCTTATAAGCAACTCCCTGAGAGTGGCTTCGTCGTCCTCTTGTATTTCTTCCTGCGTCTCATTACTGAAGGAGGCCCGGGTGAGACGGTGGCGCGATAGCCTGCCACTGATATGTTGAGCGTGGCCACCGTGGTGATAATGGGTTGTTGGCAGGTAGCGAGAAGTTCGCCCTCTCGTCAGCTTGAAGGTGGCAGCCGCGTCGAGTGCGGCTCCTGATCCGGACTCCCCGTAGCTTCCTCGTACCACATATTGCTCCTCCACCCTGGATTCGTACTCAGCGACCTCTCCTGCTCGTCCTCTTGCGCCAACTTCCGTTAACCTCCGCACTGAGTCCTGTCTCTCTCTTGACCTCGACCTCGCCCTCTCCCTCTCTTCCTCGACGACCTCCTCTCTACTGTCCGCTTCCTGTGCCCCAGAGAGGCCCGCGATTTCCTCGTAGAGACACTCCGAGTCCGGTTCCGGTGAGACGGCCGCGCTCCACAACTGGCTTATTGGTTTGAAGCCGCGTGAATCGGCCATAGTTTCTGCTGCGCCAGAACACGGGAACGTCCCATCACGTATTCTCTATTGTATCTGGTGTGATAACCGCTTTTGTAATTACTACTCGTGCCACATTCACGTTACACCGACAACGCTATGGATGTACATGCGTTTTTACTGATTTTACTCACTATTAAGATCTACGTGGTATACATATTCGCCTCTGAGGAAGAGAAATGCACATGCAATTTCTCTGAGCAGGGCGGAAAATTTTTTTTGAATGAGACAAATACTTGCGATAAGAAAAATACACTTTTGGGAATCTAGTACAGACTTGCAGGAGACTATCGATGACAGTGGTGTTGTTATCGTGTTAATGATTTTTAATGAGAGTTTTGGAATGGTCTTGAATTCTGATAAAAATTTATTTATCTATCTTGTAGTTGTTCCAAGAAGTTTATTACCTAGTAATGCGAAAAGAATTACCACTTCAAAGATATGTATCTGGACGTCACGTTGTACCAGCTTTGAGACAAGAACATAGACATTTTTAAGATAGCTCGCCACTGCCACGGCAAACGTACTAAAATCCTGTAGGATGCTCTTTGCCTTATATGTTTCGGTGGCATTTTCAGTTCAAAAGCACTTTCTTGGATTACATAGTATTTCTTTTCTCAGGCAAAACCAGACGACGACCTGACGAAATCATCACGCGTGATTACCCGTCTGGGAATTTTGAAAGGACGACTGGACAAAGCCGCAAAGAAATTGAGAACACAGGATCGACGCAGACATTATGGTTTTTACATGCGAGTTCATCAAGCGAAGAAAGCACCGACCACGACTGGTACGTCAAACATAGCTGATATTAATCTCTTTAAAAAATAGACGTGCGTTGATTGTAAAAGAGAGAACAAAGGATTAACACAAGAAATTGGACTATAAAGGGACTTTTGATGCGCTATCAAAAGCTTTGTCGCTATTCGTGCATATCAATTGTCTAATCTTATAATCAACAAATAAATCGATACATGGAGGATTCGTGACTTAACGAATTATCTAAAATCTGATAACAGTGTCTGATTAAAGGATTGCAATCAGCGTGCCAGTAATGCAGACAGGAAATTACAACTGGGTGTAAATTACGGCTAATGGCGGATACGAATTAAGGGATTCAAGATGAGACTGTCGCTGCCTTCCATGGACGTCCTTTTATTTTGTAGACAATTTTTAAAAACAAAGGGGCAACGTTTCACTTGCTTAGTAGGAATGACTGCTGCAAGAAACTGTAATTGTAAATAGTAAATACTGGGAACGACTAGTCGCTGAGTCGTTCCACTCGTTCAGAAATTCGACGGATTGAAATTTCTACCGAATTTAATTTATACTTGACGTAACGTATGTACTGTACGTGTATGTATAACTGCATAGAAATGCGTACATTGCGTGGCACGCAATTGTAATCAGGATGACACGTATGTACAGCGACAAAGAAGGACGCACCTATGAGAATCACGCATCGTTGAAATACGTAACAGCATAATATATTAACAGTAGTAGAGAAAGCACGAGTGAAATCCATTTGACATATAATAAAATGAGTTCTTGTCACGGTCTATAGGGATGCCTTTAGTCCAATAAACAGATACGTTATCACACGACGAATTAATACTGGACTTATATAAAATGACATTGGTTAAAAAGAAAAAGGCAAAGCTTACGGGATAATTCAAAGCCGTCCGAGAATGTTAAATTTACGCAGGGTGAGGCATGCTTCGTAATTAGCATGTATTTTCTTTGTCGATTTTGTTGTTTTTTTTTTTTTTTCGTTCTTGATCCACTGATAACTTGTGTATTTTCGCAGGCAGATCGGCCAGTGAGAGAATCAACAAAATTATAATCAATATGACTCGTATGGGAAAAATTGCAAGGACATCCAGAACCAGATCTTTCTTCACTCCAGTGCACAGATGGACTATAGAGTGTTACATAAATTATACCTGAGGAAATAGCATAAGCCAACAGGGTAACGTGTCTGTATGAAAACAATTATAAATTTTTCAGATGCCTGTAAAACTCTGTCACTCTGTGAAACAAGGTATCGAATTTCCCTCTATACATTGAAAATATATAGAGAGGCGTAGTGAACACGTACGCGATGCATCCAGGGTACAACATGCAATTTCGTTTAAAACGTGAAATTTGCGCATCCTGCCACACCAGCGAGTTACGTGTAACGTTTTGACCTCGTGTTAAAGAAAGTGGCTGCGGATTGTAAACGTGATAAAAGCAGAACGAGGAATTCATACTCGGCCATATGTATACAGGATGAGAATGCGAGAACAGCAGCGTCGCAATAGCGCGCGTATTACAACGTATAAGGAAACTATAAGAATTGTAGGAAGAGGATCAGTAAGGAAAAAAAAAAGAAAGAAGCAAGTAAGGAGAAAAGGAACAGGTGGAAAAAGTGCAGACCGATGAGAAACTTTTTAATGCCTTTACAAGCAAGGTAAATAAAGTCGGTCTAAGCACTTTGGATAAAAACTCTAGATAAAAAAATCATTATGGTCTTTCCAGATACTTCTTATACTATGGGCGCTTGGGTTCTTGACTGAGGTAACTACGCGGGATTTCAATGAAGCGGCAAAACGTTAGCGAATGCATTTTATTAGAGGGAAATGAAAACTCACCTTGAATAGTTTGCAAGCCATCGTGCCCGGCGACAACCTCTAGAACCTCACGACGTTCCTCACTCCTCGAAGATGTGAATATCGATTGTTCAAGAGGTCCTTGCTTTCCTCTACGTAACGCATATAGGGAAACCAGGGATCCTCCGCTGGTACGATTTTTGATTTCTTCTTCTGTATGGAGACTGCTCGTCTTTAACGTGTTCTTACTAGGATGCGTCTCTACGTTTTGACGGTTTTTCCTTACTCTGTGCCACTCGGCACTACCAAGCTGTAGAGGATAAGAATCGCCGTTAATCTCGTGTCAAGACAAACTGAAATGTATAATACTTCTGTCTAGGAATTATACAAGCTAATATATGACGTTGTAAAATCGATAAAGTATAAATGAGATCTTAGATATGTATATCATATCACGGTCGTACAACAAAATAATTAGTTTTATTGTTACACATTGTTTTGTGCTTCAAGTATAGGAATTGATTCAATATTTCTTGAGTTCTCAAGTCGTGTGCTTAAAATAAGTAAAAGTTTGTTGTGTCGATGCAGGTCTCGATATCGACTTGTAATGTGTCAGCAAATGACTTTCATGATAAGATAATCTAAATTTGTTGTAAATATAAATTCATATATGAAACAGCTTCAGTATGCTTTACATGTATGTTCTGATCTACTGCTTTGCAATATTTTTTTTTACATATCAAAGAGAATGTATTTTCAAGTTGGAAAGAACCGGTGATTTCCATGTAATTTTTTGTATCTTTTTTTTTCAGCTTATCTAATCTTCCCCAACGTACTCTAAAGAGATCCTGTACAACTACTACGGGGGACAGTATAACGATTAAATATAGTATACAACTGTTACGTCCTTTTGGGTATTTTTAGTTTTTCTTTTATTATATACAAGGTCGTCTGCAATTACATACTAACATGATAATACTCAAAACCAACGTTTATGTTTTTCCTTAATCAGGAGTTATCGCAAACATACTTGGTGTACCAAGAAACGCATCCGTACACTGTGTCATAGCAACGTACACAAAGAGGAAGTTTCCTTTGGAACGAAGAATTTTCAAGATAAATACATTTGGCAGTTTGTATACTCAACACATTATATGTATACGGAAGAGTAAATTTACCAAAACCGAAATGTCAACACAGCACTTGCAAAATTGTCGAGTTTTGCGAAAGAGGAGAGAGACGATACGGAGGACGTGAATAAAAGAGAATAAACGAAGATAAGAAAAGAAGGTGAAAAGATAAAATGAACGACAGCCGTACCTGGTGATGAGACAGCGAAAAGATGAGGTTTACAGCAGATAATTTATTTTATCTGAAGCCTCGGGTATTATTTAAACCGGCAAACGATATGAAATAGCCCACGGATCGATATTATAACGTAAAAATAAATATTTTGCCCAGAATAACGAATACACTCGTATAAATGACTATATTTGCACGACGGTCTTAAACCGTTTTAGTTAATTCTGATCCAAAGGAACAGACAAGTAATACACATTTCTACTTGTAAAGAATATTTGGGACTGGTCAATTCCTTTAGAATAATATTAATTAAACGTAGTAAATAATATCAAAGTGCGTATGACCGTTTATCTTAATAATCGAGTCTCCAGTCTGTTCCGTGCCAGACACTAGTTTATTATTACATAATTGCATAATTTATAGTTAAAAATCAAAACTCTATCACACGTTAAATCTTTTTAGCATTTCAAGGTATTAAATCTGACACACAGTAAACAACTGTTTCGTCTCGTAAACACTCTATATCCTTGTTCACCAGCAGTGATTAACATTACAATTACATAAATGCCAATCTCCGCAGTGTCTGTTATTGAAAAGAAAAAAAAAGTGCAATTATCTATGCACACATCAACCATAAATATTTGCCACGTTAAATACCAGCAACGTTCAATATTTTCCACGCGATAAAAACCTTATTGAGCAACAATACAAAAATTTATAACCAAAGCATATACTGGACAACGATACAATTGTTAAGTATTCGTCCATTTAAATTGAAACTGATCACTAATGAAGTATCAACCATTTTACTTGCCCCACCAAATTAAATGGTATTAATCTTTCATATCCATTCTAGAAATGCCAGCAACCAACCACAGTCGTAACTCCTCCCGGCTATCAAAGTAAAAGCAATCGTGTTGGACCACAAAATGTATAGGGCCATTCAGCCTCCTGGTGCACTAGAGAGTGCAACTTTGGGCGAGTACTGTCCGAAGTAAATAAACAACTGGTGTTCACCGATACAGCAAATGGAACGACTAGGGCTGTACGAACAATATTGCACATCCCTGCCACTCATTGATATATTGTCAATGCATACGTATATATATATATATATATATATATACCTATGGATCTATAAACTATAGTATAAAGTAATACATACTCCATTAGTGAACCACCAGGTTGGTTCCACGTACGTACTTCTACCTTGTAGACACTACACAGTACGTATCGTATCCAATCACGTGATTGCAACACTATCCATATCACTTAACACGCATATTCCAGGAAAGTATCCAGAATACACGAAATATCCACAATAACAGCATCAACCATATGCACAGAGCAGTCACTCAAAGTTCCATTTTCAAATTGTGAACCAGGCATCTACCAGAGTACAGTAACCTTGTCGGAGTATCACGTAGAAGAGTTATCGAGCGACTCCACGATACCTGCCAGACTGCAAGTCTGTCGGTGAAACCTTTCCGGTTTGGCGTACAGTACGAAAACGACTGAACCTATCAAGCGTGCGTAGTGAGAGTCAGCAACTCGAGAACTGACATGTTCTCCGTTACTTCAATTCTTTCGCAGCTATCAAAGCCCCCTCTACGTCGTCCGCGGCTCTTTCACTCTCTGCACAACATGAAGACCCCTTCCTTGACGCTTCTATGTCATTTCTCTCTCTCTCTCTCCCCCTTTCTCTCTCTCACTCTCTCATCTTGTCTCTTGCTATAGTATTTATAGTATATAGTACATAGAGGCTGGTACATACTAGCATGTACAATGGGAAGGATATCCTGAGCTGTATGTAGCTACAGGCGATAACCCATTACCCTGAAGTACTTGAAAACGATCGTGTGACCTATAGCTAAGAATGTTACACAATGACAACCGATAGGAGAGGGATAGACAATCGAATTGCATGCTGGGAACTCGTCTACTTGGTAAAATCTCGATAAATTCAAAGGTTTGTTCTTTTATTTTTTGTTTTTACCTAGAGGCGCTCACTAGTCTTCTTTATCTTTTTTATTTTTTTCAGCAAAATTAGAATACATCTTTTTTTCCTGTCTGGTGTGATGTAATCGGTACTCCTTCACACGGCTTTACGATTTTATTACGATATTGACGCCCTCCACTGCTACGAATATCTACTACAGGACCTGGAGTGCTCTTCGGTCAGACGAATATCGACTGTGCTGCTGCTGCTGCTCGTTGCTCGTTGCTCAGCTCGCTTCCACGAGCTCTCGACTTTACGTAAGGGTTTCTGAGATTGATAATCGTCTTCCTACATAACAATATTGGGGATCTTATGGTTAGCCTACCTTCTGGATATGTATGTATGTATATTCGTTTTAGGATGTTTGCCAAGTTCATGGAGCGAAGACGAGGAGGCTGAGTTACTCTTGCGTAAATGTTGTTAAAGTATAATGAAACTGAATTCCTGGTACCGCTAATCGGATTGCAATCTGACGGAGGTATCTAATGTGTATGTGGTATACGCTTGCGTCTATGTTAATCAACCTGGCGATATTACTCAATCACCATATAATTGAGATAATTGACGTGGAGGTACAAAGGGACTTGGTTACGTGGTTGGATCGAAGGTGATCTTACAATTCTGTATTTCTTAGATATAACTATAGCATATCTATAGTAAATATCCTGATGATCAAAGTCGCTGGCAGGTATTGTTATACCCGGTATCTACATAATATATGTACTATACACGTAGAGTTTGGTCTAAAATGAAATTGAGTACGTATAGATTCAGGGATGCCTTGGTGTATCATAACATAACAATTGTTGATTTGCCTTGAAGTAAAATTGTATTATGTATAGTTGTCCAAGAAACTGGTTTAATCGTATTATCAATAACGCAGAAGTAAGTTAGGATAGTTTATTAGTGTAATGTATAAAATAACCTTGCTCTTTTGAGTTTAATTAGTTATTCTCGGTTAGAGCTTGAACGTGTAATTACTACTCGAGGTCGTTTCAGTTTATGAAAATTGTCCCCAGATTTTCCTCTCCATTCTGCTGTCGCAGCAGGACTCTACGTGCTCTGGCATTCTCTGACATGCAGGGGGTTACGTACTGCACTCAACGTGAAATGCAAGATCATAAGAAACAGCCTGTTAATGAGCACTCCTAACAAATTATTCCAACTTCCGACATGAACTTCTCCACTGGAATGAACGGAACAATGAATAATAATTGGACGAAGCTGGTAAGAACTATTTAATTGGTGTTACCAAAGTAACCACAGCAGTCAACAGATGATCGATCGATTTCTAAATGGTTTCACCGATATCACCTAGCCTGGATATTCCTAAGACACCATTACGTTCAGCTTCGACTAGCAGACAACGTGAATCGAGAACAATATTGAAAGTTTTTCGAGTTAGAAAAAGGATGGAAACGAGCACCATGGCGAAAAGTGTCGGCTGCGAGAGATTCTCTCTTATCTTTTGTTCTTGGAGCCAGTATCCTCCCTTATTTTCTCCTTTACTTTCTCGCTGTTTCTACGACTTTGTCTCGCAAAAGTCTCTCAGGCCAAATAACACCTTCGTTATTAACTCGTTACGATAGGTAACAGGTGCGCAACCTAGATTTGGCTGCTCCTATTTTCTGCAGCGACCTCGGTTGAGCATTTTTTTTTCTATCTCTCTTCTTTCTTTTTTATTTTTCATTTCCCTTTCCTCAACGGTATTAATGTCAAGAGCAACTGATTTGCAACTCGTTTCGTGGCACGTTGAAAAATGGGTCGCGGGGATTCCCCGGTACCATCGCTATTGCCAGATGTGTTCCAAAAGACAAATATTTCTGTCCTCTCGTAGCTCGGTCTCCCACGATATGGTCATGACAACCTTTTAAAGGAATACCTCTGTTTACCACAGGGCAATTTCGACCAACTCAACATTGCAGACTATGCACTTACACTTGAACCAGATTGAAGAATGAAAAAGGAAGGAGTCTATCGACCCCGCGACAACAGTTTCCTCGCAATAAACTCCAACAAATCTTTCTACAGCCACCGGGATATTTCAAGAATTCCTTGTAATTTCCATTCGACATCATATCTGCAGTGCATCCACTTTTCATCGCCGTTCATGGTCTTCTGCATCCGTCTTGGAAAGTTACGCAAGCTCAACACTATCTAGCTAAACCGATTGCGAACCGGGCGCGCGATAAATAAGTCTCAGGCAGAGAAGTCAGGTCGTTACCTACTGTACAGTCTGAGTATATATACTGCACGACATTGAATTGCTAATTCAAAAGCATGGGCCTTGCGAGGTAACCCACGTACATACTAGCGCATAGGGTACGACGCGCTCTGCTATACGAATCTTCAAAGTTTCGTACGGGTTCTGCAAGCAGGTAACTTCGCTACGAATTTCTGCATTGCGGAGACTTGAATCGCCCTGCGAAATCCTAGGTTATACGAGCGCGTGCTTTACCGCTGCAAATGACATAAGTAAAAAAATAAGAAATCATTACGAGTTACTGCAGCGTGATATTAGACGGTCTTGCAAATGGACTTTGCGACAATTTACAGTGTAGTATGTTATAGTGAAAAAAGTAGTATTAGGTCGTGTAATTTTATTTTTTATGCACATTCATACATATTGCCTCTTACGAAATCTCTACCACTCACCGCTAGGATATTGAGTCTTGTGTTATTGCCTTTTGAGAATAACACCTAACGCTGCTGCCTCTTACTTTTTAATAATAACGAAAATGAGAACAGTACTGTAGTTGGACATTCACTATTGATGCGTTTACCAAGTACTATCTATGGTTTATATCCTAGGGAAACGACGATGCATAGTACGCATAATACGTGTCGTATATTTCTTAATAGATAACTTGGATCAAGGCCAGTTCTCAATGTTTCTAAGGAATACCTTTCTTACGCCAATATGATGGCAATCATGCCGCGGTGCAATCTGCGCAATAACGTCGCACTATTAATAAGAACTACGTTGCATGGGAAATGATCGCGACGGCTTCTATATTTTTTTCCCCGTCGACGAGATAGACAATTGAGATAATAAAAAAAAGGTCGTAACAGTAATATTTCGAAATTGCATAAGAAACTCGATTCTCACTGAGCGATTCAAGCCGTGGACTTAATGCGATTCGCTTTTGGATTAACGAAATGAATTATTAATCGCTAAAGGTAAACGGTGCCACAGGAATAAAACGAATCTGGTATAATCAGTATAATGCATTATGAAGCAAGTGAATTCCGTGATTCCTCTTGGCGGTAAATTTGAACGAGTAATTTTGCAAAATTTTCAATATATTTTTGCCGCTTTCAAAAAGTACTTTTATAACGCGTGTTCTTGTACGGTATTCTTTTGTAAATAGACACTGACGTGTTAAACTAATTGTCTGCGCAGATTATTGAAAATTCATATTCGAGTCTAGCAAAAGTATCTCGACCAATGCAAGTCGAAGACTTGTGTTAACTTTTCAATTAGAATCCTATTGATTTCGCACGTTATTATTTTCAAATCCGCGCGTTTCTGAGAGTCTTTATCAAGGAAGGAATCTACGAAGAAAGGAGGAAAACTTGTTTTGTAAGAATGAATGGGGGAGTTGGGAGAGACAAGGGTCAAAGGCAATTGAAGGAGCGATGCCTTAGGAAGATTCATAGAGAGGACACCAATAGTAATAACAATAACGGTAATAGGAGTAACAATCAACCGCCATAGAAATAGCTCTTTGTGTCGGAAAACTGTAGTTATAAATGTATAAAATGAAATGTCTTCAATGGCATCGTATATTACAGTTTAAATAGCGCACTCGAGATTTAAACGAACGCGATTATTCTCAATTATCAAAAGAATTTTTATGCAATATTTTATACAAAAGACTACGGGTATTAACATTCTTTTCAATTTGAGTTTCAACAATATTTTTAAACACTTCTCGCCATTAACGTCGTAGCACGAAGTTTTCATGTCAAAGCCTTAGCAGGGCTTTATGCGTATATATATATATATATATGTGCAACAATCATTAAACGATCTTTATAACTTCAGGGTGAAAGAGATTCATCGCGTTTTGAATAACGTGTCACTCATTTTCGTAAATACGAGGGTAACACGCTGATACGAAAAAAAAGCCAGCACGCAATGCGAACAACCGCTACGAGTGAAAACAAAGATAAAACAAATAAGATCCTACATCAGTAAAAAAAAACGTTACAAATCGTTGAGACCAATGAGATTTAATAGCCATAATAAAAATGTTATTGCACTGGAAATCTAAAACAGTAGATATTCATATCCATGATTTATTTAACCACTTAACAACGTACCACATCCGAACGTTCAGCCATCTGCGATCCAGAATTATTTTTCATGTTTGTTTAACGATTTTGCGCACGACCGCCTACCAAATGTCAGGTTAAATGGTTAACCTCAAAATTTTCCCAAACCCACGTATCTCCGTACAAGGTATTGATATTGCGTCGCGCTTCAGAGACAAGGTACAGATTAACAATAATGAAATGTCAATGATAAATTAGTACAAAAGGTAATATCCGAAGCGTACAGTGAACAGGGTATTAATTCACAACAGATAATACTGATATATCGACGACAGAATATCTTCCTGCGAATTACCATAGAAATATCATACACGGGTTAAGCTGCTATTTTTATGCATATCGTTGCACCCCGATATTTTATGACTTTGCATAAAACATTTTCTACGCTTATTCAATTTAAAGGATCTCAGCGCATCTATTGTACCGACATATTGTTAGTTATCAATCGGAGAGCTTAGCCTTAGTGAATCTACGACAGAGGGCAATAGGGATTATCGTTGTTCACCTTGTACGTGTTTACAATCAGCTAACCAGAAAAGTAGACACTTCATCCAAAGCACTCGTATACTCTCATGGACTGTTCGATATTCCACTATCTAGATATATATACGTATATACTAGACACTATTATCAAGTATGTGTACATATGCATAGTTCAGTGTACCTCAGCCTTAGCTAAGTGAGGGTGAGTATGTATCTGTAATCCTTTATTGATGGATGACACTTGAAAATGGTAACACTTTAGTAAACCTATCTGAGGCATATCAATAACAAGATAAAAAATGGTCAGGAAGTTCCTGATGATTACCCTTCAGAGGGAATGGAAGAATGAATGATAAGTCAATTGTATCTGGGTGTCTGATTGTATATGAAGTATGTAAATATTTGCAGGAAGAAGAAGTATGACGAAGGAGTATGGCGTTGAAGAGAGAAGAGAATGGTGGTTCATGGTGGATGGAAAATTCGTCAGGCGATCATCCTTCTGGATTGCGGAATAACCGTGGGTGGAACACGCAAAGCAAGATTCCCAACGGAGGATAATACGTCGATAATGCGGTTGATGGGGCTGCAATTTAAACTTGATTCTGTAATATTGATTGACGTAGGTCGGGACAGGTCGAAACTAGAGAAGACAAGAGAGTTACGAGCCACACCTGGGTACTTTATATAGCTCATAGCTCGTACTTACTGATAGCTCGGGAGGCTCGTACGTGCCACGAGACATCGAGCGGGCTTGTGTTTTTCCCGTGGAAACGAGTTCGTAAAGGGGCTTTACGAGTTTCTGTTCTTCGATCGTGTTTCCTTGAGCGGAGGAAAAAAATGGCACAGATACCGTCGTCTTTGCTTCATGTATATACCTTGAAGAGATTGAGCATTCTGATAAGTCAGAATAGCTAAAAGCAGGTATATTCAAGGATGGATAAACGTGAAGTATCTGAAAGGTGGTTCTTTTAAATGTTTAATTGAAATTATTTATGAATTTTAGTATTCGAAGAAACGTCCCGTGTCTAATTTGACACCATTCTTGGCTGCAGATATCGAATGGGTCTTTGGGCGTCTGTGGGCCACACCTGAGAAAACGTTGGCGTTCACATGGCAGCCGTTTGTGCTAGTACCGCGTTCTGCTGAGCTTGCACGAATTACTGTTGTACGATAAGAATATTTTGCTCGTTGAGTTTCGATATTGTATTGCGTAGTTAACTTTAAATGGTGAATTTACTATTGAGGTCGAGGTGATGGAAACTGTGGCACAGTGGAAAAATTTGACTGCGCACTGCGACCTCTGCATCGAACGAGTTTTCCCAATTGCGAACTTGGTTAAACGCCTAATTAACGTTGTGTTAGCCTTTAGCGTTACCGATAATTTTGCAATATTCTGCAGTATCGATCCTGGTAAATTAATATCGCGAAGGGCTTAAAGACCAAGGGAGGTGTGTGTGAGGATCCGGACGTGACTTAAAATTGAGACTCTGGTGTCATCAACTAGCGTGGATAAAGTAGGTGAACTGTTAGACGCTGAACTACACTACGTCGTCTCGATATGCCGTGCGCCTTTTTTCACGCAGGGAAGAAAACAAGGGTGGAAGTTTGTCTAGGAGAAGCTCGGGACATCAGGACGATGATGATGGCGAAAGAGAGCCTAGCGGGGCTCGAGTAAATTCAACGCATTTTGCGATATCGATTGACCGAGGTTAGGCCCGGCAGCTTTAGGTCTCGTTGTCAGGAGGATCGTCCCTGGGAGAGTCACAAAACCACGAGGAAGAACACCAGGAGGTCGCTATTACCAAATGACAAACCTTGAGGAAGTAGGACGCACCATAAGAACAGCAAGCATAGGAGTGTTTCGGATGATCAGAATAAAAAGAAAGGTAGTACTTCTAAGGAACTCTAGAAAGTATTAAATCTTAAGATAAACTAACAAATATATACATTTTGCATAGATAAAATATCCAAAAGCACTCCTCAGGAGTGACCGAACGCAATACGCATCCTGGGACTATGCCCAGATTTTGAACTCACCGTCGAACGGAAGGTTAAACTGTTGCAAGGGTCGGTCTAGGAGCTTCCATGAGGAGAGAATCAGCAGCAGTGACAGCAGCACCACCAGTAGCAACTTTTACATTGGTAACATCAATGACAACGGCAGCGGCAGTAGCAGCAGCAGCAACAGCAGCAGTAACACCAGCACGAGCACCAGCACCAGCAGCAACGGTTGCAGAGATTGAAGCGGCAGCAGCAGCCTCCGCATCCGGGGACACCATCTCCGTTTTCGTTTTCTCGCGCGCACACCTACCGATCTGCTCGTTATCACTGAACTCGCACTGGCTCGTCACGACTAACATTGTAACATCGTCTTTGGCGGTGAAAAGGAACGCGGCCGGTCGGATGGATGGTCGAGGCGGCTCAAGGCGGTGGTCGCTCCCTCGTTCGTTCGTTCGTTCCCTCGCTCGCTCTCTTTGCTATCTCACTTCCACCCTAGAGTACTCTCTCACTCACTCTCGACCTCTCTCACTCTCTCCTTCTCTCCCTTTCTCTGACTCCCTCGGATCGACGATGCTTTAGGCAGGAGACGCCCCAACGCGGGTAGCCAGCTCGACGTATCGCAAGCGACGGCCCTCCTCGCGAACCGTCCGTGCTCGGGCCAACTCGCGCAGTGCCGTAAATACGAGGTTGCTCCTGGGTCGTTTGGGGCACTAGGATTATATTCATACCTTGGTAGTTCGCCCATTTCTGTAACCTGACTTCAATCCAATACCTTTAGGAAGACTCGGCTCCTATGACGATTTGATCCTTCCTAGAGCTATTGCTAGATTTTAATATACTTAAAGGGTATCTTAGAAATTTAGGTGTATTCGCCCGATTATGCGTACTTATAACGATAATTTCTGGGAAGGATTTGTTTATTTAAAATCAGACCTAGTGCGTGGGTACCAGTCTGTTGCTAAGGGTGTTCTCTGCGCATCTAGAGAATTTAGCTTCTTCCTCTGTATCGCTACTGGGATGAATATTAAAAATTATCGATTGACCTAGTGATTCTGTTTTAGGTAAACTACGAGTCTCCTAGGGACATTTATAAAAGCGCAAGGATACCAAGTGCGTTAGTCGCGGGTGCCGAGAGCCCTTCGAGGTGACCTGGAGCCGAGGGGCACTCCGCGGTAACGCGGGGGGCTAAGGAAGCCCTTGAAATCAATAGCCAGCCGCTACTGCCACCGCCACTGCCGCCGCCTCCCTGATCCGCTCTGCTCTGCATCCACTCCACGCATCCCCAAGTCCCTCTTGTTCCCGCTGATCCTTCTGCGCCGAGGAAACTTCAATTCATCCGCACAACCTCCTCGGGCGCGAACGTCGCCTCCCGAGTTCGGTTGGTTCAGTTTTCAGTCAGACGCCTTGATAGGAAGGTCCCCGCTTGGATGATCAAGAAAAGCATCCACGAGAAGCAGAGAAGCCAAACTTCGCAGTGTGCCCAGTCTCACACGGAACAGCAACAGAGCTAAATAATAAAACATATACTATGCATACCAACTACTACGTCGTAGCCGCATCCTGGCTCTTCTTATTGGAAAAGAATCCAAAGATTCTATGACGCACTTACCAGTCTTATCCTCTGACATTTTCTAGTCCAATCCGGCGCAAGCTTCCTGCGCTGCGGAAAGTGACCAGCGACATTATATAGAACATATACATACGTATATACCTGATGGTGCTGAAGATATACGTAGACGGCCGACCTGATGTTGACCTACTATTGAACTTCTCTTGCACACTTGCAACCGGATACGTCGAATGATCGTAATATATTTTTTTATCCATCCTAAACTGCCATTTTCATGTCGCTTGACTTTATTTCACCATTTATTTCTCTTTTTATCCAAAAACAGAATCCGTCGCTTCTCTTTACATCCCCCCCCCTCCCCCAAAGGGCTTTCGAGGAAGACGCCCGTTAAATCTGGGATGTGCGATACCACGTTGTACGGGTTACCGGAAATTCTCAAGATCGTTTTGGCTTCGTGTCGAGTATGAGAACGAAGATCCGGGTAGAGAGCATTGTTACTTTTGCAACACTTGGAAATTGAATTATTCGGTAATATGCTGGGAAAGTTTCCCTAGGGGACACGTTTTTCGGAGCCGTTGAGCTCTAGATGTTATTTCGACCTCTTCCTCTTTTATCCTCAAACGAAGATGAAGATCAGTCGGAGATTGTAGAGTCTTTGGCGTACGTCAACACCCGGCTATTACTGCGCCACCATTGAAATTGAATTTATCTGTTTAGTTGAGAATTCAATGTATAATTAATATTTAATAGATACTAATAGCGTCCGATATGTTGATACTAAGCATGACGGAGAATGAAAAGATACTAATAAGTATCTACTGTTTCAGATTGACATCCCTGCTATTGGATAACTAAGCGAACAAAGTCTAAGCAAAAAGTCGCCATTAAACACATTTATTACTTTGCTTACATTATATTATGTAACAACATGAATTACAGTATAAATCAATGCCACAATAAAACGATAATGGCACCGAGTGCCTCCGTACTCTTTAATATAATCGGTTAATCAAATCGGTTAAGATTAAAAATTAAATGGCTCGATAATGAATTACAGATATTTCTCATTTCTTTCCTTTTAATCGTATCGAATTAAACGGCGATTAAAAGATCCTCGTTATAGGATGACATCCGCGCCCTTAATATACCTATATATGTATCTTAATAAGAACATGGTCAATTCTTCTGGATTATGCAATAAATCAGCATTAATCTTCAATGGTGAAATTATAAAACGAAAAAAGAGCGACTCTCTGATGTTTTCCTGCTTTTCTCTCAATGACTTAACTCGCTTGGTGCATGGCGCCATGAGAATGTAGTATAGATAGGTAACAATCGACGTATCTGTCTCTTTAATGTAATTATCATATCAAGTTAATCGATAGTGTCCCGTGATTGATGATAGTCGATAACTTAAATACGAATCCACTAAACTTATTGTTTATCCGTAATAATACATAATTCTACGAATGGGCAAGCTATGGCAAGAAAATGTAATATCTTTCTCTTATTTTTTTTGTCCTACAGAACGGGATTCGTTTTATATTATGAAAGAACTCAATTATCCCAGTCTGAGATGTTGGTTTACTGACTAGATATAAATAGTACAATACATCGGCACCGATAGAACTAATTATTGCAATAACAATTAAAGAAATTTAAACTCAAGGTTTATATCCATATTGTGAACAAAAAAGTAAATACCAAAATTCTATATTTTTTTTAACCAATATTTTACGAGGTACAAATTTTGGCAAAAACTTGTCCATTCCATTCCTAGTTCAATGGACCAATGTGATTTATTTACGTACAGTTCACGCGATGTTCAGAAGCTCCATGATATTGAAGACTGCTAGATAGCCACTCTACAAATCCTTCGTCGATTCTCTCAATTGTATAGACCATTATTATTAGTCCTAAACGAATTAATAAATCACAGCATTTTTTTTCAAGACCACAGTACGTGTAGAACAGAGAGCTAGCAATAATAATGTCGATGGCTCGCCGCTGTGACACATTATTATAATACACGCTTATAGGAAAGAGACACATCGTCGTATGGTAGTAACATTAGCGACATAGATCGATAATTCGTATGGTAATAAATTTATCGAATTGATTTATCAACTGTGCATACTTGGTTAAAGGGAGTCTCGATAATGTTGCACTAAATTATTCTCATCGTTTACGTTCACTAACCAGACTCTTTGCTTCCTTTTCCCTTTTCCAGTAACACTTTTGAATTTGACACATGGCCAATCCATTTCTTAACCTCCTACTCATTGTCTAAGATCACTTCCATTTTTGTCATTTGTAATTCACAATTCACACTGTTAATCCGTCACCCGGTGCACGAACTACTGAACGTGTTATTTCGTTGAATCTCTTTATTTTCTTGACACATGGCAGCTAGCAATCCGTACAAGAAAAAGGAACGATCGATAGCAATTGATTTCTTTTTGACTTTCGTGGTGCATCAGTACGTAGAGAAGCTAAGCCAATGATATCTGTGTGTATATATAGCCTTCAGATATTGGCCTATCGTGATTAGTAAAACCGTTTAATAATTACATTTCGTATTTATGGCGTCCTAGTTTACCTACGCCAAGGTATAGGCAGACGCCATTGATCGACGCAAGATCCGTTCTGAGCATCGATCACTGTTTCCAGCAGAATGTTATCGCGTTTACAGTATATATTATGGTTACCATAAAATTCTTATTCCTTAATAATGAAGTGTCATTACTAACCGGAGCACTTTGAATTGCACAAGCATAAAATCGTATGCAAATTCTTCCAGTGCTCGAAATTCCACGAGAGTTTGTCATAAGAGAATCCTTAATCGTGATTAAATATTCTCGCGTGGAACGCCATGTCCTCGACTTCGATCCGATATGCTTTGTACTTATCGATTAGATATAAAATTCTTCCACACATTTTTTCTTCTTTTCTCTTATTCTTTTTATGTTCACAATTTTTTTCCGTCTCTCTCATTACGAACTTCTGATTTTGTCGAACGGTCTCGTGTCGATTCCCTTCACCAGCCATCCCACACACGTAACGTATTAAGTCGTTTTATTATCTGTATTTTACAATCCGTACCTTAGGCATGAAGCGACTAATGTTTTATCAGTGGATTCGCAGTTTCGTCAAATATATATTACAAAGTTGTGGCTTCCAGAGAATTCAAATTCGATTGACAATGATCGAACGGAGAATCAGCGAGCAGTTATAAACAGATTTGCAATGATAGCGTCTCTTTTTTTTCCAGAGAGTAACGAATGAAGAGAGAGAGAGAAAGAGACATCAACATAATTAAAATCATAAATAAACATGAGTGCGACTCATATTTTTTTTTAAATTCTTTCTTCACGATCCTTAAAATTCACGAGATACAAAATCATTCAGTTAAGTATATTATCAGGATGTACTTCCGGCGTCTTGTGGCGCGACACTAAAATCAGCGGATATCCGGTGATCAAAATCAGCATGAAGAAAAGTCACGAGAATTTCGAGGAAACACAAATAAATGACGATAAACCATACACGCATGTCACGTGAATTATTGCAGCTCCTATTTCTAAGGCAGAGACATACGCAATAGTATTAAGTGCCACATGCAAGTTCGTCCGTAAAGTTCACGACTCTGTTACAGGAGTACGCTTTTTGGATTTCATTTTGTATTTAATTGGAGAATGGCAATGAAAAAAATGAATCAAAAAAAAAGAGAGGGCAACAGTATGCCCAAAACAGTATCAATGGAGACCATGCACTACTTCGACATAGGTAAATTAAATAAACTCTCTTATAACAATAAGGTGTTATCCAATCAAATATAGAGGTACAGGACTTCCACCGTTTTACGATATTCGAGATATCTTTATTTCGATTTAATTTTTGTAAGACAAACATAAATAAATAAAAAGTACACTGAAGCGTTGGTAAATTCAATGCGTCAACTTCTGGATAGTGCGTCATCGCCAGAGGATTATATCCAGCGTACCGATCACCAGGTTACGCACCACTACTGGTTTCAGCTATCATCATCCTACCACCCACCTTTCCACCCTGTCACTATCCCACCCAACTCCCTTTGAACTCCTTGAATTATCACTGTAGGTTCTTATTACTTAAAAACTTGACGTTTTCTATATGCAAACACGCACGCCATCGAGCATTAATCTTTTATCTATATGTAACATTTGGATGAGATACTGCTGTGGCGGTAATATCGACAAGTGTTACGAGGATTATAATACATTGTTACAATTAGAAGTAAAGAAAAACATATAAACACTTAGCGAACAATTGCTACAAACAGCCAAAACTGCCGGACAGATGTTAAAAATGATGAGCTTTTTTTTTTTAGGTGCGGTGACGAAATCAAAGTCGACATATGAAAAGACCAATGCTCGATAGTGAACGCCGTCGATCGTCGTGCGATCGACATAGTTTCAAATGAAAGATCATTTTTTTATTGATATTCGATAATTTACTTATTTAGTGGCGACATGGTTTCAAAGACACAGAGGCAGCAGATACATTGGCAAGGGCGAGAAATCCGTTAATAAGAAAAAATAGGAACGCGTAGAAGAGTGAGGGTAAGAAGAAATTTTGTCAGCCATTATTAACGTATAAAGTCGAGAAGTGGCGAATTATCGTTCGTCATTTTTCCGTTCGCTTGGTTATATTCTTTTCTCTTTTTTTTTTTTGAAGTAAGTCTGCGTCCTTCTCAATTCTTTGTGTTCCGTTAGTTCGGGCTTTATTGCAATGCGGCGGCCACGATTCTCGCAGCGAGTTCACTGTCAATGATAAAAACGAGATTGCCTTAGGCCAAGTAAAACGCGACGACCAGGATTACAATTCGGGAAAGGATTCTTAAAAAAGAATTTAAACTCGATCTCCCACACTTAAAAACACACTGCCCCAGCGAACACGACTTAATCAATGCAAGACCACTACCGTAGAAGTTGATAATATTTATTATGAATAATCGAGTAAAGGGGACGATTCAAGTAGTTTTCTGCGCTTCTTATTAGTAATGGCGCTATCCGGCAGGAGGGGTAGACTAAGAAAAATTGGATAGGGAGGTGCGCTGAGGTGTATGATAAGGCATAGGCAGCTCAGATCAATTTGCCCAGCAGATAACCAACTACCACCATGGCAATGGCGATAAGTACACTCGTAGTAGTCACGTTCAGCAGGCTGTCAGTGTGCGAGGTCGTACCAGGGATTGCCGCCATATTCCCACTCGTGACCGACGCTGTGCCCATTACTGTATTCCGCAATTTCAGTAGCTCTTCCTGTTATCAAAAATGCATCGTGTCATTTTATACCATTCTACGAAAGTGGATCCGCAAGACCTAAATTTACTTCCATCTACCAGAAATCTAATCAAATAACAGTATCACTTGGATACTTTGATTCCTTTACTTCACAGAGTCTTCATGCTTCTCGATTTATCACAATTCTAACATATACAAACTCTTCCTGTTTACTCACCCTGAGCTGAAGGTTCTCCTGCCTCAGACAGCTCTCGTCTGCCCTAAGCAGAGTGACCTCCTGCGCCGCTCTTGCTAGCTCATCTTCGACCTTGACGAGCTACATCATGAAATATTAATTAAATTGACCCATGGCACATGCCATCACATTGTGTCAAGAACAGTCTGTCCCTGATATTTGCTTACCTTTGTGGAAGCCCCGGCCCAATCACCAACGCACTTGTCGTCTTTGCCATTAGTGGCACTCGTGCCCAACTTAGCCCCAGTCGTACTTGCGGCTTGTTTATCCGCCGGCTCACTGCTCGTTGGAGTTTCAAATACGCATTTCAGTTTCGAATCCATCAATTGCTCCGGGTTTACCCCCTTCCACTGCGAAGCGTAACAGATTAAATACGTAACAGGGACGTCGCAAGTAGCGGCCGACGTCGCTCTAATCATAAGTTTCATACGGAAAGATGTGTCACACGTATTGGGATTTGCGAAAACGGCCGACAATTTACATTAATTGACAATTCTAAGCTTCTGTCGTAGGAAACATTAAAGGCTATAGAATAAATTCTTTATACGCTATAGCAGTCATCTATTCACGTACCACGTTGTCATTCAGGAAGTATTGGTCAGTATCGTCCTCTGGAGCTAGCAAAGTCTGGACCATAAACTTGTGTTTCTTCTTCTCCGCCGGATCAAAGTCGTGCGATTGTAGGGTTACTGTAATTATATATATACATGAACATTATTGAGACTACTTAAACATTTTTCAATTAAAAAATTATTATCCTACATTGTGGCCATGATGAATACGCGAACAAATGGATTTTGTTTATGAGGTAATGGAGTGCTTTGTCGCTTGAGTTCTTAATGGCTATTTTTAAAATATTTAAATATATAAGTGTTTATATGTGCGATAAGAATTAATAATATGATATTATTATTACTTAAAAAAGGACGACAGTAGCTTCGAGATATTTTTACACGAACACTGATTTATTAGGTAAAGAACGTCGTCATTTTTATTTGTGCGTATGCGTATGTAATATGTATACGTCAGTCGATAGTGAAGAATAATTATAAAAGTGTAATTTTTGTAATGGTATGTTGCCAAGTTATTGCATAACTTTCGGTTAACATTTAATATACCACATGACGCTCGAACTTCTTTAAAAGTAGCGCATCCAAATTCGAATTTCTTAATATGTGTTTCCTCCCCCTTATTCACATGTGTTTTATATTATAGATGGTCACATGACGTCATTTTAATATTATAAAAATGGCAGGAATCAAGATCAGGGTCAGCTGGTCTATAGTTATGTAAGATCTATTATAAACTCTCTATATAACGTGTCTGGAAAATCTACGGTAGGCACTGCGGAAGAACGCTTAGCAGCCATACATTACGTTGCGGCTTCAGAAAATAGTTAATAAAAAGTAATCGTTTTATTTGGTCATTTCATCATTAGGATGTTGTACGTTAATTGTAAGAATGTGACCATTGTTGTCAGAATATTAGTTATTTTGTGCCTATGAATTTATTTTTTATAAAAAAGGATCTTTTAATAACATTATTAATTTGTTTGTGTAATTCATCAATGTAATGGTCAGTGAGTGTATAATGGTTACTTTGCTAAATAAATATTTTGGACAAGAGACTAAAAAAGAAATTATAGTTTTTATACATTTTTTTCATCTGGATAGGCATATTTCTTGAGGAAAAGGTATTTGTTTAGTCTGCAAAAATTCCGGCTATATATTGTAGAGGAAATACATAATATCAAATGTTTCTGAAGTAATAGTACGATTGATGAGTTACACGAATTAAACTTTTTTTCTCTGGATTGAACAGACTTGTATTTATACCAATTTGTACGTACCAGCTACATTAATTGTCTGCTTGGGTTTTAGAGACCCAGAGTTGGGCCGTACGCAATACCTCTTTGGAGCAGTTGTCTTTATTTTAAAATATACTTTGTTGTCTGTTGGATTGGTCAACTTCATGTAGGCTGTGACTGGAATTCCTATAAAGGGTCCTGTTACAAGAGAGAGAAATTGAATAAAGCATTAATATGGATAGTTCTAATAGTTATGTTTGCTTATGGTTATATAGTATAGTTATATGGAATTAAAAATCTGCAAATTCTAATATAACTGTCGCTATGGCCTTGTTAGATCGATTTAAAATAAGATATTAGAATAGTGGTGATATTGCAAGAACTACATGATTTCAAGATGAAACCAAGTATTATTAATAGATTAATTAGATAGCTGTCTAACTGATAGATAAAGTCTAAGGTTCAAGTATTAAACAATAATTTATACAAAAAAAGAATTCTTCATTTTAACTTATAATCACCATTGCAAATGGCTTCATTCATTACTTTTATTTGCATATACATTGTGTAACAACATAAAACATTGGTTTTGGAATCCCATATATCATATAGCCTATGACAAAAATGGAAAATTGCAAAAATTTATATATGACACTTTTCTCAATCAATACAATACAAAGATATAATTATGATCATACCTATGCCAGTTATTGTAAAAATAAAAGATTACTTTTATAAATAAAGTGAGAAGGGGATCTAATCGTTACATTTTCTTAAGGTTCACATAAAAAACATGAAAATCTGCTGAAATTGCAATAAGAAAATGTATAGATATTAGTATATCATCCTATCGAAGAGAGTACACATACCAGACAATATTCTTTTATGCTACCAGAATCGTTATAGAACTATCATAACACTATGCAACGAAGAATGATGAAATTCATTACAGCTAACTAAAAAAATATATTCAAAAACAAAGTCCATCCCAGCCACAGGCTGTTTGTAAATCAGAGAGAAAGATGCGCGAATCAGTGAAGAGTGGGGACAAGGAAAGAAACTAAGAAGTCAGCCAGTCAGGTTGAATACCAACAACAGCAGCAGCAGAAACAGCAGTAGCTGCAGCTACAGCTAGGCCGTATACGTATCTTTTGACAGCAGTAAAGGACTACCACAATAGATCCTTAGCTTCCGTATCAAAATTCATTAAGAAAGTATAAGAGAATGTCAAGCCTACTCTACGGATATTCGATTTTTGTATGGACATCCGTATGTCATACCCAAGTGAGGAAAATACATAGCAAAAAGCAAGCGGCTATTGTCGCGTGGTAGGAAACGTGGGCCCGTCCAAAAAATTCGATAGAGCAAAGAGTCATAGCTTGAGCCACGAAACAAAACTTGAGAACGAATTAAAAGGTGAGATAACGATTCGATTTAAGCGTACCTGTAAACTTCAGCTCGCTCTTCGGCTCGATCTGCAAAACCTGTTGGGGCTTCGACATTCTGCTTGTCACCAAACTGTCGCGATTCAACGAAAACTTCCTCCTCTCAGAGTCGAGCTGATCGTGACGTTTAGCTGACTTGACAGGTTATTCGACACTTGAATGATTTGCCTTACAGTACCACCGTGCTCTCACTTCCACTTTCTGGGATTCCGTTGGACTAATTCTGATTTGCAGCTCGCATGAAAGACGCATGCGTCATGACTGAAATTATTACAAGTTTGCGTTACGTCACGACAAAGTTACCACGCTGATCATATCCGCTACGACCGAAACGACGGCTACAGAAGCCGTAGCGACTTGGTCCTTTCTTCTACTGTTCACCAGCCGAGCGGGATCTAAAATGCATTATCAAAATTCTTGTAGATGTTTCAGATATGCCTTGGAATTAAAAGCTAAGACAATAGTTGATATCTAGTTGAACTTTTCATGCTTACACTTTAATGTGACACTGCGGCCATTGAGTTCTTAACTCGTGTATCTGAGATGAATTTTGAAAATCTCGAAATTCCAGAGCTGTAGAATTAGTTCTGGCTTCCGTATCTTCTTACTGACGGTACTATTGAAGAGTGTAAAACGTATTGTAACTATTATTATATACGGGTCTGATACTTATTTGAATGATATTGGGATTTTGTACTGTTTTAGATATGATTTCGGTTCTCATTGTATCCAAATTCAAAGGTACGAATAGTATGCCGTAGTAGTTCTTTGTGAGCCAATAAGGTAGTGAGTTTTGCAAACACGTGTAGGCACGTGTAAGACAGCGTCGTTTCTCTGAAGAAAGACACCGGTTGTTACCTTTTTTTTATTAACCTTCTCCAAAATGCTTCAAGAAGAATATAAGCCAATTACTAAGCCACAGCAGGTGGATCCTAATTTAAATGCAGAGTTTTATAGGAATATTGCAGAAAGTGAGCTGTCTCCTGTAATTGATCCACAACTAGAATTCATTGCTGTCTATAATGGTACAATTTTAAATGATTCTTGTATATATTGTTGGGATGTTTATAAAAGACTGACGATAACATTGATTTCTTTTTAGATGAAACTGCAATAGTAGGTGCTACTTGTATGACTAGTCGTTTCTGGCGTGGTAATTTGTGGTATTATGAAGATATATCAAATCTTAATAGAGCCAAAGCGACAACTACTTCTGGAGGAGAAAGTGGAATTACCACTGGTGCTTTTTTGGGAGAACGTGATAAATTTGTAGTTGGTGAAGACAGTGGAGTTATTAAAGTTCTTAAAGTAGATGTTGCAGAGGATGAATCAAAGAGAGGTATTTACTATTTGGGATATGCTTGTCAACACGATGATTCAATTACATCCTTGTCGATATTGAAGAACAGTAAACAGATCGTGACAGCTGGCTTGGATTATTGGTAAATATTTCTATCTTCTGTAATCACGGATTATAAATAAGAGTTTTATGTTAAAATTTAGTTATTTTTTCAGCATTAAAGTATGGGATGTGGAGGTATTGTTAGCAGTACACTCTTACAATCCTGCTCACGTAGATATAGTCACCAGCGTAGATGCACATCCTACGAATGATTCTATGTTTGCATCAACATCACTCGATCAGGACATATTAGTGTGGGATATACGACAAGCAAAACCTGCAAAAAGTCTGTAATAAACTTATAACAAAGGCTTGTGTTTGTAAAAAGGTCATTAATATATTTTTCATACTTTGAAGGGATATTAAGAAAGACAGATTGTGGTGGAACATTTGTAGCATGGAATCCATTGGATGAGAGTATTCTTACTATCGGAGCTCAGGATGGAAGTATTTCTATAGTTGATGTGCGAAGTCAGAATGACTCTCCACTGTGCGAATCTGTAGTATTTTCTAGAGAAATACGTTCACTTTGTTTCCATCCAAAGAGGTATGTCATTAAATAATTTACTGCCACATGAAAAAAAAAGTTACCCAGAGCACTAACTGATTTCATGTTCTTTGATGTAGAACAAATCTACTGGCTGCTTGTTCCAATGACAGTGGTGTTAAAGTATTTAATACAAGCAATGAGATTTCTTTGATATACGAAGATAATACCCACAAAGACTTTGTACGTGGTTTAGCGTGGATTAAGGATGAATTGATATCGTGTTCCTGGGATGATACTATCCAAAGGCACGCAATACCCTTTTAATATAACGATTATCAATATTCCAACAAGTTTTTCCTGCACTATATCTATAAGACTTGTGATCTGTCTCCGTCGTCTTAATCTCTTTATGAAATTGGAAAAACAATATTTTCTTAATATTAAACTTAAATGTTACTATAATATTTTATATCATCTATAGCTTGACAGATAGAAGTGTTTGTTGTATTTTACGAATCATTTGCTGATTGTGACATGGAAACATTATAAAAAGAATGATGAAGTTTTCGGTATATTCCTAATTCCATTAGAACTCAACTGTCAGTACGCTTAAGTAAATAAATATTTTTGGTATTTATTATTGCTCGGTTCATTTTCCTATTTATCACCGCTACATCCTTTAGTAGTTCTTTTATATTCGGCATCTTACGTAATTACATAGCATACCGTTTAATTGGGCAAAATTTGTTAGTGATTGTTCAGGACAACGAGTGCATTGTCAATTTTTAAAATATTTATTGTTTGAAATAATTTTCCTTTAGTATATAAGATCATAAATTTGGATGTTATTATCACTAAGAAATGTTTAATTATTTAGAATAATTCTTGTAATAAGCTGCCACTGCAATTACACGTATCAAATAAATTAATACTTAAAAATCATCACGTAGGCATCGTGGTTATTAGTTGCTTAGTATGTGTGTGTGTGTGTGTGTGTGTGTGTGTGTGTGTGTGTGTGTGTGTATATATATATATATACTATAAGAGTATGAGGCACGTACAGTTTCCTTGTAAGAATAATGATAAACATGGATGAATGCATGAAATACCAGACACATTCTACGTTTAAACTTAGTTTGCGATATATAATCATAGGTATATATAAAAGTTGAGTAACGAAATTTTTAAACTAATAAAGGTATCTACTTTGAAGAACTAATAATCATATAACTATCTACACAATTAACTGTTTCATTCGATATTTCAAGTATTATATACACCTTACAAATTGTATTATAAATCCAAAAATTGTTATCATTGCCTTCCATATCGTCAGGGCGTAACGTTACGCTCCAAATTTCATAACAGATAAGAATGATGAAGTGACAATGACAATAAAATGAACATTACAGTGGTTATCCTTAAAGAATTATATAAACAGTATTATAATTTGACATCATGATATTCTTTTGTTTTACAATCATCCTGGGATAAGAGAAAAAATAACTTTCACCTCGTGAGCAAGAATTTTGAGTCATACAAAAATTGACAATAACAAATACGTATTCATTCTAACCGAATGTTATTTCGCTAATCAAGCCGTTCCACATGTCACGTGCATCATCAAATATCTTACGTCTTGGCAGTTGAAAGACATGAAAGTAAACGGATCGATTCTTGTCCAGACTATTGATTTTTAAATAAAGTATATTTAGGTCAGTAAAGAATTCGATTCGGCGCCTTTGAACGCAGCGCGACTGTTCGTTAAATTCTTATAGAATGATTATCCATCAACTATTCGTCTATACAATCAATTTTAATAATACAGTAGCAATCAATCATCATTGGAATAATAATGTATCAAACCTTCCTTCAGCCAATGGCACTGATATAATTTTGATTCCTCACATTTTTCACCTCATTTCTTCATCATTTCCTTAAATTACATTCACACTGTGCATTCATTGTCTTTCGTTCTTCTTTAAAACAATAAAATTGAGACCTTAAAAAAAGAAAAATTCAAGAACAAGAATCATTAGAGTTTTTTTTAAACATTTGTTTACTTGAAAATAGGCACGTCAAGATTGTTTATTTAACGTCCAGCACCTACTGATTCCGAAGACTGTATTAATTTGTGATATTATAAAATCTCATTAGAAAATAGATACCAAACAGTACACTTTGTATTTTTTTCCACCACTGTATTAATTTATTAGTGCAATAAGGCAACGAGAACTCGAGGTGTACTCGAAACTATCACAAACAGTTCAGTTATTTCTCTCACTCGAAAGATCCAAATTGTTTCTTCGCATCAAAACAATTGGATTTGCCAAATACAGTTGATTGCTGTCGATCACTACCCAAACGCATTCTTCTAAATAAAAAAATGCCATATCCAGTTCTGATTCCATTTTCCATAGCAATTACTTAATTATGTGATGTGATTATAATGGAGATTTTCAATTAGCCATAGAGCAAAAATGATGGTAAAACAAAAATGAGGACTTAGTCTCATCGTTACTTACCATTCGCGAGATCAGAGCTATGATTAGGAAGTAGTTCAATCAATAATATACAACATAGCAAGAAGAACTAAGAAATTATGTGTAACCGAAAGTGGAATCAAAATTTGGACAGTATATATATGAGGGGACTATCGAAACGTAAATTTCCAGATAATCTGTAAAATGTATAGAAACTATTATTATCAATGAAAAATTGGATACCTAATATGCAATATTGCTTGTCATTAATATAATTGAAGCATTAAATGTTAACTATGTTTTTATGCAAAACAGAGACACTGTAAACGCTGTAAACCTCCGTTTCCGGTTTCCGTCGGTTATCACATGAATATGAGCAAATACAGCTATAAGTTATCTTTCCCTTTTGATTCGCTTGACATGCTGTGAATTTCACGTGTCTCAATTAAAAGTCTCATTATCCTAGACATCGTAATGACGACGTACAATCAAAAACACTTCAAATGATTCTCATTAAAGACACAAAGTTGTCACGAAATATTTTGAATTACGATAGATTTTAATGACATCAGATGTCAACATGAGTTCTTTTTTAAACTGACAAATGACCCTGGTTAGAAAATTGTTCTGGTTAGTATCAAAACGATGGTTTCAATGCCTTTTTCCTATAAAATGTAAAAATTCATGATTCCTCGATAATTCGTGAATAGAGGCATCCTTTCCTTTACAAAATAACTAATAGTCGCAATGCAACAAAGTTAAGAGATATTAGAGCGACGACGCAAAATTAAAAGGAAATAAAATGCAAGATGTAAATAAATTATGCGCGTTAAACGGAACTACGTTTTCTCATTCCATTTTCTATCCTGCCATCTTTTCGTTCTCTCGTGAGCGACCTTCAATTCCACTAGTAAACAACGATTAGGGAAAAGACCGCAAATAATTAACAAACAATTTTCAAGTAATGAAAATCCCGCAGAGTGATAGAATCACGTAAATTTCTTAAACTTTAATATTACCCATAAAACATGCTTTTTGGGTGATTCGACGATATTTCAGATTACCGTACGAAATATATGATACTTTGAAAACGTATCTTTTTGAAATGCCGCAAAGTTCACGGCAATAAAAGAAAATCAATAAATATAGAAACAATCGATGATCATGTAAAAATGATTACGCGCATCTTTTCGACAATAAACGAGTTCCCGTGGACAACTGCGTTGGAATTAGCTATACGAAAGCGAAACAAAATCCAGTGCGAAAGAACAATCTGCGAAAATGAATGACTCCTTAAGTCAAAATGAACACTAAACTGAACCGGGCATAGACAGATCAGTTTCATCTTCGTGGCTAGCACCAATCGGCCATATATGTAAAGTCTCTAAACAGACTCTGTTCAAGTTCATTGAGTGGTCGAGGATCTTTGGGAGGCGTCAAATGAGGTTTTTCCGATGTGAATTCTTCGTCAAAGTTGCTGACATCCTCTACCGAATGCTGTGAATAAATAAATTTCACCGTCAAGCATTACAAGCAATCTCCGTGATACTATCTGACAGGTATAAAATTAGTTAAAAACAAAGTGAAACTCACGATCACCGGTACAAATGGCGGCTTGACGCGTCTCAATAGTAAATCGTCCCAAGCGATATGTCTGAAGAATGCTTGTTTTTTAACATCCTCGGCGTCTCTCTCGCTGCTACCTAATCTTCTGTCCGGATTCTTTCTAAGTAACTGCAAAAGGACGAAGGACGATTGAGTAAACAGTCACAAACATTGTGTTCAAGTAAACTATAGATAGCAAGTAAGTCCTACTCTTCTCATAATCGCTATGGCTTCCAATGAAAGGTATCGTGGATAGCGAACTTCATCGTTAACAATGGAATCAAAGACTTCTTCTTCGTCATCACCAGGGAATGGAGACTGTAAGAAGAAGTAAATTTATAATTAAATATTTAAACCCGGCAATATCCAAACATATACAATGTAACAGTCATACCTCTCCAACAAGCATCTCGAATACCAGTACTCCGAGTCCCCACCAATCTACTGCACGCGTATAGGAAGTCTCAGTGAGAACTTCCGGTGCAAGGAACTCCGGAGTACCACAGAACGTTCCCGTTCTATCTCCATAGCCCATACCTTCCTTGCACAATCCAAAGTCAGCTATCTTGACGTAGCCTTCGGTATCAAGTAAAAGATTATCCAGCTTCAAGTCCCTGGTAAAAATAAAGAGCATGTATTTTGGACTCTTCAGTACGTCAACGAGCATCGATCCCCTCCCCGTTATCTAAACAATCAATACCTGTAGATAATACGACTTTCGTGCAAATATTGTAAACCCAGCACAACGCAAGCCGAGTAGAAGACAGCGCGCGGCTCGCCGAATACATCCGCGTGTATGTGCATCATAAGGTCACCGCCAGCAGCATATTCCATGACAAAACAAACATGCGCCTAAAAAAAAAGTATAGTCCGTAAATTAAACACAAATCAGCACAATAATGCAAGGCACGAAGTTTCACGTGTAATAATCGAACGACCATAAAGACATCTTGAGTGCATATCAAATCTGCTTTATGTAATCACCTCAGTTTGAAAGCAGGCAAACAAATTGACCAGGAAGGGATGACGAGTGGCGTTGGCGACTTCGAATATCCTCTTCTCAGACAGCAAAGACTCGACCTCGTCCCTCGCTATGATGTCTCCCTTCTTCAGTGCCTTGATGGCAAAGTACTCGCCGGTGTTTCTGTACTGGGACAGTATGACTTTGCCAAAATGACCCCGGCCAAGTACGGAGAGCAGTCTGAAGTTCTCCAGGGTCATTCCAGTCAGCTGAGAGTGTCTTCTTGACTCGTAGGCACTGTCTCTGTATTGATGAGGCCTAGCTGGCAATTCGTACACCACCTGAAATTGTCATGAAGTTGGTATACCATCGAAGAGCGTAAACGCGACTGAGAATCCATTGAACATTCGATACCAGATTACAACTTAAATAACAATGTAGTACAAAAGGGTTAATGGCAATTTGTTAATATGTTGTTTATTCTTTTATTTATTTTTTTTTAGCGACAGCCTCCGAAGTTCCCAGCACAATTAATTGTTAATCACGATTTCTCATGGTGTATCCTCAACTATGTATAATAAATATGCAATGCCCAATGCGTAGCTCTTGGTATTACGCGTACAGTCATGTATTCTGTCATTATGTATTTTCTTAATACTTTTTATTCGTTAAACCAGTTGAACCACCGGTACTTTAATTCCAACGAGTCATTACCGCTTGATATCCGGGTTCCTTGTAACCAATGTACTGTTATAACAAAAAAAAAAAATAAAAATAAAAAAGATGAAAATAGATTTTTTTTCTTTTGTTCTCAGAATGCTTTGATATCGAATAAATACAAATTATCTAATGTACATATCTTGCTACGTGATCTATACCGATCATCCCACGTGGTACGTGATATACAAATTTGTTTAATGATACAAAACATTATGAACGGGTATTCAAGTGCAGTGCACACGACAAAAATAACACAGATAGCAACAGAGGCAAGGATTGGAAGCAAGATAAGGGATACATGCAGAAATAGGTAAAACACAGTTGGCATTCCCTTGGACCAAGAAGACTTCTGTATCTTTTTTCATTTTCGTTCATTCTGTTCCCTTTTTCCAAGGTATCAATAAAGCAAGACAAATTATGGAGAATGGCGTCAATTAATTTCTAATCGCAATACTCTCCATAATAAATAATTTCGCAATCCTACAACAATCTAACGACAACCGATATTTGCGAGTACGTCTTCCATCTACATTATGATTTCTGGCACTGCTATAACCTTTCTTCAAAGTATACTTTTGACTGATATTTCTTACAAAGGATGGTTCATACGTTCCCTTCCTCGTTTACCGTTAATATTGAAAAATTGTCCATGGAAAATTGGTACAAAATGACTTCGTGCTCGCCACGTATAATTAAATATGTACAATAAAAAAAAATAAAATAAAATAAGGCAGACAAAGCCATGCTGTGTGAACTGGAGGTTTGTACCTCATCCTCGGGAAACTCGACGACAGGTTGGGGCGAGGGTGTGCGCGGAGAGGGTGGTGCGATCAGCACAGGGCGGGGCTCCGTGACGAGGGGCCTCAAAATTGCACCCTGGGACCCCACCTTCTCCTCGTTGTGCAGGAAATCAAACTCCCTTAATGCACTCTGCAACTACATTACTACCTGCTTAGCGGTCAAAGTCTACTTTGTCACTTTTGTTTTTTTGGCGACTTCAATGCTTTGAAGGCCAGCAGGAATGTCTCTCGGAAATTCGAGTGACACGATTACCCGAGAGACTAGTAGAGTGTATGATTTTTTATTTCGAACTGGCAAAGTGTATCTGAATTTGTGACAAAAAAAAAGGATGCGGTGCTCTGATGAAAGAAAGAAAAATAACATGTTTGTCCAAATTATTACAGTTTCTTGTGGGTGGGAAAGAAAAGCTTGTGCACTTTAAGTATTCACGTAGATGCTGTGCTTGAGTGAAAAGAAAATATATATGTAACATAGCGATTTCACGTACTTTCAAAAGATATTTACATGACGCTCACGTAGCGCGGGATAACATTTAATCCTAGCGCGTGGTAATACTCTGAGAAACATTATTTATGAGAAGAACAATGTGCCAAGGTAAAGGAAAACCGTTCAACTAATATATATATCGTCGAGATGATAAAAAATTCCTATTTTTTATTCCTGATTGAGCTACATTACTTGATCCAATTGTTTTCTCTTGGAAGATTTTAAACCCTCAACCAAAATAGTCCCATAGTGTGTTAAAATTTCTAAGGACGAAGAATATTAATGTTACAGCACCTTTCCGATGCAATGGACCATACGAATTAATACGTTATGTAGTAAATGTTAATGAATTTTCAGTACACGTTGCATAAGTATTACTTTCACTCATCGCGCGTTGTGCTTTTTTTTTATTTATTTTTTTTTTTGGTTCAGTTTCGCGCCATCTTTGTAATGGTATTAGGGATTCTACGTATAGTGGCAGGTCGCTGCAAAGTGACGTTTGATTATATATTATCAGAAGTAAGCAAAACGGCGTACTTACCTCTTGATCCAATTTTGGTGCTGTTGAAGGTGCTGGCATAGAGGGTTTCTTCGTGAGGGATGGCGGTGGCGGAGGAGGATGATCAGGAGGATGTGGAAGTACAGGACTTCCGGTGGTAGTTAGCATTCCCAATGGACGAGCACCGCCCAATCCTCCCTTTTCAGGATCCGGCGATTCACCAGGTGTTTCTGGCTTATCCTCTATCGTCGTATCGAAAACAAGTTGAAGCGGTTGAGGTCCTGAGTATAAATATAAGTAAAGCTAATAATACTTTCTAAGTAACACGATTGTTTGACAAGTGATAGAGGTAACGAAATGTGTTTCTTACCTGATGGTGGACTTTCGGAATTTCTTGTATTATGTAACGAGGGTGCAGAACGTTTGAGAAGCCTGCCCCAGGTGGCGACATTGATGTTCATTTGGTTGGCTCGCGGGAAGTTCTTAACTTGCTGTTTGAAAATCTTACGCTGACGCTGCAGCTTCGGTTTCCTTGAAATCATGGGATTGAGGAATTTTATTTCAGCAAACAGCAACCCCTGCGGTTCCAGTTGCAAGGCCATTCCATGTCGGACGTCGTCAATGAACTCCTCCAGACGTAAAAACTTAACAGCGCAGAGCGATCTCCAGTCCTTCCAATAAATGCCTATTTCCAGTTCTCTCGACTTGTCCAATTCGAAAGAGAACCTGAAATCCATTTAATAGAAATGACATTAATTACCACTTAAGCTATTAACACCATAACGCAGTGCAACCAGACTGAATAGAATGAGTACCTTTGATCCCAAGCCTGCTGGGAGCATGGTCGCCAACTAGTTTGTGCCACCGTCTGATTATCCAGTTTAATAACCGCCATAATGTCGTCTGCAAACATTAAAATTAGACAAGTCATAAACATAAATTCCAACGAGTCACAAAGAACCATAGGACTGGAAATGAACTTACTGCTCGTTTCATCCTTGACGCTGTAAGACTTGCTGGAGCTACGGCCAGTGACTCCCTTGACAAAACTCCGTAAATCCGGACTGGCTGGATGTTCTCTTCTCGTGCGTCCAGGTACCTCTTCCGCAAGATCTTGGCATCCCATCAATCTTACCTCCAGTTGTCCAGTGACCGCGGCGCATCTCGAAACGGATGCCGGAACAGTTGCTCTGCCTTCGAGGGGTCCACGAAATGGTTGCAGTGATGTATAAGTTACAGGAACAGGACTGGCTGCCTGAACACTTGCCAATTCTCGTTTAAGCTGAGCCGCAGTGGAGCTATCTGGTGGCAGCTCCTGTCTTCGAAGTTCCAGGGATAGTCTGAGTAAGTCCAACTTTCGACTGGACTCCGCGAGACTTGCTTGAGCCTACGATAACGTTACGACACATGAGAACCTTGAAAGATTTAATAATCAATCATAATTACAAAATTGCACGATAAAAGAAAAATAGAGATTAAAAAATTCTTCTTGATAGCATCGCTAGTATAATCAACATAATTATTATTTATTAACAGTAAAATAATCAACAGTACAATTCGTTATTGTTAACTTGTATAAATGCGCTCGTATACACAGCAGAATGTTCAACAGCGTTTCTTAGCAACGATTAATTGACAGTAACTATAGTAATATAAATAACTGTATACGCCTTTGGAATATTATCTGAATTTGTGTGAACGTAGCTCTGTCGTTGAGTAGCACAGCAAACATCGTGATACAATTATTTTCTTGTACGTGCAGCAGAGAGAAGAAAAATAAGAGAGAAATGGAATTCCATGTGATTCCACGATAACAGGAATCTCTACAGAGAAGTGTCTTCTCTAAAGCAATTGATGCGATTAAACTGAGAAATAAAATGATATGTGCCAGCATTAATTATTCAGGCTCGTTGTGGTAGCTGGGGATATTATGTCCCTCCCTCTCCTGTACCAGAAGCCCGGTCGTCGCTCGAGTTCGCTAAGAGAGCGCGAACGACCTCGAGGACCTTCCTCGTCGAAGAACCTTCTACAATGTTCGCAGGAACAGGATGGATTCTTCGAGGGCCCTATATGATGTCCCGGCTTCCGGAAGGCAGTAACGACCATGCCAAATATAGAAGCTTTAATAATGTGTTCAGTTTTCTCGCCCTGGGGCGTAGTGAACGGTGACGTCACTCTCGACTCAACCTTCGAAGGCGGAGGAGTTGAATTTCTCGAGCCAAAGGGTCCGATCTGATCACGAAGAACAAACGGATGCGCACTGCTGTCACTTTGACTGACACAATCCACCTGTTCCTTTGAAGTAACTTCAGAAGACTGTTTGACGGCGTCCGAAGGTAGATTAGCACTTTCGGTTTCTGCTATCTTATCCTTACTGGTACGACGAATAGTCGAGTCGCGTTTAACAACACGTGTGTTCTCGTCGCTGGACACGAAGCTCCAACCGACTTCGGCACTGTCGTCCGACTCAGCTGCACTCTCCCCGGATGACCAGCCGATCTGATGTTTCTCAAGATACTCCTTCATCTTCTTATTCTGAAGCAAATGTCTGCGTTCTATATGCGGCGACTTCCAGGTCTTACTCATCCCGTCCTTCTGTGCCCAGAGATTCTCCATCTTGTCGATTCTCTCACGATCCGAGGAGTTTGCGTACTCGAAACTGTCGCAGGGCGTCAGACTGGTTCTGCTGTTAATAAGAGACTCGATATCGGAGAAGGTGTCCTTGCAGGAAGTGGCAGCAGTAGAATCGTATCCCTCGAAAGGTATACCAACGCTGGACGAAGCTGCCGACCACGCGTTAGAATCTAAATCACGAAGAGCGCTGTAAGAACTGAACTGCGATGGATACAACGAGCTGAGGACATCGTCGCTCTCGTATCCCTTGGAGCTAGCAAGCGAGGGCATCCTCATAGGAGCATTCTTGAAACTCTCACAGCGCCTCTCGGCACTGCGCTTCAGGAAGGCTTTGTCGTCCTGAAGGCCTCTTGGTAGCACGTTGCTCTTGGCACGTGTGTGTATCACTCTGACATCGTCGCACTCGAAAACCGGTAAGGCTGCCTTATCTTCCTCATTACTGGACGAGTCCGAGTCACTGCTCTCGTCTAAATCATCATCGGATCCAGTGCAGTATACATCTATATGTACAGTACGTGATTTCCGTTTGGAGTTGTCGTCCTTCTCAGAGGAGTCGGACTTGTCCAGTTCCGCGGATGAAGCGGAACTCCTGGTTGCAGAAGGAGGGCAGGACAACTGATTGATTTGCTGGAATAGAAGAGGAGAATTGAAGAAGTGCCATTAGCTTTATAAAACAGAAGTGTAACAGTCGTAGGCCTACTGAAAAGCTCACGCTTCCAGTTGGACCCTGCTTACCTGTATCTTTTTCTGCTCGTCCGCTGCCAGAGAACCAGGAGGAGTTTTTCTTCTGGCACTGTACACTTTGCTAGTTCTAGGAAGAGATGACTGGGACCCTTGGGATTCGATATCCGTAGTCTGTGAGGCAGCGTCCCTACTAACGACCGTCGCCTTGTTCGCCATCTTTTCAGGTACCCTGGTACAGAAGTGCGTAGTGAAAGCATTTGAGCCTGACGCGATACCCTCGGCGCAATCCTCGCAACCCTCGGGCACAGTGCTGAATTGACATCTCGCCGAGACATGCTGATGAGCGGCGTGGTAGCACCAGGGATCACTGCAGGATACTTTGCCACCTCGAAAATCCGGCTGTTGGCGGAAACTCTGACTCGTATTAGCAGGCACGTAAGGTTTTGGGTTATTTTGAGCACCGACGGTTGAGAGGACGATGCTGCACGTGCTCCGGCATCTTCTATTGTACTGTTGCGAGGGTCGTCGAGACGGAAAAGTGGTGGAAGACTGCGGCGAAAATTGTTCACTGTTGTACCCGGAGTCGGACACGTTGGCTCTGAATCCTGGTGACTCGATGTTGCTGGCTACCCCAGTGCGTGGTATGGTGAACGACCTGGTGGATAGAGTTCTGGCAGGCGGTGTCGAAGTGAACAGAATGTTTCCTCTTTGAAAGCCAAATCCACTGGAAGTCGAGGACGTCGACGAGGAGCTAGCTTGAGGAACCTGTTGTCCAGGAGTCCAACGATAAACCATCCGGACGCCATTGGGATCCGTGACCGTCGAGGCGCTACCTTCTGTCACATTGCTGGATGGCGACGTGACCGGCGTCCCGTGACGAATGGTCACCTCGGCACGAACCAGCCAGGGTGGTGTAGTTCCAGAATTGTCCGGGCGCCCGTACATCCCGCGACGATCGCCAGGCTACCGATACTCCTCGCGCGGCACCATGCTTCCAGCTCGTTATAAATGGCACGAGGTATTCATTCATGTGTTGATACGCCGAAAGATTAGTATTATATAGCAAGAGATCAACGTACCAAGTAATTCAATGGTAAGGATACAACGAGCTATCAGCTCCTTGCCGAATGCTGATTGCTTGTCACACGTTGCTCTAGGACGTTCCAAATGAGGTAAGTACCACCTCGGTCGTGTGGGGCAACAAACCGACAACAGCCGAGATGTAGTATATAATTAGCGCGATAAATTTGGAGCAATGTACAGTCAGTCCAAGAATATTCGGTCACCAACAGCACTTTTATTTAGTTATATCCGGCGTAATAAGTTCCGTTCGATCGAAGACAAAGGATGCGTGACAAAGTTTCATGTAAAAAAAAAATCTCAACACCACAATAATTATTTATAATACTTAAATTCTTTTCGGCGTCCCGACGCCCTCTCAGTTTTTTTTTTCTTTTCTTTTTTTAATGTACTTCCCGTATCTTGATCGGATCGCTGGAGCAGCACACGCGACACTTTTTCCCGATTTAGTACGACCCCTAAATCGTCTCCGTGAAAGTGCACTCTCGGGTATTAAAGAGCCTCTTGAACGAGTCTCCGCTCCCGTCGTTATCGCGCATGTCGACACTTCGTTACATGACGTTGCAGCGACCAGATCGAGTGAAGTAGCCTCCGTTAGATTTCTCGGAGGGAACTAACGCGACCCGAAAAGGCGTCACCGGGGAGCGGGGACGGTGCGGTGCTATTTTAAGAGACGCGCATATTCCGCCCCTGAGGTCCCCTTCGTGATCGTGTTCACGCTACTGAAAGTCTCCCAACAGCTTTCATCCCGGGCAGATACTCCGTTCGCCCAGGAGTCTCATCGGTTAGGAAGACGGACTTGGTAGTAGCTCAATGTGAAATACAAACTTTTTTATCTACAGACTTATATTGTAAACGATTACAGACTTCAGTCCTTGGTCGGTCGGCTAGAGCAACAATGAAAGCGGCGATCATTCGCGCTATTTCTATACCGAGTGAGTCCTCCTGGTATACCGAAAGCCATTTCAGCGTAGCATGACGGTTGAGCTGACGTTTCCGGTTCTACAATCGTAAACGTCAACTATCCTAAGCTTAGGAATGCTCACGTACCTCCGTCAGGGCCTTCTTATCGGCAACTTTGGCACTCTGGAGTAAACGAATGACATTCTTGGCTCCTTCCACGACGGCCGCTTCGATTCGCAGTCTATGTCGCAGTTCCTCGACTCTCTCCTCCAGTGCGAGTTCCAGGCTGGGCTCGTACTTATCTGCAATAAGGATCATGAATCATAAAGACCTGATCGTGCCACGGCATTTACATTTAGAGCTCAATAACTCTCGAGCACGCGATCGCTCCTACGACCTCTTGCAGGACGTGCTGATTTATTATAGAGTCATACACGATCCTGGAACCTGTCGACCAGCAGCATCAACGCTGCAGCCAGGCAACTAGTTTCCAGGTTCCAAGTGAAGTACAAAAGCCCTGGACACGACTGGCACGAGATTCTATAACTGCGCAATAACGTTTATATACGAAATTACGAAAGTAACTTGTAGTTGCAGATTACGTGCGCATCCACAAGGTCATTCTATTGCGACGTAAAGATACTGCACGTGTGGATTAAAATAACACGATACTCTGATAACCAAGGTTTCACCATTTCCACCGATATCAGTACCAATAGTTATAACTATTTGTCCTAGGAGAAGACATGACATCCAGATGAACGTGTTTTCCAAAGGAAGGTGACACAACGAAGACGAAGTGAGCGTTAGACATTGTTTGTGAGGAAACAGTGATGATTGACAAGATGGGCGTAGTTGGGCAACGTACGTCGGTGCGTGAGCAGCTGAGAGAAATTACAGGTCCGTCCGAGTGAGAGAAGACGATTTTTCAGCTTTAACATTTCAAGCGATCACTGCTCCGCGAACCTTGGAGGTGTACTCGCGCCTGTTCCTGGAGTTGATTGAGAGAACTTTTGACAGTGGCCAAGTGTGCTCCTAGTCTATGCCATAGTATAAATGTCAGCTCTAGGGTTATCTCTATTTATAAAGATCTTGCGGTACGTGTTCCTTAGATGATGGCACTTTTGCCAACTGGCCGAGTACATTATATCCAGATGATACATCTACACCTACATCCGGATCTCGTGATAGGCATCGTCCCTCGTTTCATGCACCGCGTGTGGATAGAGAATTGTCAGGTCGTGAAAGGAGCTTACTACAAGTGGATGCTGTTTGAATTCACCAGGTGTTTGTCAATTAGCAAATATACCTTTGTTACCAGTGGTTTCGCCATTGGGCGGAGGTCCGTCGCCTCTCGCATGTTGCTGCTGGCGTGCCTGGCGCACTTTCCTTATGCGCATGCGCAGAAATTCAATTTTAGCGCGGGAATCATCGAGCATCTGCTGCGCCTCCTGAAGGAGTTTCTTGTCCCTGTGACCGCTGGTCAAGCTCTGTATCATGTTCTCAGCTCCTTGCTTGACCTGCAATAAGGAAAGGACGTGAGACGCGAATGACGATTGAATCGGGTGCTCTAGCAACTATGCGAGAGATGACGTAATCCGAGAAACGATGGATTCTCCGGGTACGATTGAGCGACGGCAAGTAATTTTGTTATAAGGCACGATTAGGTCATCGCCACGACGTAAATATCAGATTGCTCCTTGAAGACAAAAAGCCTGTAACCACGGAGTTACTAGTTTAGAAGATTCGTTCTCAAATATTGAGAATCTAACCTTCCTCCAGATTGACTTAGCCATTCCCGGTCTCGACTGGCACGGAGTGACTCGTGCCGTTGGCCATGGCTCGAAATTGTAAGTATTCGCTATTGCGCAGAGGACCCTCGGCTAAGCCGGTTAGAGTCAGGGATATTATGTTTTGACGTAGCAGAATAGAATATAAGTATACTCTGTATACTTCCTCTAACATCGACTGATCATAGCGAAATTAAGTCAATCATGGTACAACGGATGGGTATGGTTAGTCGGTTCACCTTCAGTTCGATGTTCAGTTGCTTCTCCAGGGAAAGTAATCGAAGGTCCGTGAAGAGACCGTCCTGGCTGGGAGACAAGGAACCCATCGGTGACAGTGGCGTGTCTGAAGAAAAAAAAAAATAATGAAAGAATACAATAAAGAAATAATCCAAAGGTATACAAGTCACGCGAGTTTTGGTATTCATTATATTTTCTACGAAAGACTCGGGTCGTTCAGTCAGTTAGGAAAACGTAAAGGCGCGCCCCACCAGAGGTTCCCGTGACCCGGTCAAAAAGCCCGTAGCATGACAACTCCCACGCGGTCTTTCGAAGGTGGCGCAACCGTGGAAAATCACCAGTTCTTTGTTTTACTGCGTGCCGTTATACCTGCTGCAACTCTCCCACTGGCTTTCGCAGTCGAGACAATTGCATCGTGGATTCCCTCCGTAACGTTCTAACTGTTTCCATCATATTTCTCTTGTCCGTACGATAGGAATGTTGAAATTTGTCGACAATAAGAAAAATAGAAATTCAAGAATTCGACCAGTCAGAATCCCCGAGTGGAATTTCCTGCGACGAGCTCGTCGACGACCATTTATTCGCCTCTAACGAAAAAATTCCTACATCTCTTTTTTATTTACACGTCGAGATCGATGAACCGTTTACGCGACTCAGGAGCAAACGAGTTCGCAGGTGTATGAGGCGCGAGCGCCTTTCTAATAATTCATCGAACGAGTCCTGAGACTCGTAATCGCAGAGCAGCTAGTGCGGGGGCCGAATCGATTTCATTAAATCGCTTAACAAGACAGAAAATACGTATTACCGTATTATCGTCGATTAGCGACTTCTTCGTTCCGAGGAACGCGACGACGGCTCAGAGACGAGAGCGACGAAAACGAAACGGTGAATTTCGTGGGCACTCGTTAAGATTACATTAGACGTATCAGAGTGAATAGGTACGACGCACGTGTAACGTGATTTCTCGACACGGCGCACGCGATACAACAAATATCCATCGCCTAAGAAATAAATCTGATGACGGCGAATAGCCGGTTAACGTCCGTGAAATGGATTTATGGAAGTGCCAAGATAAGGTGGAGAGGGAATCGCTGAGTGAGTGAGTGAGTGAGTGAGTGAGTGAGAGAGAGAGAGAGAGAGAGAGTGAGTGAGTGAGGGAGTGAGTGAGGGAGTGAGTGAGTGAGTGAGGGAGTGAGTGAGGGAGTGAGTGAGTGAGTGAGGGAGTGAGTGAGGGAGTGAGTGAGTGAGTGAGGGAGTGAGTGAGGGAGTGAGTGAGTGAGTGAGGGAGTGAGTGAGGGAGTGAGTGAGAGAGAGAGAGAGAGAGAGAGAGAGAGAGAGAGAGAGAGAAAGTAAAGAAAAATAAAATAAGACAAATAAAAGTTGCCAAGTTCAGGATCCAGTCGAGGGACGAGGTGCTCACGCTAGAGTCTACGGTCCTTGGCCCAGACGGTCAACAAACCTTACCTCCATAGCGACTACGATTCGCGCAATAGACGAGGAGACGTTGACAACGCTCTGTTTGCCGGGCCACGTTCTATATTGGTCGAACGAATTAACGCCTGTACGTATTGAATACCCGGTACCAATGGCGAAGTTTCTCGTTGAAGGCTTAATTCAAAATTTCTTCGAAGAAGCCCCACGCGGAACCAACCACAAGAGATCACACCAGTAACGCCATTTTCATAATCTCTTACATAAATCCGATAAAAGTGTGCCTTCTATAAAATTCACGTTTCGCAGTAAATCCCGGTGTGAATAAATATTTCCAAAAAATTCATCAATTCCCGGATTTACTTCAAGCCTTCCCTGTAATCGCGGTTAAGCGAGATTGCCGAGCGCCGTCGGTTACCTTGTAAATCCAGTATCCAGGTAGTGTAAGTATATAGCAAAGGCGAGGCTGAACGGACTGGAGAGAACCCGATGCATACCGGCTGACATGTCCCAATAAGGAGAGGTTCGAAGTGAGAGATAAGAGTGTCAGTAGCTGCTCCACCAGTTCTAAATAGGCTGCTGCTCATTCACGACTCGATTCCCAGGAACAATGTAAACGGACCGAACAATATGGAGAATAGAGAGAGAGAGAGGGAGAGAGAGAGAAAGAGACAGAAACGTTCAAGTAGGTATCTACGTCATTAAGCGAGGTGCACACGTGCCCTATTATGCGTACAGTGTCATACCGTCGTTAGGGTTGACAAAGAATCCTCCCTCCGTTTAAGCAGCGCACGCTCCTCCATTCAATGCTCTTATTAACGGCACGTGCTAAACTCCCGACAGAGAAAAATTAAAAAGACGTTTCGTCTCTTTTACAATATTTATTTTTTCGCACTGTAAAGACTAGATCCACGCTTTGCTCTAACGTCTTAATTCTAGGTTACGGTGCGTCCTACGAAAGTGCGGGAAGAAGTCCATCCCTCGGGCACTGCCGCCTAGCGGCGAACCGAGGTACTAAGACAAAAAGTTCTGACAAACCGTGTAGTCGCGCGAGAAGACACAGGACGCGTGCCTGAAAAAGACGTACGGTTCGTTCGACAAGTGTTACCCTTTGAACAAAGATTAATGATCAGTAAAACAGAGTGATGTTAGATGACAAACTCTGCGCACACACCCCGGTACGCCATCTTTAAACAGACGGATAGTATCTTCTAAACGACGCTGTTTCGAACCTCCAACCTGGCACCGCTACAAAAGGAAATCTAAAAAAGACACACATCATAATCGTAGGCTTATTTTAGACTGACTTTAATGGACTAACAAATTTTCTGCTCATTTAACAAAAAATTGTAACGATATCAACTACGTATCGTACTAGTACCACATTTTTTTTTTTATACATAATAGCATTAATTTCGGCGATAAATCATTTAACTGACCCAAAACGAGCCCTCATGATCAACGTCTTCGATTTTCTTTCGTAATGGCGCTTCCTTGAAGGAGATCTGTCTCGACACACAAGGAACACATAACCCTACTTACAATAGCGGGGCAGTCGGCCAACTATCATGGACCTTGTTGATTTTCAATAAACGCTTGTCGTAAGCTGTTCGCACGGAGTAATGGACTCGTAACCGGCGCCAGTGTTGATGTTACCTCGTAAGCCGTGAATAATTTCGTGATGAACGTAAAAGCTCCGTTTTCACGAGCTCGTTCCAATTTAACGATTTTCCCTCGTTAGGCAAACGCCGATGAAGTTTTACATGCGTGATTTCCTCGTACATCTGCATTTAAAGTACCGTTCACCTCGTCTGACCTAGGACATCACACAGTACGATTTTGACAGATCCGAAAAATATCCAAGAGGACCAACATTGAATATCCCACGCCTAAACGTACACTGTATAATCGTAACAAGGTGTAAGATACAGTATACGCAGACTGTACTCTGTATAGGATGTTCCATCAGCATCCTCATTACAGTACTGATTAAAATAATTGCCCTGACTATAAGTGCAAGCGAACAGCATGCATTCGAATATTCAACATTCAGCGTTGCATCCCGTAGCACGGCAATGCATATATTCACGGACTCATCATACAACCGAAGACTTACGTCAGCCATGCACTCTCGGTGGAGTAACGAAACGTACAATTACTTATTTATAGCCAACGTGTAACCGTCGCATTCCGGTACGCAATAATTGTAACGACGTCGGAGTCAGACTGGCTAATTTGAAATTAGCCCGACCAGCGACTTCATCGTTCTCCTTCTCGTACGTTTTCTCACTCTCTCTCTCTCTCTCTCTCTCTCGTCTGAAGCAATCTGCATGACGACGACGACGACGACGAGGAGCAAGACGTTGTAGACGACGTGGTTATTTGCGCTGCGCGTGAAAATTCGGTAAATTTATCCTGACGAAGGCCGTTTCGTCTATCGATTGGCCTCTCGTGGTCGAGGCGCTTTGAGCAATTATTCTTATGGACTCTCGAGGATCAAACCCACTTACTGAGTTTAGTGTTATCGAGGATCGTGCGTACCCGCCTCGGTAACCTACAGAAATAAATATAAGATTCCACAGTGTATACCTACGGTAGAATAGCCAGGATACCGTGCGGAGACTCTGCTGTATGAATTACGCGGACTTGCTTTGACTCGTCGAGTCGAATGCATCGATGAATATCCATATCTGTTAAATGGTCGTGTACCGCGGAGTATTTATTAGCATGACTGACGCAACGGCATACGGCAACGGAGTACCGAAGTAGGCACGTCAGACGTTTTTTCCCCTCTATAACGTCAACGTGAGATTACACGTGCCTACGCGTATTATACGTGTACAGACTAACGTACTTATCGTGCTTATCGATGGAATTCGTCGCGATATCACAACCGGAACACGAAAATCGTATGGCTCATCGGAAGACTGTAATTAACCGCGTGTTATTGTTTCATGAAAATTGATAAGGTACGTTCCCATGCGTAGATCATCAATTCCTGGATACCAAGTGTCACTTCCTGACGTTACTCAGTCTAATCGTTATCGAAGGCCATACGTATAGAGGCTTGATACGGCAATGAGCGATTTTACAGTAAATCTGATTCGATGCAAGTATTCGCCCGGAAGCCCGTTTGGCGTTATTAAATGCATGACCGGCATTACGTACATCCGGAGGGGCACGGCCAGTCAGTCAGCTGAAGCAAGGAGCATATATATCAGCCATCTCGATCGTTTGGCATAGCCCACGTGAAAGACAGAGACGCCAAATAAGATACGTATACATAAGTAGCGCATTCCATTTTCTACGTGGACTGTACTTCATTCCAGACCGGAAGCGGTTCCGGGAGTCTACCTGACCATTTACGCGATCATAGAAACTGTCCCGCTCTCCGGATTGATCGTAAAGACGTGACCGGGTCCTGACGACGCAAGAAAGTCTCCGAGCCCCTGGAGGTTAGCCGAATAGGAATGCGAGCGTGGGTTTGAATCGGTTCGACTGAAACGCGATCCCGATACGAGAGACGACTGCCCGGGAAACCCCCCAGGGCTATGACGTGCAACGGTACTTCGGTTGATATTATTCAGACGGCATTACGGGGGTACCCGTTTCTTTTTGTTCTCGCCATATTAATTCGCACTGAATCGATGTACCGTGAGTATCGATCAACCAGGAAGTCACCGGTATCACAACTTTTGGTACTAAAAATAAAAATTTCAGTGACTATTTCTCGGCTCGCGTTAAAGTGGCTCTGTAGAAAGAGAAAACGCTTCTTTTTTTTTCCTTTCTATCGATGGCTCAGGTTAAACGAAAACAACCGTAAGACGGTACTCAGCCGTAGCAAGGCAGTCGGAACCAAAAGACACAACAGAGTCGAGTCAGTCGTGGCGCAAGAGACAAGACCAGTAGCATGGGGCTGCTTGGGAATCTCAATGGAATCTGCCGACGCTCCGGCAACTGAATGAGAAGAGGGGCTGCTGCCGGGCTGCTCTGTGCCTGGTGCAAGATAACTGACTTAACTGGAATGGATAGCGAGATGGGTCGGTATAAATAGCCAGTGCCCATTTATTACCGTCAATTCAAACGGTGGCGGCGAGCGAGCCCGCCGCTCCTCCTGGACTGAGCTTGGGTCCCCGCGAATCATCCATATAGCAATGAGCCTGGATTAACGCAATCACGGGTTAATTGCACCAAACTGGTAACGGGCCAAGTGTGTCTGTCAGCGGTCTAGCTCTATACGGTCAGTAAAGTATTATTGCAACGACGACCATGTACTTACCTTGTCCATTCGAATGATTCTGTTGCGGGGAGGCGGGTTGACCCTGGGTCAGGATTATCTGACTCTCCAGCTGCTGAAGCTCAGCCTGCAATTCGTTCAACTTGCTGTTTGCCTTCTTGACGATCATCGCCACGTTTGAGAGTGCCTTCCGGTCCGTGGCTACTTCGCGCAGCTTCTCCGCACCCGCCTTGATCTTCAGTTCCTGGGACAGGAGACATTCGTCACTTAACAAACGAGCAATCCATTTAACATTAAAATCTTACAATTCTAAAACGGCACTGAGTCTCGTGTTAAATCCCAACAGATCCGGGCATCGTGAGCAAACTCGAAGATGCGTCCAAAGCACAAGGTACACCTCCGGTTTTTCCGGGTGGGTACGGTAAGAGAAATATTTGGACCAGGCCCTCGCGCTAGATCCTCTTAGGAGGGACAGGTCAGGAATCAGGATATGGAGATTCTATGTACGGGTAGGGTATAAACAAATCTCCAGGATACACTGTGCAGACCTCAGTGGTAGCGAGGGATCTGCGCAAAGGAGTGGAGTATATCTAAATTTTAATTCACTGAGAGTCTCCGATGTAAATCCCTCACGTTTTTAGATGAAATCGGTATTTTCTAGTATCCAATTTCCTACGCGAAGGTACATCCTGGATGGCCACCGCGATTTGTCGCGGCTAATTTACGAATTTCGAGGACATTGATGGTACAGGAAGAAAAAAAGGGAAAAACATACTAGAAAAGCTTCAGGTAAAAGAAAGATGACGACTTCGGTTTATCCGGGTGAAAATTCATGTGGCAAAGTGTATGAAGACGTACCTTGCGTATCTCGCGACGTATATGTTCCCGGAGCTCGTCGAGACGAGCCGGCAAGGGCACCTGGTCGCTACCGGCCACTCCATATTTATTGGACAATTCGTAAAGAACGGGATGCCTGATGTAATCACCCTGAAACAAAATGAAATCGTTACGATCAGACCGCGTGACAGCGATTCACGGGGAAAAAGTAATCATGACACATGGAATTTTCATCTTTGATTAATCTAACGATCATCTTTTATTCATCCCGTGTAGGATCCTCGTGGAGTAAAAGAAAAAGAAATCTTTAAAAATTCCTAACTATTCTTCACCCGACGAGGATATCACTTTTGAGTCACTCTATCCGCACAGCAATCTAGTGCAAGAAATTCCCACCAGGTATTCCGTCACGATAATTAGCGGAAACGAGCATAAGCTCGACGTCGAATGAAATTGGGAAACTGATTCGAGTAGACCGGAAGTCGTCCGGCTCGGAGTATCCGGATGTCGACTTATTACGTATAACACATGAAATTCGGTATACCGTACGACGATACCGGAAATTCATTGATTGTCCATTTCGTAATTCTGTATAACTGTAGCTATCGATTAAGTATGCTCCTGTCAGAAATCAGTGACGCCGCGCGATCCAAGAAGTGTGACGGGATCCATAAGTAATTTCCCGCACATAATTGTCTCTCGTAAGGTGCATCAGTCAATTTTCAAAGGCGTTTTCGCGATTGAATAAAACTCGTTTGCAAACAATTAAGAGTATAAAAATATTAAAATAACCGATCGATACCTCCGAGATGAATGGCTCTGTATAAATCCATTGCGCGTGAGCCCCGTTAATTCTCAAGGTACCGTATAAAGTATTAAACACGTATTAACCCTATATGTTTTTTGGGGGATAAAGTATTAAACACGTATTAATCCTATATATCTAACAATATAGTATTTACTAATCGCTGCCATGTGGCGCGTAGGTTAAGTCAACCCGTGTATCTCATACGACCCGATCCGAATCGCGCTGAGTAAAGGCAACGATCCCAAACACGCATCCTGAACCGATCCGTAACAACGGTGTCCGTCCATCCCATGCACTTCCTGTTCAGCCGACGCGAACAGATGATTCACGTGTAACCTGTATACGAGAAACTGTGACATTTATCAGATAACATGCCTCCTAATATCGTCGATCTTATTTACAGTCCACTCGACCCGAATAATTTTCTCGATAAAATAACGCGTCGAACCGCGTTTCGATTAACCACGGGTTAATGAAAATTCATTAGACGCCTATTGTTGCACAGCTGATCCTAGCGCGCGCGTGGCACGCTGTACGCTTATCGTTATTACACACTAAGCCAACCTACCATACACGGTGTAATGCACGTCCACAGACCATGAGACTTCGGCATCCCGAATTAAATTCAATTTACCAGAATTCGACAGACTGGAGATTCGCGGGATATTTCGATAGTTCACCAGATGTTATAGATACGCGTGTCCTCGAAGATACCGTCTGATAATTTCGGCAGGTGCAAGTTTCACGCGAGAATAGAGATAATTTTTTTGAAAATATATTTCAACGTCACGCAGCGCAACGTTCCTCTCCATTCCACAGGAAGCACCGTACTGCTATTGACCGTCGATATCAGCGTACTTTGGCTTCCCGTTTGTCGCTGGCTTCGACATCAAATAAGAATCCGACTGGCGTGTTATCGCGCCGATTTCGTTCTTGCGCATTAGCCGAGCTAGTAAAATTCTATCACGATTATTAGTCTGACTGGTAAGTGTCTGTTGATTGGTCGTCGAAGAATTGCTAACTCCTGGTGTTAATATTCTTGATGCTATAGATACACTGTCTACCCAGGTACGGGGATTGTACACTCGTTGAACCGTCTTGTGATACAAGAGTGAACAGAGGAAGCAGACGCTAGGATTGACAAAGTCGAAATTATTATTTTTTAATTCGCAGGGATTTCGAATTTGATGTATACGTTCCTGGTGTTATCGCTATTCTGACATAACGCAACGTGACTCAAAGATAAAGCTGGGAGATCGTTCATTGGTAATCGTCTTGTAGGCACCCTCAGTACGAGACGCCAGACGTCGATTCTACGAAGTTAACAAACCGTAGATCGACCTAGAATTACAGGGAGACGTCCAGGTATTCGAACAATGGGGAAAGCGTTATCAAGGAAAGTTTGAAGTTCGCCTTCATTGGCCTGTCGATCCTACCACCCTGTCCGGAATTCCTTGTCAAGACGAACACCTGCATTGCAGTTCTGCGAATGCAATTGCGGCAACTGTGGGAACTGGGGCAAAAGCGATTGCGCCGTGTAAATAGGGGGTGTAGATGATGCGAGAGAGAACAAAAATTGATATAGTCATTACTCAATTGGAGTTAGTCATGAATTCTTATTCCTCTGGAAATATCCCAAAAGGCACCGATAGCCACGTTGAACGATCTGCATTCCACGTGACTCAAGATTGCAAGTGAGAATAATCCCAAGTCACAGTCAAGGGTCAATGCCACAGTCACGCCCTGAATAAAGAAGCAAAAAAAGGAGCTAAAGACATCAGCAGCCTAGAGATAACTCCAAGAGAATTTTCTCACCGACGGAAAGCCGATGGTTCGTGGGTGGAGCGATTTAAAGCACGAAAACCCCGGATGATGCGCGTCTCCTTCAACGTGATACTGACGCATCGTCTATTTTCACGTATTCTGTAATATATCTGTACCACGTATGTAGTCCACGGAGGTCAATATATCGTCCCAGTAATATGGTAATTGTTCCTGGCCAAGACAAACGTCGAACTAGTGAATGGATCTTTATGGGCGGACATGGAGTCAGTGTGCGAGGTCGGGAAAGCTGGATGAAAGATCTGGTGAAGGATAGAACGTTGTAGACTGGTCGTCGGATACATTTAAGTATGAGACGTCATCGGCAGAGTCTGTTTAAATGATAAAACAGCATTAGATGCGAATGTCGTATTTTTTTGAAGAGTGTATTCTAGATCGATAATAGTACCTACTGATAAACTGGCTAATGAGGATCGTTTTGAAACATAACCTAAGCGCGCTAAGGCAGATGGGCTACGAGACTGTCTTGTTCCGTACGCGGCGCCCGTACGGCTCGTTTATTTATGTCGCCGTATCTCGAAAGCAGCGCAAACAGTCTCGAATGCTTGGAAACTGTACGTACTTCACATTCCCTCCTGTGTCCTGTACTGTATTCTTCTTTTATTTTTATTTTCTTCTTCTTATTCTTCATGCGAATCGCCAGAGACCAGTTCAAGACACGCACTAAATGAACAGAAACTCGCATTGCTTACAAGTAAACCAGCCACCACGAACTAGGACAGACAGTGTCTATGATATTTTTATCGATACTTTGCCACAGGACTATACGTAATGCCAGCTACGAACAGGAAGCCGATTATTTTATGTATTCTGGATGAAAGATGACGTACACTTTAATTTTAAGACTTTCCCGATGTATACTGAGGAATCATGAATTCCTCAAGAATAAAAATAATAAACCTTGGTAGAATGACGCAAAATAGTCTTGAGATTGGTTTTGGATATAATGGTAAACAAACGGGTACAAGTACACGAAGAAAATAGGTTAGACTATAGCGACTTAATTAAAAGGGCCAGCTTGGCTGAGTTTTATTAAAGAGAAGCTATAGTTTGCATATAATTTTTAAGTTATAACCTTAATGACTTGAGATATTTAATGCTGTTCTCTTGTACGATGTCACAGAATAGACAGGAGGGTTGACAGATATATAGTTTGAATGAAAGATGCTAATTTTTAATGACAACAAACTTTCTTTGGTAAACGATACTAATAATCATACATGCAACGAGTAGGTCGCGCACGCTTTCGTAACGCGCAAGCTTACCGTCAACAAGTTACTCGGGCACAATAGCCCATTACGCTGTTGAAGCGTACAAAAATGTGGCAATCTTTACGAAAATGAATTGAAGTTAGACGTGAAAGTTTGTCAAATATATCATTAGAATCGAACGTGGTAAGCCACAGGCACAATGAGATTTCTACAGAAAGACAAGAGACCGGGTAAGCACTAGCACGTAATAGGTAAAAATACGACAGAGATTTAAAAAAGTAAATCCAAAAAAAAAAACAGAAATCATCAGGACGGCACTTAGGGTAGAAACAGTATAAATCTTCCCCTCTATCATTTTTAAGTTGGTCCGTCAAGGCTAATGTTTGGGGGCGTATAGGAACGGTCATGAGTACGAAGCATTTATCGCTAATACGTAATAGATTATGAAATTTTGTAAATGACCAATTCACAGAGTGATGATCTTTTTTGGCGAATTTCCGGGTAAGCAGCCGGACAACGCACCAGATAGAAAGAGAACTCAGGACCTGCGACTCACCTGATAATAGCTCGAGTCCGCCATCTTGCCACTATACTCACTCACTTTCTACCCGTCCTTTGTGCACGAAACAGCAAAGTCCATTGTTCACACGGGCAACGTACTCCGAATCACCGTGGCCCTGGGCCTGCACATTACTCGCGGTTACCAGTTAGGCCGTCTAACTTGTATGTAGATCATACGAGGGATATACCCGACGAGCAAGGAACGCTATTGCCGAAACACTAGATGAATGAATGAAAGACGCGCGACTCGCTAAGAAAATGCGGACGCAACCGCATTCCACCGCACCGGACTGGAGACTGACGGGCAGTACAGAGCCAATAGGGATAACTCGACTTGCGTACGTCATCCTCTACTACCGGGAATTACAGAGATCGCGCCTATCCACGTTCAGAATACCCTTCTCTAGCTTAACCCTTTATCTACAGCCCGCGATTATCCGGCAGATTCAAATATTACTTCACTTCTCTGCCCTGTTGCTGTGCTAAGTTGGTTGGGTACCCGTCTAATCTGGCTGTCAGCATTGTCATGTTTTTAGAGCTGATAATATACTGGGTGATTGTGACGTTGTAATCAACTGCGGTAAATGCCAAGTAACTTGGAATTATATATATTTTAGTTATTTAAGTTTTATTTTTATATACAATTTTTGTGTAGATACTCTAGGGTCTATTTTTACTTGCTCCGATATACTTTATACTGGTAGATGGTTTGAACCGTACTGTCTTGTTTAATTTTGGTAAGGATCATTGGGATATCAAAACGTGCAGAAGATCCTCCGGTGTTCGTGAGAATAAGCTATCTGCGTTTTGATAAAGATTTTTTGGGTCATGGCAAGCATTGTACAGTTGCTTGTAGATTGCTCCGATAACTTCAAATGAACGTTTCTGTGTTATCGCTCGATGAGTGTTACTCTGAAGTAAACTGATTTGCGGAAGTAGAAGTATATCCGGCATTACCAGAAATGTCTCCAATTTATTCTGTAAGGATACACTCCATAGTCATAAATTATATAGAATGTTAAAAATACTCAATATCACATATGGATTTGATCAATGTTAAACTTGAAATAGAGTTTAGTATGTTATCATAAATATACGTTCACTATACCCACCGTGAACTCTTTTACACTGAGAGGATCCATGCCAGGAATAGATGATAGAGGTCCTTGTTCACGTCCTTGCAAAATAGTATAAATTGGTCCAAGATTCAAGTTTGCAACAAGAGAACTGGCTTGTTCAGATGTAAGCGTGTCGATCTGCGCATCCGACTGAGCCTAAATTGTATCATATAATTTTTATACAATATTGATGAGGATTAATTGAATATTTAATTCAAATTACCTGAAGCCTTTCCAGTCTCTGATCCATGTACTCATACAATGCCAATGTTGATTGTATCTGATGTATACAATTTAATAGATATACAGCCATATCGACTGTTGGAAGCCTAGAGGCAGTTTCATTGATTTCTTGTAATAACGGATCAATAACACATGACACAATCTATAGAAAATAATCAATATTACATTCAATCGCTTAACTATTACTTATGAATTATCTGTCAAAAATTTCTTAATATTTTGATTGTACGTACTTGCAGCATATCTTTCTCACGGTCTTCGGCTATACTTGCCACTGAAAGAATTTCATTCAGGAGTGACAGTAATCTAGATACAGAGGGGGCAGGTATTAAATCAGTCCCTGGTGGCTCGGCACGATCTCCAAGAGCAATTCTAGTTTCTCTTTGGAGTCTTGTAACAAAGCTTTTTTCACTTAAATCTAGCAAATCGCCTAAAGTCGTATCCAGGACACTGTCTGGTACGACCTGGCTGATTATAGCTTGATAAAACCGAATGAGTGTCGTCATAGAGTATAATACGGTTGCAGGTGCTTCTACTGCTAGGATATGTTCAATTCTAGATTTTAAGGGATGACAGAGACCTTCTGTGATATTACCAAGTGCTTGTTTTACTTGATCGTTTATACCTGCAAGGTAAATCAATGTTATGCTATATTATACAATAGGTACCGTAAGGATGTATTCAGTCTTGGTTTTGCAGTACATTCTTCTTACCTGCTTTATCGCATCCTTTAATCATTGTTAGAATGTTCTCTTTTTCTATAGGAATAGCTTGATGAAGCCAAGCGAGCATATCACCCACGTAACGTTTTGGGTCGTGTGCATGCATTTCTATAGGATTTGGTGTACCACCAAAACCATCCCCTAACGTTAACGCATCTATGAACGAACTTACTAATACAGATCGTCTGACAGTACAATATTCATCTAAAATGTACCTAGAAAAATGCGACAGATAATTAAAGAAATAATTAATATATAGGAAATAATAGTAACAAAGGAGATCTGCATGTACTTGAAAAGAACAGGTCTATCCTGTAACTTGGTCATAGATTTAATGAGTAAAGGTGCTATGTTCTCATTTTCAATATGACGACATTGGTTTTGTGTCCAACGGTATAATCTTTCAAGGGCAGCTTCCTGGAGGAGGGTCATTCTTTGCATAATATCCAACGCTAATGTTTGATAACCAGATTGCATGAGAATTCTGCAGCTACTATGGATTTCCTTTAAAATAATAAAGTATAAATAATACTATATGAATACTTATTACAATTTTATATTGCTTTTGAAAGTTGTAATGCATTTACCTGGACACGATCAACAACTACAAAGAATTCATCTGTAATTGGTGCTTCACGAGAGGCACCATGTAAAATAGATAATTCAGCAGGTGTTAACTGAAAGCTTTTTATAAAAGCATTTGCAACTTCCTGTTGCATTGACAATTTCTTACTATAAAACGTACATAACATTATTAAATATATTATTTTGACTTTCAGCTACCTATTTCTCAATGCTTTCCCATCCACTTACCTGACGCTTTGTAGTTTCGTGGTCTGATCAATAAGCTGCAATGTTTGTGTTTTAGTTGATTGCAATTGATTAGTCATGCGTTGTACAGACGTATTCATAGCCATTACATCTTGGTGGATACAATCTAAAGTAGTTTTAACTTCTCTAAAAGCAGAGAGAAAGTCTTCATTTATCGTCAAATTCCTTCGCTCTATCTTACTACGCAAATTTCTGCGTGCATTTAGTGAATTATCCGTAAAAAATGTAGACAATTCTTTTAAAGCTTCTAACGTGTCCTGTGGATGAATATTTCTTTAAGTAATACAAAAAATAATGTTTAACTTCATAACACGAAGATATACTTTATTATTGCAAAGATACCTTATCATTCTCAAGACGTGATTCTAGCAACTTATTAACGCGTCTCACTAATGTCGAATTTTTATCGCCAGCCGAATTTATTGCTTCCTTCATTTTTGTTTATGATAAAAAGCTCAAAATATTTTGCAATATCAATTTAACCTAATTTTGTCTGCACTGCAGACCAAATGTCAACATATGTGATCGATGAAAATGCACCTCCTGTGGTGACGTTGCTGGTAGAGTGTAAACTAGTGTAACCACCGCACTTATTGGTGTAAACCTATATATAGATAATAGCTGTTGTTAGTTGCATGCGATTTTTTTAATGTAAGTACCATATTCAATCATATTTTTGTATAATATAGTCAATATAGTTATAAATAAAGATTGGTGAAAATAGCATATAAAGCAATACATGCATAAGAGAATATATTGAGAGAGATAAAACAATAGATGTAAATGATTTTAGGTTGGATACCAAAGACGCTTTATTTAATCTTTTGTTCCCGACTAAATTGTGCAATAATGCCTAATTATAATGAAATTAAAACATTCGTATTTTTTGATTTGGAAACGACTGGACTTATACGAGGCAAAATAATGCCTGGTATTACAGAAATTTCTCTGATTGCTGTGTCTCGAGAGGCTATTTTAGAAAAAAATGGAAAGCTGCCAAGAGTTTCACATAAACTTATTATGCCGATCAATCCAAAAAAAACTATTCCTGATATAGTAACTAATATTACAGGTATGTATGGTTTATACGATTGTTAAAGATAAATAATCTCAAATATCATGAATATATTTTCATCGGTACATTTATTCATTATATTACAAATCAGGACTTTCCGCTAAGAATTTGGCCAATGTAAAACCTTTTGAAGTTGAAACATTTGAACTCATGATGCAGTTTATCGGCAGATTAATAGCGCCAATTTGTTTTGTTGCACACAATGGAAACAATTTTGATTATAAAATCATCATGCAAGAATTTCAACAAATTGAGAAGGTATTTTGTTGATTATTATATCATTAGGGTATTAGGATTATAATATTAATTATTTTTGTATTAATTTATAACATCTTGTTTAAGGCCATGCCAATTGAAGTTCTCTGTGTAGATTCTCTAGAGGCTTTTAAGGATATTTTATGCACAACGGATTCAGATTCTGAAAATAATGATGACAGTAAGAAGGGGCAAGCTGCAGCAAATTTGTCAGTGGACTATTTCTCCTTATTAGAGGATGGTATGGATGATACTTTATGTAAAGCAGTAGATAGAATCCTAGAGTCAAGCATAGTAAATGATGAACTTAATACATGTAAACAATATTATTATAGTAAATCATTAAATGATGTTAGAGTACAGAATAATTTTGGTAATGATGTTACTTATTGTCAGTCAGAAAATACTTTGCTGTCTGGTACAAATGACGATTTGCGCTGTACTTTAAAACAGAAAAATGAAAAAACTCCACCTAAACAAATAATATCCTTACGTAAAATAAGGGCAGGTGCTATTCCAGCACCACATAAGAAAATGATCGAACCAAGAGTATTGAGTTATCCCCCTGAAGATACAAAGATAAGGCCAAAAAATTTTAAACTACCTACTATCTATGAGTTCTTATTAGGTAGCAAATTGGAAAATGCACATATGGCAGAAACAGATTGTAATGCAATGTTGAAATGTGTAAATATACTTGGAGATAAATTTGTCAAATGGGCTGATTCGAATGCAGTCCCACTGAATATTTATGGGAATGTGTGTTCATAATAGTTAAGGTATTTATAAATAATTTAATGATCTTAGACATCAGACATTTCCATATGAATGGAGTGCTTTTTAAAAAGCATAAAACTAACAAATGTATAGCGTAGCCTCTCGCTAAGTGCGCATGAACATTTCCCCTCAATCGGCCGGCGATGCAATTCCCTTACCTACATTTCTTCGTGTATGTACAGTCTCGTAGATGGGCACATAGCGAAAGGGTACTGTATGCACAAATAGGGATGATTATACTGATAAATTAATTCTATTCTAAATACTTATAATGACTATACAAATTACAGGCTTATTATTCATATTGACACAATAGAATGCTAGGCTTTGAAAAAATAGTTTATATCAAAAACGTTTTGTAATAAAAGTCAGCTATACAAAGGCACAAGATCATGATAATCGATTGGTTTTTCCATGAAGATATTGAAAGACTGTATACAGGGTGTCCCAAAATTACCTGACCTAAGGGGTATGACGGTGTTCGGAAGGCACCACTGATCACGAAAATGACCTTCCTTTTGTCCGGAAGTTCATAGTTTTTAAATGGGAGCAGGTCAAAGTTGACCAATCAGAGGAAGGCGTCAAGAGAAACGTAGGCACCTGCGAACTCTGAGTTTTCTTCCCTCGCTTTTGTTTCTCGGTAGCTTCGGGCAAGATGACGTTAGCCGAAGACATGCCTATTGGAAACAAGAAACAAGCTACCGAGAAACAGAAGCGAAGGAAGAAAACTCAGAGTTTGGAGGTGCCTACGTTTCTCTTGACACCTCGTTCTGATTGGACAAGTTTGACCTGCTCCCATTTAAAAACTATGAACTTCCGGACAATCCAATCAGAACGAGGTGTCAAGAGAAACGTAGGCACCTCCAAACTCTGAGTTTTCTTCCTTCGCTTCTGTTTCTCGGTAGCTTGTTTCTTGTTTCCAATAGGCATGTCTTCGGCTAACGTCATCTTGCCCGAAGCTACCGAGAAACAAAAGCGAGGGAAGAAAACTCAGAGTTCGCAGGTGCCTACGTTTCTCTTGACGCCTTCCTCTGATTGGTCAACTTTGACCTGCTCCCATTTAAAAACTATGACCTTCCGGACAAAAGGAAGGTCATTTTCGTGATCAGTGGTGCCTCCCGAACACCGCCATACCCCGTTGGTCAGGTAATTTTGGGACACCCTGTATAATTATTTTATATTAAATACGTTTAATATTTTAATTGTTATGAAATAGTTTTTAAGTATTTAGAAAACTTAATAATAAAGCTCTATTCGCAATATAAAATATAAATCAGTCATTAAAATTATATAAGTGCAACGCGCAACTTTGTCAAATTATATTTAAAATAAAAATTGTTAGTAATTTATCATAAGTATAATCTGAATCTAAATTCCATCTCATGTTGAGCTATTCAACTTTTGTTTGAATATATAGCTGAACATGTATTTCAAATCATTATATACTTCCTTTTAATTCAGCAGCAGTATCACGAATAGCTTTAAGTGATTTTATATGATTCAGTATTGTTTCTGTTATTAGAATTTGTTGCATTCGATGGAGCAGGAGACCCTCATTGTATATTTTTAACTCATTAACGCTCTTGTGCCACGTTATTATTTTTTATTTGATTCAGTCGTCAAGTATTTGAATGCAGCCATCACTGCAGCTATTGCAGTTCCAACTGCAATTATTGTTCCTGAAACTATGATAGAATAATAAATATGTCTAATATTCATGCAAATATATTAGACAATAGTTAATTGAATTATCATGATTCCAATAATTTCAGAGTTCACGTTTGATGGCTTTTACAACCGATTTTGGCATGTGATTTGCATTTTTACAATATGTTAAAATCTGTACCATTTAAAGATTGTGTTGTTGGGGAATTGTGAGATTCTCGGACTTCCTCTCGAGTCACTGAAAAGAATCAATCAACTAAATTTTGAAATACGAAGTCGATTCTTTGATAATATATTACAATACATACCACATACCAATTGATTTTGCAATTTTTCTAATTCTCTTTTGCTTACTAAAAATGAAAAGAACGTTGGTAACGTTGTCCATGAATTCACATTTAGAATAAAAAAAAATATATATATATACATATATTTACATTCTACACTTACAAATGAATTTTGCTATAATATAGGGGTCATTTTCAATATTTCTCTCAATTGTAATAATAATTCTTTTTAACAGTCCTTGTATATTAAGCATTTCTGCAGCTCCTATCTTCGACAGCAAGTTATATTCCTTGTGCCAGAAATCTTTTATTTCGCCATTCATAGTTGCTTCGTAAAATCTTTTTAGCATCTACAAAATTGTGGTTAACAGTTACACAAACATGAATGTTCTCATGAAAATTAAACTTGAGATGATATAACTCACATTGAAAAATATGCAAGTTTTGGAGGCTGCTAAGAAATCCTTATCTTTGTTGCGTTTTTCTATTTCCCAGTAGAACAAACTTTCAATGTAATAACTTGCAATACTATGCAAACCTTGTATGTCTCTAAATTTCTATTTACAAAAAATCCTTAACGTTTCACTGCATGATCAAAAATCAACGTCGATTGAAATAGTAATATTCATAAGTAAGTACCTTCATTTGCCTTATCACTGGCTTGACATCCGCGCATTGTAGTATCTCCCTTTCTTGTTCGTAAAAAAAAGGTCTCCATACGATATCTGTATTTGGCATGTTGCCATTGTGAAAAGGCTTAGCAATAGCTCTCCAAGTTTTTTCCTATATAAAATTACACTTGTTACACCAAGATTTTGATTTCCTTGTCTCTTAAGCAGCCTTTGTTCCTTATATTTATCATTGATCATGGCAATATGATTGATATTATGTGTCAAATACCTTTTGTGTAATTTTACGAAATGGTGCAGGAGGAGGATCTGTAAATTCCATTGCTGCAACCAGATCTACATCTAATGTAACACCTTCTACATTGATGTATAATGTAAATGCTGGACTGTTTTTCGATACACGTATCTGAATTAAATCAATGTACATTATTAATTATAAAATCAATGTAGATTATAATTAATAATATACAGTGAACTAAAATTACTTACTGTATATTTCTTATTATTTATAATCAAGTATTGAGACTTTCCACAGTCTGTTGGTAAAGAAAGTAAAGCCTTGGTAACAACGCTTTCCATCCATTGGCGAAATTCGTTTTGATTTAAATATAAATCATTATTAACAAATTTTTTCAAAACTCTAAACAGAATAAAAATTTACTGTATAAAGGAACCGTTCTTTTTAAAGATAAAATTACGACTTACTTATACGGCATTAATTTGGAGCGCAAAGTGTCGTCCTTTAATTGAATTTTAATGAATGATTTACATTTACGATCGGATTGTATCTATAAATAACAAAAATATGTCAACTGATATATATCTAGTTTCTTTACAGACAGTGATAAATATAATAATTAAATACATACATTAATCGTGTTGTAATTAATAGGCAATTTTATAATTATATTGAGATCAAACTCTTCCGGTGAGCCGAATCTTGTGCCTTTGTAAAAACTTCCTACCCATTTAATTTCCTGAAAATTGTCTTTAAAAAATGCATCGCATTCTCTCATTCGCTGCAGAAACTCATAGATGACCTATTATTTATTAAAGTTACAATAAATTATTTTCAAAATCAAAATTGCTGCAGTAGAAGTACTTATTTTATGAATTGAATGACAAAACAACGAACCTCTTTAAGGTACACATTATTTCGTTTGACCTGGTAACTTTCTAATGTCACATACTTTTGATTTATACTTTTAAATACTTCATCACTTTTGAACCTCCGATCTTTATAATTGTAGTCTAGTATGATACTCATCTACATAAAAACAAATTATGTGAAAATATCGTGCCATACAAATAAAATTATTCACTAATAAAAATATGCTACGTTTCAAATACAGTACATATAAAATGTGGAAAAAAAATAATGACTCACTTTGAAAAATATTCGAATATTCGCTCTATGAAATCGGATAGTTTGCGGTTCAAGTGATTTTCCGCTTACAGCTAGTAGCTCGATACGATGTTCGTGAACGCTGAATACGTTATAGCTGCTGGTTACGATTGCCTTTACACTCCTAGCCGCAGCTTATCAAGAACTATTTAGCTACTAACACACGTCCCTCAGATATTATACGCACTCGCTCCAAGCTGGTATTTTAAAAATTTAAAACGAAGAATGAAATCGAGTACCTTATTACAGTACCGATAAAACACTACTTACTACATTAGATTTCACTCAACTATAGCATGTCGAGAAGAAATTCTTTACAAGGTCAAAAATAATAAATTAACAAAAAAGTACATAAGAATCTTTAAGGATATCATGAAAGTCCATAGTAAAAAAAATTAACTTAAAAATACTTATATTGTGCTAATTTAAATGTTACATAAAAATATATACCTTTACATTTAGCATAGTTAAAATAATAAAGTTGCTCAGTCCAGTATGCTTCTTGCAAATTTTCGTAATTTCTCCAAAGCTACCGTGGAAAGGCTTTCTCTATTGCATATAAAATATTTTAATTCCTCGCATACATTATTTACGCGCACTTCTAATTTCAATTGATCCACGTATTCATCAGTCGGTTCCACGTAAGTTTCTACTCTTGCTTTTTTTTCATGACGCTCATCGGTATTTCGTTCGTGACACACGTGCTGATTCTTGAGCTGCGGATACTCCCGAGATAGCGCACACATATATTCTATCAAAGACGGGAATCGTTCTAATTTGTAGTACAATGTGTTTGACAAATATAATCGCATGGAATCGCGAACCAGGGGATTCGCCGAAATCGCACTTGCTATATTAGTAATGAGAGTATCATTAGGACACACATGCGCCAAGTAGTCAAAACTTTCAAGGGATTCCTGACGAACCCATGGATTCTGGTCCTCTAACAAGCAACAGTAAAGATTGGAAACTGTATTGGCTGCTTCCATAGAATCGCAGTCGGTAAAGATGTCCAGGCAGTCTTTCAAATAATGAGAAATCTTAACGCGCACATGAGACTCCATATGGGGATATATAGAAATCACATAGGATAAGATCTGCAATATATAATAATTAGATTATATAGTCAAAAATCATTTTTAATACATAATTACGTCATACCGTGGAGAATATGTTATCATCGATCTTCTCAGGTCGAGTACCTCCTAGTAGTGCAATTATTAATCTGGATATAAGTTCTTTTTGCATTCCCTCACATTCCTCTGCTGTTCTAGATATACATTTCCAAATATTCTCTATGATTCTCATAGTATTTTCGTTCAGTCTCTGAGTAGTAGCTTCGATTTTTTTTAATATCATAATCTGTAATATATTTTTTTAATCATGAAAAATTGTCTCACTGTTTCTATATTTATTTCTTATATCGTCTTACCAGATCGGTCCAATTTTTCATACAGGGCTGCTGATACAGATTCGATAAAATTATGGAGATATCATTGGTACATGATGAGTTTCCGATATATAACATTGATTTTGCACTCAAGGATAAATGATCTTTTAGAGGCATCCAATGTCGAGGATTCGCAGACGTTAATTTCGTCACAAAGAAATCCTTCATATCTTCCGAAAGAAAGGGATACAGTCTTCTAATTAGACAAGATAACATAATAATTTCCAGATTGCTTTCTCTCTCTATTAATGTCTCATAAATTTTTATTAGATAGTTGACATGCTCGTAGCATAATTCTGATGAACCTATTCTGTAAGAATTAAATGTAGCATCAATAACACTGCCTCCCTGAACGCAGCTCATAAAATTGTTTAGTTTAATATCGTTTACTCCTTATCTGTAGTTCATATATATTCTACGAACTAATCATATCAATCACACGATAAGTGGAAGACAAACCGTCCAATCAAGCTCCAAGTGTCCAAGGCTAATAGAGAACTCCAAAATTCGCCACTGAGTAGGTACTTTAGCAAATGCAATTCAACTTTTTCGAAATCACTTGCTGGAACTTGAATGATAAGACTAAGCACTGAGATTACAGTTACGTCATAGATAGAAAGCCCAGCTTCTTCGTTCCCTGATGCATTTTGAATACGTAGTTGTCCAACGCAAAGTTCTTGGTGCACTGTTGACAATTTTTTCAATTAACTTTTAGCCTGACAATTAATTTTTTAACTTTTGTACTAACAAAGTTCAATATTTTTGAAGAGCAAGTCTAGCAGAGTAAACGGTCCTTGTAGCCATATGTACCAGGATGTGTACGTCGTGCCTATCAATTTTTTAACTATACTCAAAGTCAGTAAGTGATAACCGACAGCATTTTTTGATTCTTCTTCGCCACACTTAAGGAATATCTGTATATTTGAATTTAAATGAGTATCAAATATTATCTTATTATTTTCGAAAAACAAACCTGCTGGAAGTTTGCCTCTTTGAATATAGTATTCAGAAAGGGTTCTGTCCCTATTGTAACACTGTGTTCAATTAATTGAATGACTTTTTCATTAATTCCCTTCGCTCGTAGACAACTCGGAGAATTTCTATCGGACAAGAAAGAAATTGTACTAAGAGCAATATTAAAGTATACCAAGCAGTTAAAGATCAATTTTACCCGTGAATCTCTGCAAGTAAATTGATGAGAATACCAATTGTATCAGACTCCAAATATCCGCAGTAGGCTGAGCAAATTTTATTAAGATTCTTAAACAACAAACTACAGCACTTTATCGATCTGTCTCCATTTCTGCTATCAGGATTCTATAAAAAAAAAAAAAAAGATAAACAACAGTTTAGAATACTCATTATTTTTCATAGTCAGATAACTATATATTTTCTATGAACTAAAGACCTGCAGCGATGAATGTAAAAGAGAGAGAATATGATCCGATAACGATTTCAAGTGCACCGTAATGCACGTGGGTAACACACGTATTATTCCATGACGATGGATCGATGCCAACTTTCCAAATGCCGTCCAGACATCAGCAAGAGTTTTCAAGTCAATTCCATGAACCAGCACGGCAATCTCAGTAATGGTATCGATAACTGAAATAAAGAATGACATTAAAAAAAAAAATGAAATTAACCTGCTACACTAATATGTATTTAAATTGCAGGTCATTACCATTGATCAGTATATCAATATCTGACTTTACATTGGCATCAAAGAGGATCACCTTTTCGAGGTTATCGAAGAATAATTTAAGCGTCGAATTGGTCTTGTGAAAAAGGGCTGCGAGTTCCTTCGAAACCTCGGTAAATAATGGCCCATAAACACTTTGGCTGTAAAAGGTAATCTCAGGATCGCATTAGCTCGTATAACAGTTTGACTTTACGTAGTTAAGCCGATTGGCTCGTGACGGGTTTACCTGACTTTGCAATGCTCGACAGCTCGTTTTGCTACTTCTGGTAAAAGCACGACAAGCGATTTCACCCTGGATACTGATACCCTGCGAAGGCCTTCCACGTGGTGCAAGCACTCCTCCCAGGACTCCAGTAATCGCTCACACGATTCAAGACTGGCTTTAACATCATCCCTTGAAGGTACTGTGCTTTCATTTGTCGTATTTAAAGTCTGTAAATTTATAAAAGAATATTAATATCTTATTTCTCTCTTCTTTGAAGCTCGCCAACAGAGATAGACGTAGTCTTATCAGGTCGCTACTTCACGAGTATACGGATAGGCAGTATTATCACCCGCAGTTTAAAAAGTTTGCGAAACACGATGAAAAGAAAAACGCTCCTTTAATCTTCGCGTCGGCGAGAACAGATGTTCCTTTCGTGTTAAATATGAAAACTTACCTCAAGAAATAATTGACGTCCAAGAGGTAGAATGCTGACGAACAATCCTTCCTCGAGTATATCGACGGGGCATATAGATAAGCATTGTTTGAGGGTATCTTGAAATTGATTGACTTTATGTAAAAGATCTTCATGTTCTAGAGAGTCGTGAATCGAAGCGTCAAGGAACCATCAATATAAAGCATCGATCAATAAAATAATACTTGTCTGTCAGGATAACTAGAATATTATCCCTGTCAAAGGTATGAAGAAATTAAAAGGATATTTTTAACTTTAATATATGACTCTCAATGTCTTGATCCATTATCGAGAAGTCAAAATCCAGGGAATCCACAAACTGCGCAGAGGATGTCGTTGATTCATCCTGACTCGTCATATTACCTGCACAGAAGATTAATGAAGTAATCAAGTCGATAATTAGGTATAACAATAATCATTGAATCCGTTGGTCAACAATTTGGATGAGAATGCACAGGATGATGCGGCCATGAAATTCTTGGGAAACTCTGAGGGAGTTTCTGATTGCCCACAGAAGATCAAGATCTCGCAAAGAGAAGATATACATATATAAAGAGGAACCGGTAGCTGAACTCGCAAGGAACATCACTTTAGTGTCCCGCTCCGATTTTGATGAAACTCAAATATGTTGTAGCGCTTGAAGATCTAAGAAACACGTGTTTTTTTTTATCGGCGGTAAAACGGTTTTAGGGGGTAAGAAGAAGAAGGCAAGAAGGGATAGACCGATTTCAATGAAAAAAAAAAAAAAACTAAAATAATTGTCCTTCCACTCTGCAGACTTCCGCCTAGAGGTAACTACGGTAGCTAGTACACCATAGTACCAGTTTTTATTATTTTATATGTGAAATATATTTTATTAATAGTCCAAAAAGTACTTTTCATTTCTCGTAGCAAGTGGTATGTATAAGTAGTAATCGTCGTTCCAGTACTGCGCTTTAATAAATTGTCGACAAAGTTGTTGTGATCGAGGGGTGATTTATTTGTCAGTGATAAACCTTTTGAAACAGATAAGAAACGAGAAAGACGCAATAATATTATTTTAATACCGGAACTTTTACGTAATGCTTTTCTTATTACTTGTACATACAACGGGAGAAATTCAACCGCTTGATGTATTTGGATTCCGCATATGGAACAATTTTGTACGACACTTTTCAGATAGTGCATTGTTATTGAATTCTGATATCCGTTTACACTTGAGAAGTAATGTAATTAAATTACAATCTCTTACGCATAATCAACTGTCATTCCCGAGGTATATGAACCTTTTCAAATATGCATGGTTCAAAAGCAATTACATAACCAAAAATCCAGAAGAATTTGAAAATTTTATGGATTTTGGTTCCAGTCAATCTTCTCAAGCACACTGTGAAATACCAGGTAATAATGTTGCTGTTATAAGATGCGCATGGTGCAAAAAATTTTTATGTTTGCAGCATTTTTTCGATGATTTTCATTTACGTACGAATTTCGAACCATCATTGCTATAAATCATAATAGCAATGTATAGTTAATAAGAATATTCATGTAAAACTGCTTAGCATTCAGGAAACAAAATAGAACTTGCATTTAAAAAATTAATCATGAAAAAGAATTGTAAAACAATTTCTAAACTAACTTGGTTTACACTCACTAACGATGGGCGGAATGTTAAAATAGTATTTTATTTATCAATAAGAGGCGATATTTATATCTATATCCTGCGTCCGTAAAACGTCATCCGTTCGGCGAGCGGGAAACGATAGCGACGCCGAGTCACGCGTCGTGGAGAGGAAACGTGAGACAAGCCAGGATAAGGGCCAGAGGCAGGCGAACTTCGTTAATATTCATTTATTGTTTATCGACTGTCACTAACAAGAATATTTTTAATTAATTTACACTTTCAAATTGCGCGAGAATTGGTCCTATATGGAAATCCATGCATCGGTACGCAGGGGGTAGTTCACCCCCTTAAACGTGACTTCCCGCAAAAAAGCAAAAAACATGTAAACTTTAATTTTACTTCCTCTATCAAATGGTACGTGTTTAATTAAATTCCATTTGTAAGTTTTTTAAATAGGGTGAACAAAATAATAATCGAGGGGTGGTTCACGCCCACAAGAGACAATTTTTTTTTTCAATGTCTAGGTGCACTTTACATTACTCGTGACGAGAAACATTTTAGTTTTTTTTTCATTGAAATCGGTCGATCCCTTCTAGGTGAAACTGCATTACCACCCCTCGACATGCCGAACTTTGGGGGTTGATTTTACCCCCTAAAATCGTTTTTCCGTCGATAAAAAAAGCAGACGTGTCTCTTAGATTTTCAAGCGCTACAACATAGTCGAGTTTCATCAAAATCGGAGGGGGGCACTAAAGTGATGTTCCTTGTCAGTGAAATCAGATAAGAGTACCGATTAGAATGAGTCGTTAATAGGGCGCACTCTGTTACCGGATTCGGGCCAAGTTGAGGGCAAGTTGCATAAGTTAAAAGTTCCTATTTAAAGTTTCGGCTTGAACGAGAACGATTTGAATGATCGGTGAGCGATACCATGGCAACTACGGACAACAAGCTGTCAGATGATAGGTAAAGTTTTGATCAATAACAGGTGACTGCTAGAGTTGAGTCGAGTTCGGTACTGCCGGTGGTGTATAGTAACACGGGGGTTGCTTTAGTAGGGGTAGCATAGTGGATGGTAGTGGTTGGTAGTAACAGTAGGTTGTGTTAGGGGTAGTAGTAAAAGCATAGTAAAGGGTGTAGGTAGTAGTCCTTATGGAAGAGGGCAATGGATGGAGTCGGAGTTGGGGCTTGGGGTTTGGGTTTGGGGTTGCCGAGGGTGAGGGAGTCAGTCAGTCGGCGTGTGCCAGCGCCGGCGGCTCACCAACAAGACTGCATCATCCTCAAGTTATCAGGGGTCGACGGGGTAGTCAGGATCTTTGGGATCCTCATGGTTCTTACGAGGATCGAGGTGAGTTGGATGCTGAACCTTGATCCGAGAAGCTGAATAGGAGTTTGCACTTGGGATGTACAGAGATAATTTTATTTTCTAGTACACATGTATTTAGACATGATTTTAAGACTTGGTAAACTTTCAGAGTATTGAGGAAGTTCATCCTGTCATCGGGGGATACTGCTCTTCAAGGTGTGAAGCCTTCCGGGGGTTGTCGACTTCAGACTGCCTATACCTTAGCCTTTCCTGAGGTGGTTAAACCTGGAGAAGTTCACTCAGGTGGATGCTAAGGGGGACATTCTCTGGGACACAAATCTCATCCTACTGGACTGTCGTTTGGTCTCAGGACGCTTCCACCGGAAGTCAACGTATCCACTGGCAGATGTCGTTGGGAGTCAAGGAAGCTTGAAGAAACTTATTTAACAAGGAGATTGAGTAAGGCTGGAGTGAAGCAGATAAGAGGAAGCTTATTATTCCTAATAAATAAATGAAAAATGTCAAGTCTACGACGTCCACCCGGGCCAGTAAGGCAGCTATCGTTGCAGCAGCCGCCACGTCGTCAGCAGGTACGGAGACAGAGATCAGCGGAGGATGAAAAGCCTTTGCAGATTTATGCGAATCCAATACGCGCAAAGTTATGCCCGGTCCAGAAGTCGGACTCCGAGCGTCCCAGGGTAAGAATAGCTTGGGGTGACCATGACTCTTCAGGAAACCAGGTCCAGGTCATCGCCCGTCAGCTGCCAGGAAAGCCGCGTCCTCCAGCTAAACCCACAAAATTCTCATCCAGGAATCTACCCCACGAGAAAGCTACCATACTCTACTCTAGACAGGAACTTGCTGAGAGGCTGCGACTCGCTTGGAAGCAACGAGAGGATAACAGGTCCAACTTGGACATCTTCCTCGCGCATAACACGGTCGAGGAACGTTCCGAGTCTCAGATGTCGACCAGCACGTCCATCGCCGCTCCGCGTACACCGGCGCCGAGGGTTGAGAAGAACCTTGCCAAGGAGGACGAGCGACCTGTTCCTAGTATTATGGTCAATAACAAACCCATTTGCACGATCGATCAAACCGACTATCAGCAATCGGAATCTATCAATAGTGAACGTGATGCGAATCATGCGATAGAAACTTCTATAGATACGAGAAGCGATGAGATTATGGATATGGGATTTGTAAGAAGTACTGAAGAAACTACGTCATTTATTGAATGCAAGACACTCGCTTCGAATTACTTAGAAGAGGAGGTTACTGACTCGGTAGGGAAGGAAGTCACTGAAATTTTGTCATCGAACAATCTGGACGACCATCGTCTCGAAACTATTATGGGTACGACGAAAGATGAGACTAATGAGGATAACCCGAGGGAATTAAAAATATCTGAAGTCGACGTCTTCACCACGGAAGAATTAATAGAAGTCGTCGAAACGGTAGTGAGGGAAAAATCGTGTATGAGTATTCGTTGCAGCAGCGATGCTACAATGTTTCTACCAGCCTCTTTGAATTCACCAAAACAAGACAGTACCAGGATCACCCTGGACAAGGATCTGTCCCAAGCGAAGATCAAGCGTGCAAACTTTCACGACTGTACGAACAAAGCCTTCGTAGCTCCACCCGTGGAGAAGTCAGGAACCAAGGAGAAGATGCTGAAGGATAATATTTCCGAGAGAACGACCTCGTCTCGCAGAACAAGTTCAGCTCCACCTCAACGTCGGTCAACCAGTGCACCAGGTCCTAGAACACAGGTAAACATTGTGATCGACGCGACCGGAATTGCCAGGGCGGATCCATCGAGTCAGGAAGGTAAATTGCTCGAGCGGAAGGATACGGTATCAGGGACGACATGCAACGAGGCGCCGGTAAAGACCGCAATTTCCAATCGGGCGATAAAATCAGCGCCAATGAAAAGACGTGCGAAAAGCGGAAAGCGGCGAATCGCCATAAATTCAAAGGACGGCGAAGAGGACCAAGAAAGACCAAGGCGTGCTACCGGAAGCCGAGTAAAACAGACCTTGGAGAAAAAGAGTACCGACGTTATCACAATGGTGTCCCTAGTGAGCTCAGCTGACAGTGATAGCGACATAGATCGCATTTCACCACGGGATGATAAACTTATCTATGAACTTCGCAACAAGCTACCCACAACACCGATTATCAAGAACAGCTGCTGCCAGCCAATCGCAACATCAAGAAAGCCCATTAAATCGGGTGAGCCAATTTCCAGTATTGTCTTATCGTTTCATTGAGAACAATCAGAATTGCACGATACCTCTTAAGGCTGCCTCATAGACACACGGTATCTACGTCAGGAAGGAAGCCATCTTCGGATTGAAACAATTAACTCTGAAACGACTAAAGGGCTGTTCATAGGTTATGTCAATAGTTTAATATTGTACTAGGGACATTTGAGGTACGATCACGATAATACACTCCTGACACGGATTCCATTTAATAATGATAACCGTGCAGAGACGCTGGGACCGTGAAGAGGCCGCGATAATTGACCAAGTTAATTAGAAAAGACGTGACACGCGAACGGTACATTCCACGAATAATTCTTGGACGCCCCGTCACTCCTACCCCTTATACAGAAAGCACCATTGAGTATACAGGACTGAATTTACACCTCAAGCTACGTACACTCAGACCATTTAGAGCTAACTTCAATTCAAACTTCGGGGTACAGTAACGTGATTGCCTCAACTACTAATCTAAAGACGTGCCTTTCAATTTAGTTGGTTCACGGTTCGCGGATTGAATAACACAAAATTACTTCACAACACCATGCAAACTTTAGTTATAACAGCCGGAAGTCCTCGAGTGTACCGACAGTGTATGCATGTATATCCGGTGTAATCCATGAAACTTTGACTCCTTGCCATGAACTGTAAGAAGGAAGTCGAGTACCACGAAGGAGGTCAGCTTTATAATTCCCCGTTATCGTTAATGAATGAGAGATCAGTTGGTGCACCCGTACAAATCATATGTTATGCTTTCATTCGCAGTGAGACAAAATCGATGACACACGATACACCTGGCCTAGTTTTTACTGAAGGCTTTGTGGCCCGCTGAAACTGATGAAATTATTACAGCCCAGTACATAGTAAACCGGGTTATCTTCTACATAGACTAGAACCATAAAATCGGAAATTTAGGCTAGGGTGCTCTGCGCTATGCGCCATTACCCTGATCTCGTTCTTGGACCCTGGGGATGTCCTTGGATGCAGTTGATAAACTACCTACAATCATGAGTAGACGGATTGATATTCTTTGGCAATTTAGTATTGATTATTTTTTTAACGTTTGTAGGTTATATCACTCAGACAAGTTTGCCGATAATTATTCATTGGATTTTTTAAATACACTTAGTAAATTTGTTCACAGTTTCCTTCCAGCAAGATTCATTCGACGATGAAGAAGAGGTCACGAAGGATGAGAAGAAATTATTGCAACCACGTTACACATTTGTTTATCGTGGAACCGGAAGTGCCTTGCCTACACCGGAAGAGGCATCGATTTGGAGATCAGAAGTCGGCACAACTCTGTCTACAGCAGAGTTGAATGGCGACGACAAAGAAACAACAGAAATTCTTGTTACCGATCGTGAAAAACGATGTCTTGCTGTACCTATTGGAGATATTCGAGACAAGAAAAGAAAACTTTTACGCACACGGAGTATACCACCTCGTGGAGTGTGAGTAAATTTGACTAATAATAATTGAGAGAAGAAAAATATTGTCTCTTATTATTGTAACCGGCGTTGTCATCGATAATACCAAATCGTTGGTACTCAATTTTATGCAAAAGGCAGCCATTTTTTTCTTTGCAATCCACCTGAGCGCGACCTTTCAAGACTATGGCGGATACTAATAAAATTATACAAACTGATAGGAATCACGTTGCTTCAACAGTCAACATCAATCTTACCGGTCACGTGAGGCAAGGATGAAGAAAATGATATTTTACTCTACTTATGTCTACTATCACGTAAAAATTCGCGAGTTCCTCACGAGCATGGATTGGTTTCGATTGCTTTACGATTTATGACATTGGCAGAAAACTGGGACAATACCAGATAGACAGAACGTGATGGGGAAAGGCGACACGGCGGGTACCGTCGTGCGCCACAGTATTTTCTATATATATTATTATTATTATGTATATGCTATATATATATAATGCTTTAGGGTCCTCTCATATTTTACAGAAACTTTCTAGAAATAGAAGTGTAGAAACCTGCAGGGTGTTTTCGTTCTCGTGACTCTGAACTTTCCAATGAATTTGACAATGAAATGAGTATAGAATTTTACAATTTTCGTCTTTTCCTTCATCTGTTTATTATTATTCAATACGTTTCTCAGATCTGAGAGTCACTATGTCAAAGAGCATTGAAGTGAATCGATGGTATCTGCAAAGAAATAAAGAAAAATCTCAAGGATATCTATTGAGCTTGACATCGTCTCTGTAACTTATTTATTTAATATAATGTCATTAGACTTCTTATAGTTTTACGAGTCACGGTAATTACAATACTAGCAGGTTATCCTTTGACATTAAATGTCTCAAGTGTACGATTACAAGGCAGATTCAGTAATTCATTAATCATCCTTAGCACGATATTGTTGAGGTTATATCATTTTTTTTGTGACTCATCGACAACCCTCTTTCGGATAAAATATCGAGGACGTGACTTTCCTTGGAACTTTGACAAGGAGCTGATTCATAGTGTTTCTACTTAATGATTTTACGCTCCCTTAACTGAACTTTTTCCGAGGATAATTAAACGCCGAAAATTTTAGTAGCTCCGCAATATAAGGCTTTGTAAATTATACATGTACTCCGTTGACATAGCAGCAAAATCTTCTTCCTTTTATTATAATGATTCCATCGTTGACGATTGCATATCGATTCTTCCTGTTTCTATGTTCCGTATATTTGAACCTGGCAGAAGACGCGAGATTAATGGAAACCGTTACACAGAATTGTTGAAGAATTGAGTAGTCTCATATAAGTGGGTCGATCGATTAAACGTATTCTAAATCTAGTGTCCTAATACTTTGTTAGTCATTAAGTTTGGAGTTATCAGAACCGAAGGGTATATTGGTACTAATTTTATCTGCATCTTGCAGAGGGAACGAGAGACAGCTGATAATGACAGAGATTCAGAATTCGGTGCAACAATCAAAACAGGTGACGGTTACAGAAAGCAGAAATCTGTCACACCAAACGCAGGTCTTGTCTGAGGTTTCTACATTGAAGGTAAATTAAGATAAAATAAAAAATGTATGCTAATTGTGAACACCGTGTATTATTAATTAATGTTTTTAACAGATTGAATCCAGCACAACGATTTCGGTTTCTGATGCGAAAACTGATAGAGCACCCGCTGAGCCTCAATTTCAAACCATCAAGGAAAAAGAATGTTGGCATCTTTATAGGCGAATGTGTGATAAAGGAGTTTATGTTTCATTTGACACTGTATTAAGGTTAGTCGAAGTATTAATAATTAATATAAATCAATTATACCCTTATACTGAATCTAATGAGATGGTACCGTTAATTACTCCAGGGGTATGTTGACACCTACTGAATATCGGTTACGTCAAAAGGAGTTGACTCAGGATTGCTGATGATTAAATCTTCAAGAACTTTATTCTATTCTTCAACGGGAAAGTTTTGATTATAAAGAAGGTTCATGGTTATATTTATAAGAGGAGACATAACGTTATAATATTCTGATAGGAGATTCATAATCATATTCTGATAAAGTAATGAGAACAATTTTTGATGTGACATTTTGATGCATAAGATTGACCGTACAGGATTTTCTCGTTGAATGAACTCCATTAGAAATGCTGAATTGTCACAGAGTTTAGTTTCGTGACCTTAGATAAACAATGAATTCACAGGCGACGATGCTTTTGCAATGTAAATGCTGTGAGTTGTTCCACAACTTGTCACCTTAGTACATACATACGTGATATACTTAATACTCAGATTAGTTTGTACGAGCTTTAGACACCTACTGCCTATTTTTTAGAAGGTATATAACAACGTAGAGGCGTAGAGACTGTTAATATTGTATTCAAGAATCTCTGCAATTTGCCAACGATTTTTTAATTCTTTTAACGAGGAAATAGCTCCTAGTATATTATATTAATTCACTTTCCCTGTTTTGTACGAGATTTTCGATGACTTCTTTTTTAATGTAATATGTATTGCTCAATAAACAGTTGAAATGTTGTTATTACAGAAATTTTACTGTATAATTATATATCTATTTCCATTACAAGTTTTATATATCTGTGAGTATAGGACCATAATCATAAGGAACGTTTGACAATCTGTTAATTTCTCTGTTCCATTAATTTGAAATGGGCGCTATTTGATATTAACAATTGAATAATTGATAATGTGCCGGTAAGAATTTGCAAGCTGAACGTAATAACACTGTTGTCCGGGAGGTCGCTAAAATCCAATAGAAACTTTAGACGCATAGCTTTCGCCTCTTTAAACCACATAGTTTATGTAATCCGGAATATCAAATGTGGGTAATATCTGACAATCGTATATACTGACTACTATCTGACACGTAGAATGCGTAGAATGACAGTATTCAATTAAGCTCGATGTAATGAGGAATGACATGTTGAGACACCGGACGATATGAAACGGAAAGTAATATAGGTTTTACAATATAACATGCCATGATTTTCATTCATTATGTTCTGTGGATTTTGTGACGTGCAGTTAATGATGCCGTTACCAAGAAAATATGGGAACAGCGTTCACGTCGACTACAAAGCTCGACTTGAGCACAAACTTTACTTGGTATGTATAGTAATTAGCATTGACAGTAAATAATATTTCATGTTCTTCATAGACATTTATAGTTCAAGAATAAAGCGTGTGGTGAATTGTTTAATAACTTTATCTTAAGTGACTTTAACTATGTTGCAGCTTTTGCTGTTGAAGCAAAATTGCTTGTTCTTAATCATTTAATGTGATAATGATTCGACATTTGGCCTTTGTATCTTTCAGGCGAGAGAGAATCCAGAGCCAGTATTTGATGTATCGGAATGTGCATTAAAGCATGTACCCTCTGGCATTTATTCTCTGTGCAAAGTTTTTAGGAAAAAAGAATTATGGATGCACCACAACAAATTAAACTCCCTTTCTGGTGGAGGTGCCTTGAGCGATTTGTCGCTTCTTACTGTGCTAGATCTCCGTAACAACTATTTTATCAGTTTGCCACCAGAAATAATGTACCTTGTATCCCTTAAGGTATAAAAAAATGAAAAAATTAGACTTTATATTTTGATGTTAAAGCATTGTTAACCATAAATATTTTCAGGAGCTTTATCTACAAGAAAATAATATTCGAAAGCTGCCAAATGAGATTGCATGCTTAAGGAACTTGTCGATTTTTAATATCTCAAAAAACAATTTAAAGTGTTTGCCAGAAGAGATTGGAGAACTACGGCAACTCACTGTGTTGGATATTAGTCATAATAGTGCTCTACAAAAATTGCCAAAGTCTCTGGGTCATGTGCAGCAATTAACAGAATTAAAAATCGATGGACTGAAGATTTCTTATCCAGCTCAAGATGTTCTTAGTGGTGGAACGATTGTGATCATAGCTTTTCTGGCAAGTGAATGCGGTATTGAATACTCTCCTGAGGATTGTAATCTAGAAATAGAATCTAGAGATACAAGCTCTGAAGATGTCAGACCGATGTATCAGAATAAGGACAACGATGTTCAGGTATTTTTCTGTTAAAGATAACAGTCAATTTGATGTTGTACAGCACCATTTAATTTTTTGTTTTCATTTTTTAGGCGACAATAATGAAGTTAGAAAACTTAAAGGCATGTTGGTGTTTTTTGTTTTAGTAAATTTAATTTACTTTCTCAGTAAATTATTACTTATGACGCACAATATCTTACGTTCAATTTCATAATAAATTATGATATATTAGTTTTGATACTTTGCCCTTATGCTTTGTATAATTTAAATATATTATTAATATGCATCAATTATAAGTTATTATAACAACGTTAGATATCTTTGTCTTACTAAACTGTGCTTATAGGAACAGAGACAAAGTGCTTTACTGGAACTGGAAAAGAATATGATAGAACAACAGAAGTACGAAGAACAATTACAATCGACATTAAAAGTTCACAGAGAGAAGGTAATACAATCAAGGATTGACAGATTGATATATTAATATATTAATATAATAAAACATTGTTAAGCTTTTGGAAGATTTGGCGATACAACAGAGCCAACTTGAGCAAGAGATAGAGAAGGTGCAACAAGAACGAGACTGTAATCGTACACGTTTGCTTTCATACATTTATAATGGTAATGCTAATAGTAAGTTTGTAAATTTTAGACAAATTACACAAATGTTCCAATTACAGTGGAGAAAGAAGCTGATAATGTCATAAAAGAATTTTTACGAAGCAGTGAAGAGGAACGACAAACTCAAGCTGAACTTGTTGAAAAAGAAAAACGAGAAGAATTGCAATTACTTTCATTATGTCATTCGGAACAATTTATGCTCCGCACAAAGGACACCCTTGGTATGTTTCAAATGATTAAATACACCAGAAAAAAAGATAGTCCTTGGATTAACACCAATATTTGTGCATCTATAGTCGCAATGGAGGAATTACTACAAGAGGAGCTACTTCAAGAACAAAAGCTCGAAGAGTACACAAAGTTCAGAGATTATACAGCGCAGTCTTTACTCAGCCTGTAAGTATTTTTGAAGCATATGATCCAACGATACTAAATATTCCTTAATTTTATTTAATATTACAGAGAAGTGAGGAACAATGATCAATTAACGCAAATAGTTCAGGGTCAGGAAAGAAATCGGCAGGATTTAGTAAACAGAATAAGAAAGGATGAAGCATTACAAAAAGCAGCTGTTGCTGCATTGCTGGAACGTAGTGATGCACGTTCCTGGAGTATCGTACAGCAAGTCAATTTGGTACAGTCTCAATTAGCAACCCTGACAAATATTGAGTTGGAAAGAAGAAAGTTTGAAATGAATCAACAACTCGTAAGTTTCGAATATCCTCCTAATGCATTTTACACAATACAAATATTTCATTATATTTATAGAATGACATAGCTGACAAAAGAGTGACGCTGAGCGCCATCCTTCTCAATTTATTGGATCAACAAGAAAAACGGAGAGAACAACTTCTTGAAACTATTAAACAAATTGAACAACAACGTGATATTAACGTAATCACTTTACATAAAGTTAAACTACTGATTCAAATATTATTCCATAATCATACAATGTAGAATTTTCAATTTTTAGAATACAAGAAGAGATAGTCTTTTCTGGTTAATGCAATACCAATCGTTAATGGATGCACGACCTCAAGGTTTATTAGAAACTTTAGAACCAACATTGTTGCGTCATGTTGCAATGGCAGGTGCATTGCACTGTTTACCCTTTTTAGCAACTCTACCATCCTTACTACCAAATCCTAATGACGACCAATTAAGAGCAGTATGTATAGTTTTCCTATTGCTACTGCTCATGGTGGACCTAGTATAAATATATCATTCTTGATGATAAATTTTATCAATTTGTAGATTGGTATTCATAATGAAAGTGACAGAGCCGCCATAATGTTGGCTGTTCAGAATTATTTGACTGAAAAGAAACTGTGTAATATTCAAGAGGCGAGCACAGTGCCCGCTGTCCCATCTGCACCACTGAAAGAGCCTTCTACAAGTTCAAACCAACAAAACTCAGAAGAAACACAAGGTATCAACGTGGCAGAATGCGTTGTTTGTTTGGATTTGCAAGTAAGTATTATTATTCATTTATTAATTAATTCATATGTTAACAACTTGACGATGCGATTAACGACGATACTTCTTGTATTACAGTGTGAAGTGCTTTTTCTGCCATGTGGTCATATGTGTTGTTGCACTAACTGTGCAGACATGGTGACCTCTGAGTGTCCCATGTGTCGAAGTTCGATAGAGCGTAAAATCCGAGTAATTATGCCGTAACATGTTAATGACTTTTTATAAGAACTGCACAATATTGTTGATATGGCTTAAATACTGCATTTTTTCTACCTTTAAAGCATCACAAAGATATAAGAATTAAGGAAAGCATTTTAATCAGATAAAAAATGAGACAGTGATGGTCTCAAGTAATTATTATATAGATAGTGATTGTAAATTATTTCAACTTTGTACTTTATTCTTTAAATCAGAGAGCAAACAATTTTTACGGCTCCTGGTGCATGTGACAATGTATCGTTCACATCGGACAATTACACAATGTAATTTAATTGAAAAAATGTATTTTCATAGGGCCTAGATTCCAAAAATGCAAGGTGCAAGGCACCTGATTCTCCAAAATTAATTATAATTATATATTTTTACCATAACAAATTTTATATGGAATTTGAAAATATATAAATTTCATTAGGCATATTGTAATTCAGATTGACTTGTGTAAAATTATTTTATTAGCAGATGATGCGATGCCAGTTAATAATTATGTTGAACTTCAATTGTGCTGTACTATAAGATGATAAACTCATGAAACGTAGGTCTAATTAATCCTAGTCTTTTATTTGCATTATATCAAAAGTGCCATCATAATAGCATATAGTGTATGAATAGTTGATTCCTACATACAGTAGGATGTAGACTGAAAAAAAAGAGTAGATAGGTAACGGTTTTTTAATGTTTTAAAGAGATTGGCTTTCAAGATATTAAACATTACAGCTTTGGACAAAGTTCTCAATGAATGAAGATCCGCAAAATATTGTGACTGGGTTAACAACTTTAGTATAGTTCATTATTTATAGGCGGTGGCTTGTGTAAATATGAAAATATCATGATACATTAGCACTGAATTATTATTGCTTTTGTTACACATGCGATGTTACGACACCAAACTCTTTTGACTGTTCTCTTTGAATAAATGAATTTCAATACAATTGTACTGTTAAAAATCCATTGCATTAAATATAAAAGTTGCATGTATTCTGTAAACACTTTAACAATAATATCAATGCCAAATTGGATTAATGCTCTGAGACAATATATACAAAAATATATCATAGAGTATGTATGTCAGTAGTATATGTTATTCCAGGGAAATTTGTATAAATAAGATTATTATAAAGTATCATTCGTCTTCAGGAACTTCAGCTCCATCTTCGTCATCTTTTTTTTGTAACTTTTTCTTAGACGTTGCATCTTTCTTTTCCTTCTGTGTCCTCTTGAAATTTTCCAGTGCCTCCTGAAGATGATCAATGAATTGATCAAACTCAATCTCTTCCATTGCTTGTATCACATCAGGTCCACTGATAGTTTTACGATTTCCCTTTTTTGCAATACTGTTGGCTGTTGATGTAAGATATAAAATAAAGATCGAAGCAGCCTTCGCAACAGCAGCACGAGCTTCTTTCCCTATAGTAACTCCATTGGGTAATGCTTCCTTAACAATTCTTGTAACAACTGCATTTGGTAAATTCAGGTCTTCTAAACGTTCAGCCATCTAATAGAAACAAATAAAATGAACTTTCTTTTTCTGACGAACGTCATATAAAGGTAATTTTTGAAGGTTACAAAGCATCAAATATTTATGTAATATAGATACTTACGATTTTTCTTTTAATTTACAATAATCTTCTAATGCACAATGAATAAATGCACCCTTATTATTCCTTCCTCTTCGATAAATAATCTATGTCAAGCATTCATTAAACAGATACACTGTTCCCGCCAGCTATCCAATGTTTGTAATTCTAGAACGAAGTAACTTAAAGCAAATACAACGTAGATTGGATAAAACTCAACAAAATTCAGATTTTATTCTGTTAATACCTAATCACATAAGCAGATGGCATAGCTGTCTCGATCGACTGAGAATCTCTAACTTATAACGTTCTATCCAAAGCAACGATTTATGAAGTTTCTTCTACGTCGTCTGCGCTGCGACTTGACAAGTGCTGTCACGTATTGACAAGTAAACTGGCATAACACCATTGATAACATAGATTCAATTGGACGGCGATTTAACGGGAGGCATCATTCGGAGAAAAATGGCAAAAATCGAAGAAGCAAACGCCCATATAAGGCAAGCTGAAAAAAGGTACAGTAAAGGACTGAAATTAGATTGGAGTATAAATCCATATTTGCATGATCTATATAAAACCTAATTAATGTTCAATTTATCTGTTTTTTAGTTTAAAAACGTCGCTATTAAAATGGAGGCCTGATTTTGAAGTTGCTGCCGAAGAGTATTCACAAGCAGGTTGGATGTGATTCACAAGGATAATTGTAAGACGATGATTTAACTTGTTGTTTTTTATAGCTACGTGCTTTCGTGTTGCCAAATCATTCAAAGAGTGTAAAGAATGTTTAATGAAGGCAGCTGATTGTTACAAACAAAATCGGTCGTATCCTTTTAATTATTAACATTACATATTTCTAATAATAATCCTAGTATCTAAGAGTAGGTAATTTAATCAATGAATGTTGATTCCTTACCACTTTGAAAGATGGTTTCATGCTGCCAAGTAAGTATTTCATAACTGACATTATAGTCACTGATAAAATACAAACAGATTTTATAACAATAAATATTCACAGGTGTCTGGAGCAAGCGCTGCTTGTATGCAAAGAAGTGGGCAAACTTTCCGAAGTTCCAAAGTTAGCACATTCTGCATGCTCCCTTTATCAGGAACATGGATCGCCAGAATCAAGTGCTACAGTTTTAGATAAAGCTGCTAAGATGTTAGAATCAACTGAGCCTGAACAAGCATTACAATTGTATCAAAGAGCTGCTGATGTTGTTATGGTATTATGCAAATTCTATTTTAAACACTAATTTATTAGAGCCTATAATTCATCATTATTACTTTTTAGAATGAGGACAGTCCTCGACAGGCAGCTGAATATATGAGCAAAGCTGCTCGAATTCTAGTAAAGCTCAAGATGTATGATCAAGCAGCTGATGCAATTCGAAGAGAAATAGGCATGCATCAGCAAATTGATCATATATCATCTGTTGGGCGACTCGCAGTGGCATTAGTTTTGGTACAACTAGCTCGTGGCGATCAAGTGGCAGCTGAGAAAGCTTTTAAAGAATGGGGAAATTGCTGCGAATCTCCAGAAGTTCAAACCTTAGAAATGCTATTGCAGGCCTATGACAATGAAGATGCTGATTCAGCAAGATCAGCATTAAATAGTCCATTTATTAAACATATGGATGTGGAGTATGCAAAGTTAGCACGAGGTTTGCCGTTACCCCAACAAGAGTACGCTATACCACCTGCAGGTGTAAGACCAAATGCTGCTGCTTCCTATATTTCTCCTAATGCAACTAAGTTGACTGGACAAGCTACAATTGAAGCAGAAGTTAATTACGTCTGTACCAAATGTTATTTTCCTTATTGTAGGATTGTGCATTGAACGATTCATATTTCATTTTTGCCAACAGAAAGAAAATACGGTTTCGCCTGCGAATGATGAATCTGAGGAGACTAAGCCAGAGCAAATAGAAAAGCCAGCTGCTCCAACTCAAGATGTTGCAGGTAATGAAGAAGATGATGAATATGAAGGAGGTCTTTGCTGATTGCTTAATATGTCAAATTTAATGTTAGTGCATTCAAGTTTGAATATTATATTTGTCACCTATCCATGATTTGTTGTACTGGCTCATGTATAACTTAAGTGAATTGCTAAACAGACTAGATTATTATTAGCGACAAGCTACTTTATTATATTCTACCGATTCCTGCATGGTTCAAGTGAATTATCATTTAAGATACAATACTGCAATACTGCAATATTAGCAAGGTAACAATGAAATGTTATGTGTAGTCTCACTTTGTGAGCTGGAAACGTATATGAAACGTACGATGCAAGACGTAAGATTACACATATGAGCAGCATCAGTACTAATGACATAAATGATAAAATCTAATAGACTTTGCATTTTATTTGAACAATCCTACTCTGTACAGCTATAAATTCTATAATCATCTAACGCAATGCTTCAATTAAGATAAACTGTTTATAATTAAGATAATTCAAACCTCTCATGTTTATATGTTATGATCTCCAGTGCTGTTTAAGGAACTCTTAAAGTTATATTCTTGTGAATTGTATTTGCAGAAACTGATTGACAAATAAAACAGTTGAAGGAAAATAACTTCTTCAAATATAGGTTATCTATGTTTCATAGTGATGTAGAAACTAATATTTCATTATCCTACCTGAAAAACGGTGTAGCCCACAGTTGCGTGATATCCACTAAGAAATCGTTGCACTTAATCCAAAGTTGTTACAAAATTTGTCGTAATTACATTTTCTCACAAAAATTCGCAATCAACACGTGAAGGTTTGAACTCCGCGGAAAATGTAGCAACGTTCTCAAAGACATAATTCGATTCAAGCGTTGTGTGAATGGTGTAAATGGACAGTTGTTCAAAATTTGTTTAGTTTTTACTTTCCTACGCCAATGTGAGCTGTCATCTGTGCTGGTTGCTACTAACTGTCAATGGAACTGATACTATTGAAGCAGATTGTTGTATTTTACATTCTTGAAGCAATTAAATTATGCAATCCCTAAAATATACTTGCTTGTCTTGAATTATACTTAGGTAAGTGGATATAATGTATACTGCTTTATTATTCAATGTACTTATTTTAAGTTAGCAATGTGGTTGTGTATTATTATTGAATTATTACAACTTCATGCCCTTAGTATTAGGGTTATGGTGCTAATTAGTGCTTAAATATTTGTTACTTTTCTTTTAAATCATAATGTGCACAGCCTTCAACTATCAACTGTTTTGCTTTTATATGATTGAAAGTTTATCATCGTATCATTACATACTTACTTTAATGAGAGTGCAATAGCTGAGTAAAACCTGTGTAATAAAAGAAGTATCGACGGATTTATTGCATTGTATATAGAAATTTAAAATTATGGAATATACCTGCATTATTTTGGATTCCATGATTTTAGCTACTGCAAGAAAATCAATTTTATTATTATTTCTTTTTTTATTTAATATTGCATGGTTTCATTTAGTTTGTTGGTGGTAAAATGTCCAGTGCTGAGAGCGGTGTGGGATGTGTAAGCGAAGTTACTCTCGCAATTAGTAAAGCAAGAGGTTCCCAACCAGGCACTGTTCGAGTACTTGATAGTCCTGATTCTGATGGTTCAGGTCATTCAAATTCTTTCACTGTACAGCGGTTCAATTATCCTGAAGGAGAGAATGAGAATCTTGATACAGAGGTTCTTCAATCGCCGCCCTCAGCCGGTGATTTAAGAATACCCATCGTCGGTTATGAAGTAATGGAAGAGAGAGCAAGATTTACCGTTAGTATTTTTTTTCCTAATTTTGTTGCGAAGCATGTTTAATCTAAGTAATATGCGTGTGAGCTCTATCAAATTAAAAACCATCACGTATCTTTTGGCTTAAAGAAAATTTATTTCGTATTTAGGTTTATAAGCTTCGTGTGGAACTAAGAAATGGCGATTGCTGGTTCGTCTTTAGGAGATATACAGACTTCGTACGCCTCTTAGCTCAACTACGAAGACAAAAAGCTCCAATCTCCCATTTATCTTTACCAAGAAAAAAGTGGCTAGGTGATAACTTTGCTCCAAGCTTCTTAGAGGAAAGGATACACGGTCTCCAAGCATTTGTAAATGGAATTTTGAGCTGTTCCGTTCTCACAGGAACAGCTTGTGTTAGAGAATTCTTTTGCTTGGATGAACCACCAGCATTATCTGATACTGTTGAAGAATCTAGAGTAAGCATTCACAATACAGTAGCCCAATATCTCGTTAATATTATCTTTTCCGTAACTTCATTTCTCATTTAGGCAATTTTCGAGGCTATGGAAGATACCATATATCATCTAAGACAACAATTAAGAGAGCGGGATGCTGCTCTTGCAGCAGAAACGACTCATTCAAATGAACTTCGAATTAAACTTCATCAACTTGTTCAGTGAGTACCGTTAAGCATTCTCATACTATTTATATTAAGTTCAAAAATGAATTTTCAATATATTCTTTTATGAATAATCTCATATTGCAGTAATACGCAGCTGTGTTCAAAGTGCGGTGCACATATATGATTACTTATAATAACAATTTGTGAGTAAATTGCAATCATATCGGAAATTCGCTAGACAAGCGTTACCAATCTCTAATACGTTAAAAATAATTAATTTTTGATATGAACATATTTAAGGTACTATTTCATAGAAGAATATTTTATACAATGTTACATATGACTGGCAGCATTACATGTTAACTTTCATTAGATATTTTATCAGATTAAAATAATGTTTACTTCGCTTGTATACTGAAATATTGTAGTGATATTTGTTGAATATGACTAATCGTTATAAATCATTGTGATGATGAGTTGATGGATTTTAGATACTGGTACATGTAACAGATATGATGTTCTTATTGTCATTGCAACACTGTGTAAAAAAAACTGGGAACATTGTTGCAATTGCAATTAATAGGACGCATTGAATAATGAAAAGTTGCTAAAAACTTAATATAGCAAATAATTTTAAACAAATTTTTGAACGATCTGTTAAATATATATTATTGTACAGGTAAATATTGTGTTTCCACACTTTCATATTAAGTTCAGAAAGTAATGAGGAAACGAGTTTTGTAAGGTAGAGCAGAATTAAATTGCCACACTGATATACTTTTAGGCGAACGAGGCAAAAATATTGGTACAAACTTCTTAATATGTTAACGGAATACGAATACAAATTGTGTCTTGAATGAGAAATGAAATACTTCATACTGAAAGTCGTACTAAGATATTGAAATAGCATTTGTGGTAATCAGAAGCCGATAATACTAAATAATTTATTTCGGTTAATAGATGCACACTATCATGCTATTGACACGTGTTATGATGAAAAGCAATAAATAAATATATATGACTTCAATTTACGTATCGTTGATTTTTATATGTACAATTTCATATTGTGAAAACGGAATACTGGCAATTATAATACAAGCAAAATAAGTACGCTGTAACGCTGTACAATTAATATTACAGCCAAGTAGAAAAATAAGAGGATTGATATACGATGTTTTAATCTTCAACTGCGTATTAAAAAAATAGTCATTACTATCCTGATTCTCATCGAAGTGTTTTCTGTAAACTGTAATCAGTCTTCTTGGTGTATTCCTGGTGCAACGACCAGACACATGACTTGCATGACGTATGTAAAGTTTCCTGGAAAAAGATAATTATATTTAGATATTATTCTCATGGAACATTAAAACTTCATAAAACACTTACTCATTAGACTGTTCTCTGCCTCCTTGTGGACATAAAAGTGATAAATTACAATACCAAAAAGGATGAAGGCTACAGCAAATAGATATTTAGGTGATGGGTCAGTAATAATAGGAACCGTCGCTAAGAATATGGATATGAGTAAAACCAACCACGGGATAACAAGAGGAACAGTATATGGTCTATGGGCATCAGCTTTTGTTCTTCTCAAAATTATAAGAGCTATCATGGCCATCCCGTAGAATATCCAAGTGAGAAAACTGGAAAATTCAATAAGTTCTACGATATCTCCTAGGAGGATGCAGATCAGGGTGAGTAAACCTTGAAAAGCTACAGCAACAGCAGGCGTCAGCTTATGGATATGAACAAAACTAAAAACTTTTGGTAAATGCCCTTCCTGTCCAGCAACGTAGCATAATCTGGATACTCCAAACTGAACGGTGAGTCCACATCCAAAAGTTGAAAGAGTTACGCCAAGAGGAATAACAAAACCTAGCCAGGACGGAAATACCCTTTCAACCCATAGTACACCTACTGCAGGTGCTTTTGTTATTTCCGTTATCGTTAACACTGACATATACATAAGATTCATACCGACGTAGAGGATGGTGATGATTGGTACAGCTATAAGAATACTGCGAAGAATATTGACCTCTGGCCTCTTGACTTCTTCAGTTACAATAGTCGCCGACGTCCAGCCATCATAGGCCCATAAGCCACTATAAAACGCCAGAGCTATGTTCCTAGGAGACGCTGTAGTTCCTTTGAAGGTGTCCTTAAGTAATTCTGTTCTTCCGGTACCAAGCCACCATACGCCTCCCACGATAATAAGTATACAGGCGGCGACTTTGCAAATGGTGAAAATATTTTGCACTCTTACATAAAGCTTCACACTTGTCAAGTTAATGTACGTTATTGAACCAAGTGCGAGGATACTTATTAACTTTTTTACTAGATAAACTGATTCTTCAGGTACGTCTTTCATGTAACCGGAAAAGGGCTGAACGCTGTACTCTGCGAATGTCAATATCACTACGGCCACTTCCGCTGGTCGAAGAACCATCACGTATACCCAGGAACATATGAAAGCCGGAATCTGTCCGAAGTATCGATGTAGAGGCATAAAAGCTTCTATGAAGTAAGCATATTCTGCTCCTGATCTTGGTACCACGGCACTGAGTTCCGCGAAAGCCAGTGCACCAAGTAACGATAAAAGACCACACGATGTCCATATGATTAGACAGAATCCAATGGACCCTGATTTTTCTAAGGTCTTTGCAGGTGATACAAAGATTCCAGAACCTGAAGAATTAATTGTTATATTTATTAGTATAACTTGATCATCTTGACATATTACTATAATCTATTTATTATATTTCCAATTTGCAATTGGAGCAGAGAGATTGTAAGATATACAGTATACATATATGCCTTCCATATGAAATGTATGAGAAGACGTGCATTATATGTTTTACAAGTGGATAAAAGATCTGCGAACTGCTAGTGTTAAGTGACTTCTTATTCAGACGCATGCCATTATGCTATTATGGTTAACTGGTTGCTGGGATAGTTGTCCCAGACACGATATATACAGTAACGTCCAATTGAAGTGCTACACTTGATCTTTTTTTACATATCTGTGAAAGTATGACAGATTTCGAAAAACCAAAGACATATTTTTTAGGAAATTTCCTTCCCGTTCAAATGGTAAAGGTTTTATCCTGATCAGATACAATATGGCCGAATGGCAGGGGTTGGAGTGAAAAAGTGCATTTTGGAACTTTTTGAAAAATTCGAGATCTAGTAGTTCCGGGGGACTACTACCCTACCACGTGCGCCAAGCAATTGTCCCCCGAGCGCCTCGAGCGGAACTCGCAAAATTTAGACGTTTTTTCAAACGGATAACTTAACCCCTTAGCGTACTTGTATTTGGATGTTTAAAAGCGCGTTTCAATCGTTGAAATCTCAGCTACAGCGTGGATAAAAATGAAACTTGTATTTCATCGCTTTCCTAATGAAAAATGGCGGGGAAACTTCGGGTGCGCTTGCGAAATCTCGAGATCTCCGTCACAGGATCATCTCCGAGAACAATAATTTTGTGAGAATCTGCAGTATCATTAAACATGATATCATGCAGAAACTGGACCAGATTGGCCGGCGCGTTCGGAAGTTATGGCCATTTAAGTGTTTTCACTTCAAGGGGGTGTAACTCCCCCTAGAGTGATCCTACATGGGTTCAATGAGGTTTTTTTTTAATGTCGAAGGATGCTCTCTCTCGTGTCCTAATTAGAAATATAAATTTCCTTCCGGAACTACAAGATCTCGAATTTTTCAAAAAGTTCCAAAATGCACTTTTTCACTCCAACCCCTGCTATTCGGCCATTTTGTATCCGATCGGGATAAAACCTTTACCATTCGAACGGGAAGGAAACTTCCTAAAAAATATATCTTTGGTTTTTCGAAATCTGTCATACTTTTACAGATATGTAAAAAAATTCAAGTGTTGCACTTCAATTGGACGTTACTGTATAACTGATCTCGTTATAGGATCTCGAAAAATCCATGACTTTAAAATGTTTCTCTAAGGCATTTTGTGCAATTAGGTTTTATGAACGATTACAGTGTTTTATCAATTAATTCAATATACATGGAGTACATTTTTGTAGTTTATATGAAAAAATTATTATCAATGACGTTGGATGCGCGAAATAGTATATTATATATACTGTTAATTTATCTATCGATATTTATCACAAGATGTCTAGTCACGCCTATCTTGTTTGATCAAAATTGCGATATACTTTCTAATCGTTATATTTTTTAATATACTCTCATTAAAGAGTCAAAGTAAACTGTAAGCCAATGATTACACGCATAAGAAATATTAATATGACTTGTAATCTAGTTTTTAATGAATTTATTTACTTATCTGAGGAATTTTTTAAAAATCTTCAGTCATTAACACGCGAATTAAATTTAAGAAACCGAGATTTTTCCCAAAAAACAGAAACGTGAAGAACTGGCGGTTGGTTCATAAACGCATAAAATCACAACTCGGGTGATATGAACATGATGTCATTTTAATTTGCAATATGTACTAACGATAATTAATAAACAAATCTTAAATACCAATCATGACAGCGAGGATCATATTGACAGCGCTAAATAATCCTAATCGCCGTTTAAGTGCAACTTTGTTCTTTGTTCCTGTAGCAGCGCCCGCCATCTTTATAATAATATGATTAGATTTAACGTAAAGTATGTAAAATAATCAAGACAATCGCTATCACAAAATCTTCACTTGTCTTTTAAAGTTTATTTTTTAATCTATGTAAAAAGTAATTATTCCAGTGTTCTAATTAGCTCAATTGTCAGATTAACTGAATGTAAAACAGCTACTAGATTCAATAATCTACTTCGCGGCGCTTAAACGGTCATGACGTTCTCACAAGTAGGTTCAGAAAGATACTGCACGTTAAATAGCAACACTTAGTTACCTTCAGCTACTGCTGGATAAGCATTGATGTTAATATAAGTGGCGCTTCTTTCACACAAGCCGATATCAGTGATCATCTGGAAGTGGTAGTACGAGTTAGAATTAAAAAGTTAAATTGATATTGATAATAATTATTAGCAAAGGTCGACTAGATACTTATAAATATCTATATACGGCGTAGACGAATATTACTCCATTATATTACTCCAGATAAAAATTACGTGTTTGTTTTTTCAAGTAAAATATACACAATAGAGTAAAATGGGAGCCACTGCATTAATGAAGGATTTACGTTTGAATTTCAGACTTCTTCAACTTGGACAGTTCTTAGTAGACACGATGATAAGAGAAAAAATTTATTCTCAAGCTGAGAATACTGAGGAACACACAATTTCTTTTCCCTTTGACATCACGAATAACGACCGCAGCTGAAAATAATAAAAAATTAAGACAATTTCACATTAAAAAGTATATAATTAATTTAAATAGACTACACAAGTAGTACTTACGAAATTAACATTATTTATCCAATTTGCTTACATTCCTCATTGCCGCTGGTTAGCATTTCAGTGTTCCGTGACGTTCATGACGTATTGATGTGCTATGTGTCTTCAATGATGGATTTCTATTACCCATATATCGACGATTCTAATTCTTACTTCTTTTTTATCTTGAACGTCTCAATGAAAGCACAAGTTATGTGACCTCCAAGCGATTAACGTGAATTGCCAAAGCTAGTGACAATAAGAATAATATGCTCGGATTATGAAATAACAGATCTAACTTAGTATCACGATTGTGTCATTATGCAACATGAGATTCTTTTTAACAAGCAATTCTACGTTGAACAAGGAAAGACATTGTCTCACGTAGGTTTCAAATTACAGAAGGAGTTGTATCACAGGTTAAATATATCATTCTTCAAACTCGAATTATCTTATGTAATATGATGAAGAAGTTTAATAATCATTTTCAATGGCAGCAGCTCATATTAGTAGATGCTTATCACGAAGCGATAGGATGGATTAGCGTCCTCTAAGGTCATTTATCACATTAGACACACTCGTTGGATACTAATAGTAAGGCAATTTGTTAATACCTGAAAAAGAATTAATACTTTGATTGGTAATAGTATTTCCAGATGATCAGGGAATGATCTTTCGAGTTCTCTATGCTGTAATGGTATAAGTTTATAAAATTCAAAAACAGATTATTAAAACGATAACATTATTTAATGAAAAAATTCTTAATACAGTCAATTTTACAGTTTGCATTTCAAAGTTCATAGTTCATGCCTCATCTCGCGCGATACAACTGAATGAGATATGGCTTGAAATATGCATTTTGGATTTATGGAATGTAGAGCAAGCTGTAACAATATTTGTTACTTTAGCGTGAAGTGTATTGTTCAAAAAACTGAAAATCGGTATAGAACTATTAGCTTTCTCCATTCACAGATCCCGCGTTCCTCTACTTTCCATTTTCCCTACTCAAGTAGTATATGCAACTTAAGGCCACCTGTTGCTTCAGATCTTCCAAGTACAAAGAATTTAAAATATAATTAATAATTCAGACACGTGACATTTTACACGTGCATAATCATTATTTAGAATATTATGAAAAAAGATTCTCTGTGTAGAAGTCAATAAAGCGAGTAATATTTGTTAATTTAGAAGCAAAGAATAAAAACTTGTATCAGAAAGTTAACATTATATATAGGTGTAAATAGTTATGTCTGCGTAATCGGACCGTTTTTAAAACGACATTAGGCGAAAAATGTTATTTTCACTGAAAAATTGAAAGCATATAGTGATGAGGAACAATGGTTCAATATCGATTATCACGCTTTTGTATGATCAAGAAAAGACCTCGTTACATTAAGTTTATACTGTCAGATTGATCGTACTGAATGAATTTGTTGAAATTAAAGTTCCTTTTTTGAGCTAGTTAATATTCCACTAAAGTATTGGCTGTAAATTCTTTTAAAATGTACTTGTATGTAATCAATTAAAGATCGTGCGTTGATGACAAATTCTTTTACTGTTTTTGGTGGAAGTGTAGTTACTGCTACCGCAGCGAGAGCTCCCAGAATTATCAAGCCAAGAATAAATAAGAGAAAGGAACGGCATATTGTACTTCTGCCATTTTCTGAAAATAGATTGTAATTTTAAATCATATAATAAAAAATGTGAGGAATCGTCTCACCTTTTTGTGAAATCATTGACGTTTTGCCAGTCGATCCATTTAACTGATTTCTATGTGAGTTATTTGGTCGCTCACTTTCGGGGTTAGCAGACTTTTCCTTTTCTATCTTTGACTTGTTGTCTTTGTCTGCATTCCTCTTTTTCTTCTTTTTACTTTCTTTCTTCAAAGGAACGGTTTCCCTTACTGTATCGGCTTTACAAAATATACATAGAAATATGTACTTATACATATGTATGAAATATAAAAATTCATTATCGTTCTTTTATTAATTTGTATAATTCTAATCACCTTGTGTTGCATTTGTTCTGTTAAGCTTCTCTTCCTCTATGCTTTTTTTCACATTGGATAAGAATGCAACAACATTTCGTGCACAAGTCTGGCATTCACTAGCATTGCCACAAGGTCCCGCCACACTGGCAACAGCTTGTGTTAGTGGATTATTTTTGAGGTCCAGCCATTTCAAATTCTTTAACTCACCCAAACTCAGAGGTAATCTACTAATCTGTAATTACAGTTCTATCATAGTATATGCTTATAATAAACAATATATAAATAAATGGAATAGAGCAATGTTGAAATATTCGAATACCTGATTACTATACAAGTCCAAATGTTTAAGTTGTCGCAATTCTCCAAAATTTTCAGGAATCTCTGTCAACATATTATGACTGAGATCTAACTTTACCACTTGCGTCAGAATGATGAAATTTTTCTAGCAACAAACGATTATAAGCTACGTAGTTATAATCATATATTTCCTTTTTTTTTCATATGACTTATAAGACTTACAGGCAATGACACTAAACTGTTATTCGACAGATCCAAGAATGCTGCTTTTTTAATAGCAGCCTAAAAAATCATAAATATCAATGATTACCTTAGAGTAAAATAAATTCAATAAAACGTGTTCCTTAAGAATAATATAAATCAACTAATAGCCCATGTAAATATACATACAATCTCACGAACAGGCACTTCAGTGAGGTCACATAAACTGAGATCCAACGTGTCATCTTCAAGTTTATCCCTTAAGTTTGTTAATGCAGCCATATCTGCAATTAATACTTTTTCTAATTATATTTCATAATCAAGTATTAATATACATACTATTGTGTAAATAATTAAAGATGATTTCTTAATGTTGAAAAGTACCTCAACAGCGAGAGTGACAACACCTCATTCAAAAAAAGTCACATACAAAAAAAAACATTTCACGTAAAATGACTAAAGGAAAGCATTATGTCGACATACCAATTAGAAGTATAATTAAATTAAATAAATCTTACTTCAGAAAAGCCGGTTTATCACGTATACCATAGATACGACGTCTGAAGCTGAACACGTAAGCAACTCAACACGACTTACTTCCAAAATTATTTGACAGCGGGAATACCAACTGCATATTTATGAACACTAGGTAAAGTACTAAAGTAATGAATTGTCATATGAAATTAATACTTATCATAATTATATATTGCAAGAAAAGAAATCATTCATACTGATATCCAAAATCTTATTTAAATAGCGCATACTATTATGAATAAAGATATGCAATTATATTGAAATAAAATTATAGGGATTTATGGTTTATAAAATTTCTGATATTGTGTCTTGACAGGTTTCCTTCAATTTGATACATTCAAGTCACGGTGCAATCATATGAGAGAAGTAAAAAGGTAATTCTACTATATTTTATAGGATAGAGAAGCTGAATATGTTCTTAAGTTTACGTGTTACTCTTATTGTAATACTTTTTGGAGTAGCTATTGAATTCATATTAGATATCGCATAAAATACGTATATTATTATTGACATAAAAAAATGAATATTCCAAGAATGTGTTCACTCTGTCGGAATAGTCGAATGATCAACAGCAATATATTAACAAATGGCGTATACTGTTACAATCATGATTCTTATTTGAATGGAGTAAAATGGCAGTTTTATACAATTTGCCTCATCATGCTTTAAAATAGAGTTGAACCAAGCTTTCCTTGGTCAGTAAGGAATTAATCATGAAAAATGAACATATTCAGAATTTAATAATAAACTTTGTAGCTCTGAATATTTTATCAAACCAGTGATGGCCGGTTGCAATGAGTTGAAATTTAGTGACAAATTTGATAGAGAAATAAATTAGTTACAGATATACTTTTCAAATGATAAAAATGTTAGTTTTAAAGTAAAGATAAAGTCACTAATACTGATAAACGACTCATTATTTGAGATTAGTAATCCCTGGTAAATGTAAATAATAAATGTGCAGTAGAATACCCAGTATTGTCAGAGATAAGATAACATATGGTACAAAAGTGGCAGTTTAGTCTGTGATAAGACACGCCTCTCATCTAACAATAAATCCTTTAAACAGAGTTTAATACTTGATGTTCATTCTTCCAGTATTCTCTAGAGTAATAAGAGCAAACAAGGATTTTTGGAACTGTAAGGAAATTTGACGACTGTGAATCATGGCCCTTGAACTTCCACCAACTCTAGTAAAATTGTTTGGGTAATACTCTTTCAGTAAAATTATTACTTTGAGGAAATAAATAATACCGGTTTTTTTTTTAAATTGAAACGATGTCTTAGAAATAATTTATTTTGCATGAGAGGTTCATGTTTTCTGAAGCCTGTTATTTAAATTTTCTTCCGGTCTGGAACATGCAAGAAAATGCAAAATTCATTTATATTAAATCATTAGGTTTATCCCTGTAATTAATACAAAATAAGTATTTTTGATAGAAATATATCATTTTACTTATCTTACAGTAATCAATCAATTGACACCAGCTTATACTTGATAAAAATTATTTATCATGATAATTTTTGAAAATGACATGGGTCAATAACATAATTTAGACAACCAATTGATTTTCAATTTATGATATCTAAGAAATACTTTCAACATAACTTACATTATAAATATATTTCTGTTCTATAGGCATATAGATCAGCATAAGGATGAGTACGTAAACAACTTGAGAGATGTAGTTGCTATCAAATCTGTGTCTGCATGGCCTGAAAAGAGGAGTGAAATAGTTAAAATGATACAGTGGGCTGAAGCAAAATTAAAAGACTTGGGCACCACAACAGAACTAGCTGATATTGGCAAACAAAAGCTATCTGATGGCAAAGAAATTCCTCTACCTCCAGTACTACTAGGAACACTTGGTTCTGATCCTAAAAAGAAGACTGTTCTATTGTACGGCCATTTGGATGTCCAACCTGCACTTCTCGAGGATGGTTGGGACACAGAACCTTTTACTCTTGTGGAAAAGGATGGAAAACTCTATGGAAGAGGAAGTACAGACGATAAAGGACCAGTACTGTGCTGGATCCATGCACTCCAAGGCTATAAAGCTATTGGAGAAGATATTCCAGTTAATATAAAGGCATGCATCCATTTAATCAGATCTTGAATAGAAATTTTTAAACCGTTCAATACAAATTTCTAATATATTCAAGTATAGTTTGTATTTGAAGGTATGGAAGAGAGTGGAAGCGAAGGACTGGATGACCTTTTGTGGTCGCGAAAAGACACTTTCCTCAAAGGTATAGATTATGTTTGCATCTCTGACAATTACTGGCTGGGAACCACAAAACCTTGCATCACATATGGCCTCCGTGGTATTTGTTACTTCCATCTTGAAGTATCTTGCGCAACCAGAGACTTGCACAGCGGTACCTTCGGCGGAACCGTGTACGAAGCCATGTCTGATTTGATTTATCTGCTGGATTCGTTAGTTGATGTAAACGGACGTATTTTAATCGATGGCATTTATAATGACGTTGCTGAAATTACAAACGCTGAATTGGAAAGCTATAAGACCATTGAATTTGATGTGAATGAATTCCGCTCTACTGTGGGTACTAAGAAGTTGGCGCATAATGAGGATAAGGTACTTTAGATCGAATTTCAAAAATAAGCATAACTATATTCACTTGTTTCTAACAATTTTTACACCCCCTTTCCTAGACTCAACTTCTAATGCATCGCTGGCGCCATCCAAGCTTATCTATTCATGGCATCGAAGGAGCTTTCAGTGATCCTGGAGCAAAGACTGTGATACCAAGAAAAGTCATAGGTAAATTCTCAATTAGAATAGTACCCAACATGACCCCAGCTGATGTAGAAAAAAAGGTCGTGGCTCATTTGCAAAAGAAATGGAGTACTCGCGGTAGTCCAAACGTAATGAATATAAATATGGATCATGGTGGAAAACCATGGACCGAGAATCCGGATCATCCTCATTATATTGCTGGACGTCGAGCTACCAGACACGTTTACAAAGTGGAACCTGATCTTTCTCGTGAAGGAGGTTCCATCCCTGTGACATTAACTTTCCAAGAGGTTACTGGTAAGAACGTTTTGCTTCTACCAGTAGGCGCTGGTGATGATGGTGCTCATTCTCAAAATGAGAAATTGAACGTCCGTAATTACATTCAGGGTGTAAGTACACAATTATTTAATTGCTTTAAATATCCTAATACAAATAAACTTAACGATACATTTATAATTGCAGACAAAGCTACTTGGAGCCTACCTCTATGAAGTTGCTCAATTGTAGAGTATGTGTGGTGAAATCAAATATAATGATCACTGCGATATATCGATACACATATGACAGTATAAAAGACCCTTAAAGCATGCGGATCATATATATTGATTCGTGCATTTCAAGATATCACCCATTAGCTCTTTTTAAAGGATTTTATACGTATACTTCTGGAACGATATATGTTTGAAAGATAAGTGGAATATCGTTTTGTATGATTTATAAAGAACTGGTTAAAGTGTTATAGAAAATATAATACTTATAATAAAATAATATACTTCTCGAAAATATTTTCTTTTAACATAATCACTGGGAAAAGTTAATTCTTAATACCCAAGCTGGTTGTCCTCGATGATGATTAGCAGGTAAACTTATTTTTACGCTATTCGATTCTTGTTTCCACTGGAACAATATTAATGAATATGTATATTTATTTAAATTTAAAAACTGGTTTATGACCAGAGTCAATAATAGTGAAATAAACAAATATATTCGTACCACAAGTTCTTCATCATGTCCCAGGAGGAATACTTTATAATTATGTGAAAGCATAATCGATCCCAATTGCAAAATATTATCGATAGGCCAAGAAAGAACGTTGGCATATAGTTTTTGCCTGTTTTTACTTTGCGTATACCAAACATCCCCATTTAAAGTATCATTTTGCGTACTCCAAGGTTTACTGTTATAGATCGCCTCTCCATTTAAAGCTAGCCATTTGCCTAATATATTAGATTATTCAAAATATTTATAAATATCTGATATTGTGAAAAGAAAAAAGAAAATTAGTATTATACCCATTCCACGAAGTCTTTCTTCAAATATGGGAGCAATGATGCCGTCTTTTGTAGGGCCTACATTCATGAGTAAATTTCCACCACAGCTAACCGAGACTATTAATTCTTTCACTAATTCTTTTAGAGTAAGATAATCGTTTAAAACGGCATTTCTTCGATAACCCCAAGATTTGCGGTCTATTGTCATGCAATTTTCCCATTTGTGGGCTTGCAACACTCCTATAATATTTTGTTTGTAGCAGATATAAAATATATCTTATTTATCTTAGAGGAAGACTTACCAGGATTGTAGCGATCAGTACAAGTGTAAAAGTCACCATGATTGCATGGTATATTCATTCCCCATCTATCATTCACTACAACTGTATCTTTAATGGGACTATCATTGTATAACCAGGCTAAGAATTCTTTAGACTTCCAATAGGAATCTGTGGGCTCCCAATCACCATCAGACCATATCACTTCTGGTTTAAAAAGATCAATCAATTCATGAAGTTCAGGAATTGTCTTTTGAGTGGCAAAAATGTCTGTAGTAAAATTATTTTCCTTATCATGTAGATACAGAGGATTGTACCACTCATACAAGGAATGATAGAGACCAAATTTCAAGTTCGTTTCTTTTCTTATGGCATTGGCTAGTTCCCCTGTTATAGATTGAAGATAATTTCAGTACATTAATAATGAGTAATATTATTCAGAGTATGAAATAAACAATTGTTTTGAATACCAATTAAATTTCTGTGAGGTCCAACATCAACAGAATTCCAACTAAAGGAATATTTTGAAGGCCATAATGTGTAACCTTCATGATGTTTGCTTGTCAATACAACATATTTGGCACCTGATGCTTCAAATAATTCACTCCATTGTGTTGCATTAAAAAACTCAGCAGTAAAGTCTTTGGCAAATTCTTGATATGTAAAATTAGGAGGATAGTTCTTCTCCATAAAATCATGGTATTTTATATCTTTCTCATCTGAAAATATTGTTCACTAATCAACCTGTTTTCAAAAAGTAATATTCAGTAACTGACTAAATGAAATATAAGATACCTTTCCAATTATTCCAAAACCATTCAGATCCAAAGCTGGGTACACTAAAGACACCCCAATGGATAAATATACCAAATTTTGCATCGTCATACCATTGAGGAAGAGGACGACTATCCAAACTTTCCCAAGTTGGTTTGTATTTTTTCATAATCATTCTACCATCTTGAAAAAATGTTTCAAACGATTCAGACTCATCAACCATTGAAATTAAATAATGCTCCTGCATTTGTGCATCGCACAAAATGTTCAAGGACAAAATCAAAAATATCCAAAAAGACATTGTTACACTTGTTAACTACTGAGATTTGATAATCCAACTGCTTCTCTCTTTCTTAACTGCAATCTTAAACACAGGCATTCACAAAACCATATACAATTAAATCGTCAAACGCTCACTGTGAAAACAGAAAAACAATTATAATCGCTTTCGGTTATTATCATCGTATCTTATCAGTTTGAATAAAATATAGAGACGTACCATATGAATTTGGAAATTTCGTCAACACTGTTGCATATTGTATTTTCGATAAAATAAAAAAGCTACATGGAAGATACGTACTTTATACAGATAAAGCTAAAATTAAAAATAAACATCGAGATAATTCAAATTGGATATGTAAACCACAAATGAGTGTAACCACGAATTTAAGTATTGCAGTATGACCACTACAGCGCCACAAATATCTCAAAGAATTGGAAAAAAAATAGCTAGCCGAAAAGAAAGACAGAAAGAATTTCCTAACGGAAGGGGAACGACCTCTTGAGGTACTTTTAAAAAACTAGGTTATAGCCGGTATAACCCAGTATAACATTTTAACTTTCTCAGTGTTATAGCTATTAAACAGTCAGTAAATAGCATATCTCGAGAATTAACACGTTACATATAAGAATACACGTTTTATATTATTCTATCAAGGATCTTTAATCCTCGTTTTTAAATTGTGTATGCATGTTAGTTTAATTCTATTCATTTGAATAAATTTTATTGTACCGTGTGCGGAGCAGTCATAAAAATAAATTTGTGTAACCCAGTGTGATCTGACACTTGGCCCTCTATATAAGGGCATAAAACCATAAGAAATAGGTGTGATATGTAATGGACCAAGTATTATAAGAGGTATTATCTGGAAGAGTGTCAAGTTAGTTCCAGTAGTCTGACGTTTCTTATGTATTTGCCAATATATGTATAGGAGTATGGTAATGTAATGGAATTACATTTGTTTTCAGATATAAATGATCTTGCTGCTATTAAACAGTTTTCTTAAAAAGACCAATGATAGATTCATTGGAGCGGCTAAACTATAGTAAGATACAACTCCTTCAGACTCCTTGAAGTTAGCTGTGGATTGTTTAGTTTATTTTACAAGTAGTCTTTCGAGAAGAAGTCATATCTGCAGTTTTACAGAAAAGTGTCCAAGGACGAAGGAAACTCTATCCATGGAGGTTAAAAATTCAGATATTGAATCCTTAAAATCTGATAAACATATTAAACGAAAAAAGTTCAAGAGGTTGAAAGCTGAAACAGATATGAAAGAAAGTGAACATGTAAACAGACCAGAAAAAGTGAGTAACAAGAAAAGAACAATGCAAACTTTAAAAATAGAATATGAACATACAAAAAATGATTCTAAGAAAGAGAGGATAAAAAAGTGTAACAAGTCAGATACTGACTCTGATTCTAAGGAAAGCAAAAATCTATATGATCTGGATATTGGAAATAATGTGAATAAAGAAACTGAAGGTATACAAATAAAAACTGAAACAAGTGAAGATAATTTACTCAAGTCTGATTGTATGGAGAAAACTATGCACGGTCCACATAAATCTGTGAAAAGTTCAAAGTCCTCTTTGTACGTACCATCTTGGATGAAATCTGATAGTGATATCTCAGACAGTGAAAACTCAGACAGTGAAAACTCAGATAGTGAAAAAGTGAACATTTCATCATATCCGTCATCAAAACCCATCCATAAAAAGTATCGTCAGAGCATTGAAGTAATGGAAGAAACAGAAATACCTACATGTGATGTTCAGGAGGATATAAAAACACTATTAGAAATCAAAAAGTTTCAAGAGCGAATACCTCGAGAACTATTGCAGGTATTTATATTCTTAATTATTGACATCTTTACTTAACTGTCTATAAGTATCACATAATATTAAGTTGGCAACATCAATAATACCAAAAACACAATTTTGTTTTAGTATTTAAGAAGAATAAAGGTAAATTTAAGGCATAAAGTACCAATTCAACATACAATCGAGTCAAAGACAGGCTCGCATACACCTACACCAGAGGAGAACGAACGTTTTGAAAGTATAATACCAATAACAAAAGGTTCATTCACTCCGGCAGAGGATAAAATTATTGTTGAAAACTGGGAAGCATTTTGCAAAGTATGTAAAATCCTACCACTTTTATTTTATGCAGATCTTGAAAACTAGAATTTTATCGAAAAATTAATTTATCACAGGCACATAATTGGAATCCGAAAAATGTACAACCATTTTTATATTTTAAACAATATGGAAAATTTTGCATGCCTAGTGTAAAGGAAAGACGGAAATTTGTACAATTTTTAGCAGATGGATTACCTTCACGCACTTTGTACAGTGTTTATCACAGATTTAGGAACTTATACGAACCTCATAAACAGAGCAGGTAAAATACCAATAACTGAAAAAAATCAATTATCTATAAAAATATTAAAAATTAACTATTGTTCATGTATTTGTAGGTACAACTCCAATGAGGATTCATACATTTTGTCTCTTTTTAAAGAAAATACAACTTTGAATCAAGCTAGGAAGTTTGCTGACTTAGGTAAAATTTTGAACAGAACAAGAGCATCAGTTTATCGCCGTTATCGATTATTAAAACGCAAGCAAGAAATGGATAATAATCTTTCGATAACGTGAACGTCAAAATTGTGGAACTGTACTTTTACTTACTTGTAAAATAAATACTTATTAAAAAATAAGAATATATTTCTAGGTGTTAAGGTTTTTGTTAAATTAGGATAATGAAAAAGACAAGAGTTATTCAAGCGTATTTATGAAAAAATGCATACAATAATTAATAAACTATTGTATCAAAGTATCTAATTAAACATTTCATACTCCTTGTATAACTTATCCGAATTATTATAATGCAGTTTCAATTATCTCCTAATATTCAGCATTTGCTTAATTACTAAAATATAATTATACCTAATATTCTTCCTCAAAAGATTGGTTGCTCATTCATTGACTACACTACCAAAGGCTTCTACAGCCTCTAAAGAAATATAATGTTGGAATTATGTACAATTTTATTTGAATAGGATGTCTCATTTTTTTATTGTTACATAAATATCATGTGTATTTTATGTTCTACACTGTTACAAGCAGGATTATTACTATTAGCTTATGCAATTATTGTATTATGAGTCGCTTGACATGCAGTTACATAAAATCTGTGCCATTCTTGCAAAGAAAGAATTTTTACAATTTTTATCTAAAAGTAGCTGTATATCAATAACAGTTTTTAATATATATTTAGAAGTAAAAAAAAACTTGAGACTACTGTATTTTCATAAATGTAATACAGAGCACATTAGTCGGCTATTTAGTATTTCAAGATTTTGTATTAATTTAGAGTATTTTGTAATAATTTTGTATTATTACAAAAAAATTGCTGGTTACGTAAAGATATAACAAACATTAAAAAATAGCGAATAAAAATGTTGATAATCGCTATAGCTCTCTCTTTGCCGATGGACCAATAACTTCGAGTCATCCTATTATGCAAAAATATTCTATGATTCCTTTATTCTATTGAATAATTATGGGCGTACTATTTGTCGTGTTTAAAAAGACCACGCGGATTGCCGACCCAAGCGTGAATTGCTTTTATACTTAAAATATACATTGTATAGTTAGCAATTAATTTAGTAATGTAAATGTATACTACAATTTTGTGATATATGTTCACAAATGATAGAATCCATGAATGGTGCATTTACTTACCCCATTATATAATGATTGAATAATATTTACTTTTTACAATAGATACTGAAAAAAATCTAGTACATAATACTTTTTTCACTTTGTAAATAAACCTGAAGGATCTTGAGATATTAACCATACATTATTTCATAGTTTGAAAGCTCCAGTTGAAAATTATATTGCCTTAAAATAACTTAAGAGTACTAAACCATTATGAATCTGGGTTAATTTTTCGGTTATTCATTTTTCTTTATATCAGTAGTAATCAGTCTCTTCCATCTAATGTCTGAAGCAATTACAATCATTGAAGTTTGCATTGTACCAAATACCCATTTTTATGATGTCAATTACTTTGATATACACATAATTAATTTGACTTTTTCCTGATGACGATTTTTTGTACATATATCAAATCAATATATTTCTGTAAAGAAATATAAGAAACTTCGCACTGGTAAAAATGTATTGATAACACCATTGAATCCAATAAAAAAAAAACCAGTGCTTCGAAGCATCAAATGTATCTATTAAAACCTCCAACGATTCATTCAGAATACAATACTTAAAGCAAAATCAAGTTCTTGTGCTTCATTCGTTTATGGAGAATGTTAACCATCGGTCATATTTATATGTTAAAAAAAACATCATCAGCTGCTCATATACTTAAGCGCAGTATATTTAACTCCTTGCACTATTTTCACGAGTCTGACTCGTGATGAAAATTTTAGGCCAAACTTGAATATTACGAGTCGAACTCATGATCCTTAATCTCGGGCCAAGTATGAATGTCTCGAATGGGATTCTTTGTCCCAAAGCAGGCCACGTGCTACCTAGTATACATGTTCGTGGTACAGTTTCGGGACTCGATCTCCGCCGCTTCGGCTCCTCTCCTGACCATTTAGGCGCATCACTCGGGCACGGCTTTTTCTGAGTTAAATCGTAGTGCAAGGAGTTAATTACTTATAAACCTCAATAGTTCATGCATTACTACTATAGTACTCTTACGATGGATTCGCAAAGTAGCACATCTGCTACATTCATCAGTTAATTGTCAGCAAGTAAAGGATGAAGAGTTTCATTGCACTTGAACTGACACTTTTACCTTAGAACATCTGACCTATCACAGCCAGTGATCGTACAGCTGACTGCACATTATTCACATGAATATGATGCGCAACTGCATGATGGTGATCCTCAACTACCATCTCGCCATATTGTGCACGACAGCGTTTCTGATGCGCGAACAAGCTACCACTGTGACTGTACGCTGCACCACATGTTTTACAAACATACGGCTTTTCACCGGAATGAGTATAGGTGTGTTCCTTAAGGGTGCTAAGTCTCTTAAAGGCCTTGCCGCAGGTCTTACACAAATAATTGGCTTCCCCCGTGTGTCGTGTCAGATGTCGACGGAACGCTGAACTCACAGCGAATGCTGCGCTGCAGACATGGCACACAAAAGGTTTATCTCCTGTATGAATACGGATGTGATTCGCTAAGCTGGTGGTGGTTGTAAAACCGCTGTTACACGTTTTACAAACATGTGGCTTAACCCCCGTATGTGTTCTCATGTGATAAGTTAAAGACGAGTTGCTAGGATACACTTTACTGCAAATATGACAAAGGTATTCTCTCGGAACCTTTTCCTTAGGTTTATTATGCGTCTTCTGGTGCAGAGTTAAACGTGCTCTACTGGCACAGACTTTTTTACATATTTCACAAGTCACAGGTTCTGATTTTAATTTATGTGTGGAAACATGACGTCGCAAACCCTTTTTCGTAGTCATTACCTTATCACAATGCTGACACTTGTATTCTCCAGTGCCCTCTTCCTCACTCTCTTCCTTCTTCACATGCTCGTTACTGGACTCTATGTTTCCTGTTGAATTTGGAAATGAATCGTCATCCGAGTCAAAGAGCTTATTGTCGTCCACTAAGTTATCCAGGAGTCCATGGCCGTGTTTCTCTGCATGCTTCTTTAGCGTGTCTGGCCTGAAGAACCATTTCTTACACACAGTACAAGAATATTTCTTGTCGCCGTGCACCAGCGTATGTCTTTTAAGATTCTTTAGGGAAGAACAGTACTGACTACATATTTCGCATTTGTACAACTCAGGAGCATTTTCAAATTCATCAGGTTCGTTTGTGACACCTGTTTCGTCATCGGTATCCTCTTCGCTCTTTAGTTCCTTTTTAGGTGGTCTATCGTCCGCTGAATCTTCCGTGCGAATTTGCTTGATGATGTCATTCACTTTCTCCGTATGTGACTTTAAATGTCGCACCAGGCTCTGGGGTTTGGAGAAACACGCATGACACAGTTGACATGCGTGTGGCTTGGAGGCGTGTACCTTCTTATGTTTCTCCATGTTTTCTAGCTTGTAGAACATTTTGAAGCAGATATTACATTTGTGCTTTTTATCGTGGACGAGGGAATGCTTCTTAAGACCTTTCTGAGTTGCATAACGTTTAGAACAAACCTTACACTTGAATTTTAGTTCCTCTGAGTCTTGACTGTCACTACTGGGATCGTAATAGTCATCCTCTAATTCATCCTCGCTGTACGCTTTGCTTGGTATAGATTTTGTCTTCCGAGACGACGTTCGTTTTGGTTGAGGCTTGTTATCCTCTTCTACATTTTCATTCAATAATCTTTCGTCAAGATATTCTTCCTCCATTGTTTCAGGATTTTTTGGTTCGTCTTCCTTTATCTCCGATTTGTGGTCAGTACTTATTGGGTCATTTGGTATTTCTATTTCTTGCTGAGAACACATGGTCTCCGAGACACTCTCTGCGGTTAACATAGACTCCTTTTCATTTGTCTTTGACGCCTCAAAACCGATGTTGCATAAGAAGAGTTTCTCGTCTTGGATATCGATATCATTTTCACTTATGGCTTGCTGTGCATGAGTATAAGATTCGGTCGAATTGGAAAATTCTTGAGAATCTGTAGACTGCATTCCTTGTTTTGTGAAATAATTTGATTGTGGACTGCTAGTTTTCTTTGTTAACATTATACGAGTTTGCGGCTCCGTTTGCGTGCTTGAATCCTGATGGAATAGATATTCATTCACTACTTATGCGTTATAGATAAAATGGTATTGGCAACAGGCTAGTTAACAATATGATTGCTAGATGTTACTAGTATAGCCAAAATTTTATAGGGTTCTATCTTATACATACCATTATATTGCATCTGGCAGGTTTATTGTAATACAACCTGAGACGTGTATCAGAGTGTTGACATTGCTGACGAAATTCATGAGCAACACTAGCCTTATAGATGCATACATCACAGATCAATGATGGTAATCCATCCTGTTCATTGATGTCGATGGACCCGCAAACTTGAATCTTTTGGGAAAGACCAGAAAAATCGTCCACATCTTGGTCAGCACAGAATATGGGTGACAAATTTGTACCTTCCGAGAGACACACACGACATACTCTGTCCATGTTAAGTGGGAGGCCAAAGTAGCTTGCATTCATCGTCATTTTAAACGAAAAATCGCTTACTCAATTAATTATTCAGTCTCTGCAATTAATATTACACATTAATTCCACTGACTTATGTCTCAAATCAAAGTGTTCGTTCAACACCATGTCTTTTTATTTTATATGATTTTTCATTAACTACTAAATTTATTTCCATATGCATAAAGAAGAGTATTACCTCATACAAATAAATAAATATATTTTAAAAATTCAACTTTCAAAATATTATTATTCAAATTTTTTTCAAGTAAAAAACTAAGCAAAGTAACGCCCCTATTAAAGTCTTTATTTGATTCCAAAAGTAGGTAATAAAAAATTGAAAAGTACAATACGACCAATATTTTGAAAATAAAATATAAAAAAAAAAACGTCAAGCAATATTTTATTATATTGGATCATTATGTATATAGATAGTAAAAGAATCGGTGGAATTGCTCTGATATTGACACAAGAAACAAAAGTATGTCTCTCATAAATGCATTCAGTAGAGATACAGCAAGTAGACACAAGATATCGGAGAAAAAAAAGAAGACGAATTCGAAAGATTAGTATAAAAAAATGAGAGGTTCTCAACCTCCGGACCTGTTATATATCGTGGGAACGTGCCACGATGTTGAGTTGATGTCTCAGCAGTGATGCCCAGACAGGGTTTGGTACATTTCGGGCACGTTGACACTTCAGCAAGTTATGTTATCGTTGATGAGCAATTTTCAAAGTTACTCTCAAGTTATATCAAGTCGCATCCGTATCGTCTCCATTATATGTCCATCGTGCCCTCAGGAACTACACAACGATTATCCGCCACTTCTTCTGGTTGTCTCCCCTTTGTTCAATGGCTTCTCCAAGCACCTCTGCTGTATGATCGACCGCGTAGGTTGAGAACAATTTATTTCTTTCCTACGTTATTTTCCCAGCGACATCTACGCATACAGTAGAAAAGTATTCCGTCAAGTGATGTACTGACTTATTAATGATCGGTGAAAAATTAAAGAAAACTAAACGCTTACGATTTTTTCTATCTTCCCCACACAAGGCCGAACACTTCCTTCTTCATCGAACTCGGCGGCACTGTGCCGTAGACCGACTCTACTTCATGCTAAATAATGTATAGGATTTATTAAACAATTTTATAAACAGTATCATTGTTGTATTCTAATTATTATGGTAGTATAATGAAATTATTCATATTTTAAAAATAAATTAGTTATCGTTTACTGTTTTATGGTATTGAATGATATATACTGTTTCGGTGTAAACTCACCATTAGTTTTGTGAAGTACTGATAAACAATAGATGGTAGCACTTTCGTATTTACTTTGTTCATGGCGTGTTGTGCAGTATTGTTATTTATTATAAGAGGTTTTTGTTCGAATATTTAAAAGTGCTTTGGATCAATGATATTTTTATTAGATGTTATTAGTGTGTCATCGATTAATTTATAAGTATTAGTTGTACTGAATTTGAAGTAATAATTTTTATTTGTTTTCAGTGTAATATCACATGTACTTACTCTGTTATAGATTTCTTATAAAAAACTATTTATAAGTAGAAATAATTTGTTGATTAATCATGGACGATTCTGAGCAATGTCAATTTTATGTAAAACGAAAGAAACGATTCTGCCGCATGACAGTAAAGCAAGGAAATAAGTACTGTGGTGAACATCGTAATATAGACCCAGTTCTGGGCACTAACGAGGATGGTATTCTGAATGTTAAAAGAGTAGAGTGTCCTCTTGATCCAACTCAGTAAGCACAGTTTCTTCTGGCCAATAATAATTTCGTATAACCCACATATAATTTATAGCGTTATTCCAGTACATGTTATGAGACAAAATTGGCCAAACACTTAAAAGTATGCAATGCCAAACGTGTGATTGATATGCAGCCTTCGTACATAGTAAAAGGAATTAATTTGGATGTGAACTGCAAAAATCCAGTGCATGTACCACTTCCACAATTAGATCAATCGATCCTGGAGACTGTATTAAACAAAATTAATATCGCATACAGTTAGTAATATTGTACATGAGTAAGTAATATTAATAAGATTCTTATTACATATAGTAATGCATTGTAGAAAAGTTACCTACGTTTCCTGAAGCAATACTAACTCATGAAATATTGGAGGATGAGCTTAATAATACCACATATGGTAAAACTGTTAGAAAACATTTACTCCAAAATGCATCTTTACTCAAGCATTTAGAAAGAGTTAATTTAATTCGCGAGAATACGTGTTTTATTGAGTTTGGAGCAGGGAAAGGTATTATACAAATCATCTTTTATAATACAAAACCTACAATATGTGTGCCACGATTACATGATACGTAAATTCAATTTCTCATGTAGGAAAACTGACATATTGGTTGGCACAGATGATAAAAAAGGATAGTAGTTCTTCAATTGTACTAGTGGACCGTTCGAGTCACAGACATAAGAGCGATAACAAACTCAAAAATGAAGACTGCAGCCTTGGGGTAGTCAGAATACGAGCAGATATTGCAGACCTTCGACTAAGCTCTGTTCCAGAAATAAAAGAATTTAATTATAAAGTTGGAATTGCTAAACATCTCTGTGGTGCAGCAACTGGTAAGTTCGAGTTATTAGTACTAAAATCAGGATGTTTAATCTAACAGTAACAAAATGTTGCATTTCAGATCTGACTATACGTTGTCTAGTGAATTCAGTGCAGGATAAAATCAAAACGCATGTAGCTGGTTTGATAATAGCATTTTGCTGTCATCATAGATGCGAATATGCTTCATATGTCGGAAAACAATATTTAGCAAAGTGCGGTTTCACAGCTGATGAGTTTCCCATTTTATGCAGTGTCGCAAGCTGGGCTACATGTGGTACAGGTTTGAGTAAAGAGACCAGAGTAAAGAATAGTAAAGAAGAAAGCAAAAACACAAAGTAATTATTTAAAATGGCAGTTCTGTTGGAATGCCTATACAATAAGAAAGACTGTAAAAAACAATTTATTTTCAGTTTAACAAAAAGCTCAGCAGCTATCCAAGACCGTGAGGCTACTGGAAGGAAAGTAAAAACACTTTTAAATTGGGGACGAGTAGAATATTTACAAGATGCTGGATTTGATTGTCAATTATTATATTACACTACTTTTGACGTATCATTAGAAAATATGTGTATAATAGCCAAAAAGCATAATGTACATTAAAAATATAAAAATAATAAAAATCTATTTAATATAAATTATTATAAAAGTGTATTGTTAATTGCAAACAAGGTGTAAAACTATAACTCGCTATAATCTTAAGTTATGTATTTACATATATACAGTTAAACTTACTACAATTTCTCCCGCTTCATATTCCCTCATACTATAGCAAACTGTTTCCCCCTCTGCGGTCCGCGCCTCGCCCTACGCAAGTTTAACGTAGTCAAACTACAAACTTTCCATTGAGTGGATTAAACGAGCATCTCTGTAGGTTTCGATAGTTAATAAAAGTTGTGAACATCATTGTTCAATGAACGGAGAACTGGAATCAGTATAATACAGTTCATCAACCAAGTCTGTAACACTTGGGAACTCATTGATCTGAGGTACGTATACAACAACCTGTTTTAAATTTACATCACAGCGAGTAAAAGTCATACATTACGCGAAGGGATAACTGTTTGTCGTAGTACAGATTGAAGGATCATTGTACGGATTAATAATATTACTCTAAATATGATGATAAATGAAATAAATCAAAGGTATTAAATATGTACTAACTTTGTTTAGTTTGGAGTATGTAAAATTGAAGCATCATTTAAGCCGTATAGCATTTATAATATGTAGTGTAGTATAGTATGCGCCACGCCTCTGTTAAATTGAACACACGTATTATACTAATTAGCTGAGTTCATTTAAAAGAAAGATGTTTGGAATATAACACGTACCTATCTATATTAATATATAGACAAGTGTCTATACATTTATACATTTTTTCCCCTTCTGTTAATAAGATGTAATACAAAGTTATATAATGAAATGAGATCCCTCTTTGTTTTTTTCAGAAGTAACTGAGTCTTATATTTCTAAAATGTCAATTTTAGACGAGCGTGACGCATACCTTAATAATCCATACTTTAGGGGCCACGAGTATGGTAATTTTACTCCGTTCTATGTTGCTGTTGCTATCTGCTCTGTTATCGGTGGCTTCCTCTTCATCCTGAATATTGCCTTTTGCTGGTGTTCTCGTCATCGTGATTACTGGCAGAATCGACATACTGGTGAGAATGATATTGTAATATAGTATTGTGATTACTGACTGACGATTTATATAGGTTTCTAGTTTTCTAATTTTGTAATGGTCTTTTTCAGGTAACCGTTGGATACAATCACTTTGGACAGTAACTCCACACAACAATCCTCCATTAGACTTGTCTGAGCTGGAATCAGGGTTGACTAAACATCCACAAGTGAGGGACCAAGTTGTACAGTATCATCATACCAAATCGTCATCGGGAACACCGCAGCCACAAGAATATATGGAACTTCACAAGCGAGAAAGTGAAATCTGATTATTTTAAGTTTCAAGTAAAACGTCCAGCAGTATTTACTGCAAAATTACAAATATTTATCATACTTAGAAGACGCGGAAGTTGAAAATGGGCTTACACGTATTTTGGCCTGCCAGTGCCTGTTTGACATTATTTGTTGTAGGCGTTATAATGGTCCTATTAAAGTATGGACCACGTATTTGTAAGACAAGACACGAACCACTTCCGTCTGATCAAGACTGGCAAGGGAAAGCATATTCCCAACAAATCTCAGTTTCACTAGCTTAGCATAAATATTTTATAATTATACGTACGCTATACTAACGTAGCAGTACCTATACTTCTTTTATACTTTTTTAACAACAGGTATTATTCTCTAAATTTTTACAAGATTTACACTCTGCTTGAATAGAGACAGAAAGAAACAAAGCAGATAACTATCATCATATGATAGTAGACTATTTCAGATCATAGATTCCTAATTACAATTAAAATGTATCATGCATGCTACAACCAATCATTCGTATACAATAACTGTTCATAGAATATAAATACAAGAAAGGGCAATACTGAATAAGTATTTTTAATCAAATATGCAAGAAGTCTCTGAGAGTAAATGATATAAAGTACTGAGACTGTTGCACTTAATATAAAAAGAAACGATCATTCGTGAAACGATGACGAATTTATATCTCTAACGCTAAATTTTAACATATATTCATTTACATGTTTGTGACTTATAGATTACTATAAAATAATTCCGTCCACGAGAAATCGAATTTTAAGTTAATCATACTGTATACTTCTAAAGTGAGTGAAAGGGTAATGCACACATGAAAATGAATTTATATTTCGCAAAAATTTATTCAATCCGTCCAATTATTTTTCATAGGTGTATAATTAGGTTCAGAAAGATTGTTGCGATAGAATTTTATAACGCATGTACCTTACAATTTTACAAATAAAATAAAATTGCTTTATGTAAATTGATGGTCAATTTTCCCATTTGTGTGGATCGCGCTCAAAATACGTTTCATATGAATAATCGCAGCATTTATCTTCTAATTATATTATATATTCAGCATCATTTATAGGTATAACTGAAAAGATTATATGTATGTAACTATTTCGCATTTCGTATAGATTGGTGTAGATTGGATTGGATTGTATCGATATCACTGGATATCACTGCGAGTTTTTATAATTTTCCCATTGCCACGTACATATAACGGGTGTGGCAAATATATAGGGTGGGAATAGTGGAAAAAGCAACAAGAACTCTAACTATATTGCTTATTTTTTAATTCTATACTCTAATCACAAGTACAATTTAAATTTGAGACTTTAATAGTTTTCAGATTAAAATGGAGAAAACTAAAACTATAATGACAGAGGTATTTATACATCTAACAATTAATATACATCAATTTTATAAATCTAACCTCATTGGAAAAATGTCTGTATTCATATCTTTATAAATGAATGCTTTCTTCAGATGATTATTCTTTCAGATGCAAAGTGTTGAAGATACATTAAAAGCTTCTCTGCACAGAGTGGATGGGATAGAAAAAAAACTGAAAACTAAATTGCTGACATTTGAAAATCGTGAGAGACTAGAACGTGAGTTAGAAGAAGTGAAAGAAGTACTTAAACGGAATGAGGAACAATTAAAGAGTTTAAGACATGAAAACACAAGAACTTTCATGGTAGCAGCTGCCTTAGTGTTTGCGTGTTTCTTATTGTTTGGTCTGTATTCTATGTTTTTTGGAACAATTTAAGTGTTAACTTCAAAGTGGGATTTTAAGGATTTTTACAAGTGATCGATAATTGACAGGATAAGTGATATTCATCTGCATTTTTTATTATGGTAGTGTTACAATTTACAAATTAACATAATATTGCATAACACCATTATAACTCATTCAATCATTCCAATTTTGATCTTCCATTTTGTATTAATACATTAAATATAAGAATTAAATAAAATAAAGTACTTAAATTTCATTGATGATTAATACAAATAAAAGGCATATGCTTAATATATGGAAAATTAGTAAATAAAAAACAGTTTTCAGTCATTAATGTTTTTCACCGGGAGATATTCTCACTGAAAGTTTTATAAATATATATTAGGAAAGTGTTCAATTTCTAATTCATAGGGAGTTGAGTTTATATATTATGTGCTGATATTCAGGACCATTGCATATATTTAAAAGTATGCAATATATTATAGTTTTCACTGTAATCTATGCAGAAGCGAGCATGTCATATTGTGGTGAACCAGCTAGACGGCTTCTAATATATTTAGCATGTGTTTCTGTGTCTAGATAACTACCCCGCACAGCAGGATCCTCTTTCATTGCAGTTCGCCATTCCAGCTTTTTAAATAAACAAAATATTTTGCGATATTAGATAAATGTTTTTTGAACAACTTCTTGTTCGATTATTAATACAGTATATGACAAGTATACTTACCAATCTTAAAAGCCGCTCACGAGGTATAACATATTGATCACCGCGTAAAACTCTAATAATATCAGCTCTCTCGCACCATGGCCATATCATTAAATCCAGCATTCCTGGTTTACTTCCTCCAAAGAATGGTGTCCCTCGTTTTGCAAGTTCTCTATCAAGAACTTCTAAGCCAGCTAAAGCCTTGTCAAATAAATCCCGGTCAACTATTGTTTCTAAATACAACTAAAGCAAAAAGAAAAAAATTAACTTTAATGAGTCAAGTTAAGAATAGTTTATCAAGTATTCTTCATTGAATGTTTAGTCAACAAAGACAACATTTTTAATAAAATAATACCTTGTACATAATTGTTATAACTGTATTAAATCTCTCAATAAGTAGTCTATCCTTAGCCTTAGCCATAGGATCAGTTGGATGAAGACCATTTTGTGGATAAGCTTCATCCAAATAATCTGCTATAATTAGACTTTCATATAGAATTTCTCCACTCTCAAATTCTAAACAAGGTACTTTCCCCAATTCATTTTTCTCCAGTAACCATTCTGGTTTTCGAGTAAGATTTACATAAACCACATCATACCTGTAAAAGTATATATAATATTACACAAATCTATTTCTCTGAAAAGTCCTTCACAAAAAAGTCACACCCCACGACATTAATAAACAAATAAGAATAATTATACTCACGGTATTTGTTTAGCATCAAGTACAAGATGTATTCTTTGTGCGTAAGGACAAAATCTCATACTGTACAACCGTAGCTTACCAGGTGTAATGGGTGGGGCGACAGAACCTGATGACATAAAGTTTAAAAATATTTTTGCATGAAGTTATTACTGTCCTAACAATATAAAGTCTTTAAAATAATACTCACCAGGTCCTAAATGCTTGGTACTCATTTTTATTTGACAGAATCTTGAAAAATGTATTAGTTTTTTATTAAAATATAATCCTCCTTTAAATTAATTGGCTCTTGACGTTTTACAAGTACCGGTTCAATGAAGTAATACACGGTGACAGATTAAGTTGATCTAAACCAAGGTTATTCCAAAATCACATAATATACGCACGTATAATAGAACTTTATCTCATAGAAGGTTCCAGGCGTTCACAAATTCGTCAATCCGTTATCCAAATAACTCAAGGTGGATTTCTATGCTTTTGATCCGCTACCAAACCTTTAGATGGAAGCTTTATCAATGGTACCGCTTCAACTGGAAATAGTGGTAATCCTAAACTGAAAATTTCCGTATAGTAGATACAGCAGTACTTTAACACTGTAGGTACAGCAGATAACTGTGAAACGAAACGAAAATGAAGAAATATATAACAGAAATATTGCATCATATATTGTAAGCTGATTACAACATGATATGATATTGATAGACCACAGATAACCAATTTTTAAACAACCTTAGATAAAGGGATGGTAACCAATGAATAATTATACTGTGATATAATTGTCCGTATCATAGTATTTATAGATTACAATATTCATAGAAATATATGACTACCTTAACAATTTACATATATAATACTAAAAAAAATGTTTGAGCGGAAGAGGTGAAAAATAAATAATGGCAATTACAACATTTCAGTATCTATTGTCATCTTGTTGAGATCACAAGGATATTTAGCGGAATTTCATCTCTGAATATTCCTGCGTGACATTTAATTATTTTCACAGAATATTAAAGTAATGATTACACTCAGTAATTTTTATTAACCGGAAGACACAGACTTTGTTAACGGGTAAAAATAGAATGTTCAACTGGATCGATGCTAGACTAAATTCTCGTTGAATTAAATAACCGAAACAAAGAAGAGTAATTAAGAATAAGAAGCCAGGAACGTAACTCGATGATGGATCTATAGAGCAACAAGACGCAGACCTTGTCTACGTAGTCTGACGAAGGTAAATGGAGATAAGAGCAATAGTAAAATTCATAGTAGATATGGCGGATCCGGTAGGCTAAAGGGTGTATTGGTAGAAAGGTCTTGCCGAGGGGGGAGGTTTTGGAGGGTCGATGTGGCAGTAGAAGGTAGGTGGAGATAGGTAGATACCAAAGTATAAGTCGAGGTAGAAGAAGGTCGCACATAATATATAGGAGAGAATAAGAGGGTGAGGAGTGGTACGTGCTATAGTTGTACGAGGATGGAGGGAGGAGGTCACCTCCAGTGAAGGAGAAAAGAGTGGAGAACCAAAGGAGGAGAGCGCGGGCGCTGATTGGTAGCAGAATCGATTAGCTGAGCCAGGGCTAAGCTCCTGCAGCACAGCAGTTTCAGCGACGCCACGAATTTCCCGAAAGAGGGGTTTCCCGTTGGTCCCGCCTCTCTGCCAGGATACCCCAAGGGTTCTCCATGGCAACCCGAGCAATTCGCCAACCGACGGCAAGAGTATCCCGCCAACGCCGACGCCACCGCCGCCGCCGCCACCACCGACACCGACGTCTGGGCATTTCGTTTACATTCTACAGCCCCAACACAAAGCACATTGATTTTGCCGACGACTGATACAACCCCGTCGGCCCGTTTAATTAGAACATGGCGACTTTAATACAAGCGCACGACAACAAGAACAACAACAGCGGCCCTCCTACACCTTTTGCCGTTTCTCGCTGTTAGAAAGGGGGGTCGCTTATCTACCTAACCTATCGTAGCCTATATTAGAATCAGCCATCCTTGCTCATCCATCATCGCCATCATCATTATAACTGTCTTCATCGTCATCATCACTCTCACCCTGGTCATTCCTGGCGTCGGCGTCAGTTGCGTCACTGGTGTCCTGTGTTGAAATTATTTTGAAAATTCCGGAGGACACATGCATTTTTTGTTTTAATCATCCCCCCCCCCTCTCTCTCTTTCTCTCTATTGCATTCGTCGCTCATTTAAAATTCATTCGCACTCACTTTCTCGTTGACTCTCACTCTTTCAATTTTCCACTTTCTCTCGCTCTAGGACTAGATTCTCTAAACGCCTAACGCTACACATGAAAACACTCTATCTACATCGGTCGCTGGCCAGTGTTTCACAGAACCAGTTTAGAAACGATGTACCAGACAATTTCCGTTCCAAAACTGATTGCTAACTGGTCTAGTGGAACACCGATACAGTGCTAAATAATTAATTTTATCGTACTGCTTACATCTTATTGAGTGGTATGGTACAATATACGTCTTAGGAGTTACGTTTCATCGACAGAGGTACATTTTAATCATCGCGCAGTCACAGCATCCGAGTAATCATCCACAAGAGAAAAGGTTACTCCTAGAACAGACCCCATACCCATACCCCATTATATACAAATCTCGATTATACATGAGAATCACAAGTCTTCCAAAATTTGATCCAGATACCAAATAACTTCGATAAATCCCACTTCCAATGAAATCAAAAAATTAATTGTTTTTTCCTTCGCACTCTAAAAAAAAAACAGGCAAAATGACGTCAATTGGATAACAATAATCGATCGCAGAATTACCATCACCCAGATGCTTGACAAACGCACCCGATATAACAAATAAGTTAAAAGACTTTATAATACACGCATTATTTATACCTTAAACCTACTACGCGTACCGACGGCTGATCCAGGACGATGCACAGTGATTCTGAAGTTCATCATCGGACACCCCGTCGGCTCACGAGTCGATGTCCATATATCCACACGCGTACTCCGGGATTCACCCGTATGCGAGTACAATCATTCTATATGTACAACGTTCTTACACTGCGTAACGCATTGTCGTATCCGCTCGAAAGAGTTCGATAACGCCACCGTGTTTCCGATTTATCTGATTCGTAAGATTCTTCCAAGATGGTATAGATAAAGGAACAAGGGTCGAAACAATTATGACAGAGAGTTCGGGGGGTTCGAGGGAGTGTGGGGGTATACAAGGTTCAAAGGGACAATAATGGGCTCCCCGAAAAAAAAAGGATTCGTTCGCGGCTCATAACTGGTCACGGGTTTAACTTGTACAAGAATGGCACGGTGTAGCACAGCACAAGAGTACTTAGGTACGAGTACACGGGTGCACGACGATCAGGGTCAGGTTGTGTCTCAGCGAGGTGTCCCCAGGGCACCCCAGTGTTCGGCGGTGGGTCATGCGTAGTGTGGGTACGTGCCGAGATGAGGCGGAACGTGTCCAGAGGCTGTATGATGACCGGCGTAGAGGTTCGCACCAGGACTGGACCAGTAGCTGGATGCCGACTGGAAGAGTCCGCCAGGGACGGAAACGGAAACCGATGCCGCCGGTGGTGGCATTAGATTCAACTTGGCGTGTCCGTATCCCGACATGAAGAGTTCGCTCTGATATTTATAAGCCGCAGGATCGGCAGCAGCAGGTTGCGTCGCCGCCGCGAGACCCTGAAAGTCGAACTTGTAGGCGTAACGTTTCCCGTGGACCTTCGTCATGATGTTCTTGTCGTAGTAGTACCTGAAACAGCCGTCGACAAATACGGCAGCCATTAAGTACTTTGGCGCCACATTCGATTATCCGTTAAAAATCGCAATTCAAATTTCTCAGAGATATTTCCCGTAGTTGCGTAACGCTATTAGAGATATGAAAAAAGATAATAAACATTTCTAATTCACTTCTATTTATAGTATTGACCGCCTATGGATATATATATATACACACTATATATACAATGTGTATATTTGGCTCTGTAGGGATGTCACAGTTAGAACGTGATTGAAATTTCCCCCTGGCACTCCCACCACCCCTCCAAACCCTACAACACCCTCTTTGATATATACCTACATATGTTGTGTGGATATACCAGTCCTACACTGTGGCTCTCTGTGAAAACGAATTCGTTTCGTTCGATCAATTGGAAATGAAGATTGTTTTAGTCTGGCTGAAAGTTCCGGCTGGTTTATTGCATTTTGCACTTTTTTCTAAACGGTTCTATCGGCGCTGTAAAAACTTGAACGATATATAAAATGATTATTGCAAAATACTGTGATATTCGTTTTGATTTTTCACAGAGAGCAAAAAAGCGTCAATATCGAAGATACCAGTGAAGATAGGTAATCAACGTTATCTAAGTGATCGACTGAAGGTACTTCAAAATTTATAAAAAAATAGTTATTGTTCATTGACTATCGATTGCTCATCCGAAGTAGATTTAATTAAGACTGACAATAAACGTGTAACAAGATTTAGTATAAGCTTTGAAACTAGTAAATTAGATTCCAATAATATATCCAACATAACAGTCTGTTCTCAAGGTGTTAAAGATAATTTTTTAAATTCCGCTCGAATGTGACACCCGCTATCTGCCTACGTATCTAATCTTCTACCAATGGATAAATACTCACATGAGTATGGTGAACCTGCAATTATATAAAAATGATAATTTTTGTTCCTCTTTTTTTAAACTCACCTCAATGCTCTAGAGAGTTTGTCGTAATTCATATTGGGCTTTGATTTTCTTTCGCCCCATCGTCTCGCAACTTCGTCAGGATCCGTCAACTTGAATTCGCCATTGGTACCTTCCCACGTGATACAGGCTGCGTTGCTCGAGTCGGACAAGAGTTCAAGTAAAAATTGCCAAAGTTGAATCTGACCAGAACCTGAGCTAGCGAGGCGACTGCTTGTCGCACCGAACATTTGGTATGGATCTGCAAAGAGAGAGAAAGCGAAATGTGATAAGAGACAGTTGAAGATTAAAAAAAATATAAATTCATAACGTGCATAGTGAAAATAATATATAGGTAGATAAATGTCTAAGTAAAACAAGGATGGAGAGTGTGATTGAGGAAAACAGAGGATGAATTTTAATTACAGGTAATTGCAATGAGGAATTGGTACTTAAAAAAATATATATATATATTACATGACAAATGGAATTTAGACTGTCCTCGGATATACCTACTTATTCTATGCTTGTTTCCCCTCCCAGAACTCCCTATCGCCCTTAAAAGCCTTACAATGCGTCATCACCGTCGCTTACGACTACTCAGCCATTTGAGAACCCTAGAACTCTGTACAAAGGATATAATCGCAACCCTACAATAGAATAGAGTTCATTTGGATCATAATAATTTCAATTGAGAGAACGTCGCAGAATCGGCCAAGTGGCATGATTCGAAAAAGTCTTCCAAACTTTCGAGTACCCTCCACCGTAAAGGTCGGCCATTTTTTTAATAGATTTAATATCAGTCGCGAAAATCTATTGAATTTATGAGATTAAGAATTTTATTGTACATATTCATAATTTTGATAAAAAATTATTTTCTACGTATCACACATCACTCACGAGCTTAACATTGTAAGACTGTGGCAGTTAATACCGTGGATAATGGCTGTTAGAAAAAAAATTTATATATATTTCAACCATTTATTTACGAGGGTAAATGGCGATAGATTCATATAGGGACAGAAGCCGAATTACTGTCGGACCTCAAAGGTCGCCTCGCTCGATGAACTTTGTGAATGCGCGCAGTGATCGTCTTTTGATCGAACGGTAATTCACTTACGAGTTAATAATGGAGGAATGGGGCGAGTCTGCGATGTACTCCCATTTATTCGTTCGAGGTTGAAACGAGGGTACGATAACAGGGATGGACGGAATACCTACATTCTGACAGTCGGTATAAAGATTTGCTTTACGCTCGAGATAACATCTACGGGGAGGGGTGAGACTTTTCTTTCTAGAACAATCCAGAAGAAAACATATCTCTGGACAAGAAGGAACCATCGTACTTTTAGTTTCGCCGTACTGGACAAGAAGACACTGCAGGTGTCAGACTCATATTAAACCTGGACTAGAATCTTTAGTGTCATTATATTCAAATTATAAAATATATTTATATATAGGACGCACGAAGAGGCGTATTTGTTCATTTTTTATTAACGCAAACAATCCTTTCGATAATGGAGTAATATTTTAGGGTGCGACCACAAGAAATCAGGACGTCATTTGAATTGCGCGATTAACGGGAATCGAAGAAATTCCATGCACCATCTGTCGGGATTTTATGGAAACACAATAAGCATACCCGCAAGAGCTATTTATCCCAGTGCATACTGGGTAATTGAGAGTCACGGTTGTCACGATGTGACGATAGGTTAGGTGGGGGACACTGAGAGGGGGAAAGTGCGTGAACTTTTGAAAAAGTATCTACCTACTACATACCAGGCTGCCTGAGGTGGGAATGCGTGTCCAGTGCTGATTTCGACAGGCCGCTCCCGTATCCTGAAACGCAGGAAAGTAACCTTAAAAGTATTAAGCATGGAGGACTTGAGGGATCGTATCGCGACGACGGTAGGAACGACCCGTCGGATCGCGTCGCGACGCCCCGTGAAGTACACGGATCATGAAGAATTGGAGTCCCTCGAAGAAAAATCAGGATCTCCGTAGGAGAAAGATGAAAAAAAACAGACGCACTCGAGCGTTAGAAATACGTTAGAGAGGATTTCCGTGTAGGCAAACACGAGCCGAGTGCTCAGTATACGTTTCTCTCCCTACTTCTGTTCGGTCCCGGCCTGTCTGCTAGTAGCATTGCTACTGGTGCTACTAGGGTTGGTAGTAGCATCTCTCGCCACCTTATCAACTCGATTCGATGGGATTCGGCACACTGGACCAATTCGTCGGTCACGTTCGCGAGAGCGTGCAATTTGCTTAGGCACAATGCCCCTTGATTTTCGATGGGGAAAAGTCCACTGGCAGTTATTTTTCTTGGCGATCAGTCAAAATTCTAGGGAACTTTTTTTTTACGTTACACATAAACGACGTCAGGGGACGATCGTTAATCATGACGAAAGAATAAAAGTGAATTGTTTTTTTTTTGTATACAGATACAATCGTCCAAGTGGTGACGATCACGTGGAGGAATTGGAATCAGTGGGATCAGCACGTAAGGGGTCTGGATCTTTAAGTAGCAGTTGGTGTCCGCTATGTTAAACAATTCGATTTGGTGTCTGATTGGCAACGGGACAACCTTCGAGGGTCTGAACGTGGTGGAACGACAATTCTGGGGAAGGGCGGGGGGGCAGCAATCGTGATCGTCCGTATTTCGTAGGGGCTCAGCCGCAATCAGTATAGCCGCGGGGCTGTTGCCACCCTAGACAACAACTAGGATGAACGTTAACGTCAGAAGCGCGTCGAGGTTACCTCCTGGAATTGGTCTACCCGGGTGAACGTCACCTCGGCATGGTGCTCCCATTGTCGCGCGTATCTGCGCATTCACAAGCAATTACTTGGGGCGGGGTAATCCTGTTACGCACCGTGGAGCCTCCTCAAGGGAGGATCAAAGGATCCGCCATTCCGCGCTGATGCTCTCTTCGGATTCGACCCTGTACGATGATGCTACTCGACCTGAAGGGAGAGCAGAAGAATAGGGCGAGGGTAACGGAGGTAGAACGTCGAAGACACTCTAGGAAGGGCTAAAAGAACGAGTACAAAGGTCAGTGGATGAACGAGAGAAATATCTGATCTTGCCGGACCTAACCTATAAATTTCTATCCAGAATACGTTCCCGCCTGTCCGACTCACTGGGACTTTCTCGAAGAGTCTGATGTGATAGACAAAGAACACTGTGTACGCGATGCCGAGAGGATGAAAAAGGTAAAGTCGAAAGGCTAAGGTTTTCCCATAGTGGTGGCAACCCCCTCGACACCCCTGTCTTCCCCTGGCACAAATCACAGTGCCGTAATAAGTAAGCTAGCACGCGACTGACAGAGCCCGTGATCGAGGGGTAGGTGAAAACTCTGGCCGGCTTGACTCTACTTGGCCCAACGTGACCCTACAGGAAGCAGGGGCCGTCGTGCTGCCGGATTTTGGCTCTGGTTTCGAGCTCTGGTCGGGGGGGACACGGATCGCCGGCAACAAGTCAGTGGGAAACGGTTCGCAAGCTAGTAGACGGAACGGAACGAAACGGAACCGGGCGAGGATAGAAATGCGTGCAGCATATTGGGGTAAGTATGAGATAGGGTGCCGGGACGGCTATCGTAGTCTATATTATGTCTTCTGTAGTACATACATGGTCACGTGCCTATGCGTGACACGTTCACGCATCAAAGAACACCTTCTATAACCCCCTATAGTATATCGTGATAACTTCCATTCCCATTCCCTCAGCTACCACCGGGACCACTTTACGTTTCAACTTCACCAGGATGCCGTCGGCTGACTTAGCAACCTTGTCAACTCGTGCGTAACCATCCTTGGAACATAGGAAAAGGATCTTACTAAGACTTGGAGAAGTCGCTCGAAGCATGAGTAGATTAATGAATGGATAAAGAAACGGCGGGATATTTAAATCCTCGAAATCGAAGAGAGTCAGATTGGAATCTCTTTCGGTTCGACGCGACCTCATTCTACGTCACGACATACGTCGATTAGAGACCGATTAACGTTACCCCGGGTGATATCGACGTGCTTGTAAATCTTGAGAGGGAGAAGCTGGTGGGTGAAAAAATAATACGAAAATTGGGGGATGAATTTGGGACTAGTCATTTGAAGGTCGACCCACCTCGGACGGAACTGTTTGACTTTGAGAATCGACAAATGGGAATTACCTGGGAGGCCGTCGAAGGGTGCTGTATACGAGTTATGGGAGGTGGCCAGGATGCACGAAAGGGTAGAGAGCAAAGGGCCGATCGTTATTATCGAGGTATAAGATAGTCACGCTAGAACCGTAGGCGATGAGGCGCGTGAGCGAACTGCCAAGGCACGCGCCGCTCTAGAGCACGTAATTATCATAGGGGGGGCAGGGTTGCCTACCGTCTAGCTAGGAGCCCCATGGGTCATGGGGGACTTTGGGAATGGGAAGGGAGTCAGAGAAGTCGGGTCGGCTCGGGTCAGGAAGTCACGCAAACTCTCAGTCGGGCTATTTTTATTGTTCTACAACTCGTCTTAAAGTCCCTCGCCACCCTCTTCTACTTTGCTTTACGCTCTACCTCACTGTAATACAGTCCGAATGCACTCTGTAGTCAGACGTGACATCTGTCACGAGAACTCATTGCACGAAGGAATCTGCCAGTACACGATTACCACGAACAGACTATATAAAGCCGCTCCTCACGTGGATTAATGAAATTCTTTAGAATTTCGTATCTTCCTATACCCGCCGCGAGTGCGAGAAGGACGGACTTATGGCTAGTTGCGTGAGCAAGAGAAAGACAGACATAGGTGTTGACTCGGTCCCGAGCAAGTTCAAAACCCTATCATGAATTGGCTTACACCGTGAGTGTATCTTTTAACGATCATACTTTTGAATGATATGAGATATCGATATGATATTTTAATATATTTCAATCGTATTTCATAATTTAAAGTTTAATTATATAATTAATTACGGCTGATCCAAAATTCTTTGGAACTACGTCGTATAGCAATGAAAGCTCAACGACGTATGAACGGTATATTACTACGGGCGCACGAAGTATCTTTGAGAACGTTCCGAGCTGAGGTAAGTTTGGCGTTGCTAAGGCAGTTTCCGCCGGAATCGCACTATCCAGACTACTTCCGGTATATATCGACGATCAGCGAATCTTCTTGAGTCTTGCGCGAAGAATCTCTACTATTCAACTTTACTCTACTCTACTATCTCTACCACAGGTCACTATGCAATTGCCATGTGTTACTTCTCGAAAACTGGCAAGCGGAGTAAAGTGTATATGCACAGGCATAAATATAGCGTATGATATATGTATAAGATATATATATTTTTAAAATTATAATTCCTCAAAATAATCTTGCCAAAAGAAAAATCTTCGTAACGTTCTGGGCATTGTTTTTTTAGAGTGCCTAAGTGGGCATTACTGTTCGGTTACGAATATACAAAAGTACACCGGATACCCAAAATATAATTGGAACGTAGCAGAGTGCCAAGTGTGATTCACGCTTTTTACACGCGTCCCGTAGTATCGGCCAGAAGTCGCGGGAGTTGGTATACAACTCGATTCAAAATTGCAAGTCGTCCGAATAAATGTCTTCTCTCTATCGCATGTCGATCTCGAGTCGAGAAGAAAAGCCGGTACAGTTTGAGCGCCGTTTCCAAAGCAAGAATCTTGCCCACTTATATTCGGATAGAAAGCACGGGTTAAGTGACACGGTACGGAAACGTTCTTTGCGAATAAATTTGCGCGGCAATTTTGAATGCCGCGCGAAAGTTGACTATTAAAAAAAAAAATACTCGTAAACATTAAAAAATGTTACCCTCGAAGGAGATACATAAAACTAAAGTATCGTCTGGTATCCATGAATTTGAGATTAATAAAAGAAAATTTTTTTCCACGAATTTCGAACCTTGAGAAAATATCTGTATTCAGAATCGCAAGGGTAACACGTACAAGAGGATGACCACGAGGATGGCTAGCATAATTTCAATTTCATGGGGCGAATGAGTTTTACAGTGCCGGCGGTCACACGCGCCAGCTAATTTCGGGGTAGCCGGGGTGCTGACGTTTTCCTCTGTTGTGGCCCAAAGTGTAAACCCAGTCAGAGTCAGTTAGGGCTCGGGGGTGGACCAAAGAAGGTAGAGAGGGTTGCACAGCTCCTGACAACGGGGTTGCCGGGACGCGTCGCCCAGAAAACCAGAAGCCGTTTATAACAAGCTGCCTGCGGGCACGTCTCTGATCTCTGCAATGATTGTTCCAGGGGATGGAGGGATGCTGGGCTCCTAGCCTGCCCTACTCCGTTTCTCTACGGTTCCTCGTCCTCGTATTCCTATGGTAGCCGTAGCAGCGCGTCGGGCGTCTCTCTGCACCCTGGGGGCTCTCGACGACAAAGGGGCCGCGGTTCAACGCGCCACAAAGCGCCGGGACGCCCACGCCCTATGCCTCCGACGTCGAGCCAACCCTCAGACAACTCCGAGCGGGAGCCACGACGCGTGAACTTGCACCTACCACCCATCTACCTAGATATACCCATTACCTAGCTACCCATACTATCAACCCTTATCTACCAACCCTTGAAGAAAACTTCGAAGCTTATACGGTCCCCTTTCTTCCATTCTACTTTGAAAGAAGAAGAAAAAGAAAGGTACCCATTCTCTTTGATGGATCCTACTGTGCCAAGTCGGGATCGTTATGGGTAACTTTTTCTCTGATTTTTTTTTTCTTTTTTTTTTTCAGGACTCAGACGACAAATACGGATCTTAACATGTCAATTTCTTCCTACCGATTGCACCGCACTTGGGGTTCAACTGCTGCGCCAGGGTTGGAATCCCGAATTAGCATGTGTTTGAGAAAGGATACCTTTTTCGTCTGAATGCCAACGATCTGCTCTTTCAAGAAATGATTGACAGGACTCGGAGGAAATGTGAACGCGTGCATGTCGGTAACGATGTAAATAATCAATTAACGGACGTATTAAATTCTTACCCTGTCCAGGGGCAGGTGACGCGGCGTGACTCCAGCCTCCCTTATACGAACTGCTGGCATCTGTGACATAGATAAATATATACGGTGAGTAACGTGATTCTGTGATAGGCGTATAAATACTTAGAGATTTATTAGATCAAGTCCATTAACCCAGAGATACAATCTATTAGCTTGTTAAACCTGCCAGTATATGATAATTCAGCACGTGTACCGTAATGGTAAGAATAATCGTGATAATCCCAACGAAAATCGACACACGTGCTGTAATCGTGTAAAAAAATCTTATACGGTATTAGTTTTTTAGGCGATTTAAAAATCCTTGATTTTACTTTCTTTTTAATAAAAAAAAAATCTTGTGTCTTTGTTCTGCCGAGACTTTCCTCGTGGAAGCTGAGTTCTCTTTTAGCGCCTGGGGTCTCTTTGCAGACAGATATATTTTCATTTGGCAGTTATTGGCGCGAGCTCTCACGTACGTATGTATGAACTTATGTAGGAGTTGGCTAGGGGTCGCCCTTGTGTACATACGAACGCCACGCAGCGATACGTCGTCTTCTAGGCAAACATCCACTAGGTATGTAGTAGCCGGCGTCGATCCTTATACTGTACACCCCATATGCTTGATCGCTATAGAGTCCATTAATAAAGCCTCGAATTTCACGTTTCCGTAATGCACAGAGGGTGGACCCGGGATAGTCTCTGATCTCGGGAAGGAGTTTTCGAAAACTATGGGAAAAATCATCCCTTCGATATGTGAGGGTTGTAGACCCATACACCAATTCGAGGGTTGTATCGGTTTAGGTGAATATTCGAAAATTTCTAACGGGTGTTATATGCGTTGGAATTTTATTTGCAGGGAACGACGGTTGGGGTTGGCCTTTTTTTTTATGAATTGTGTAAAATAATTTCTTTTTCTTTCTGGCATCTAACTGACTTCCGGGTGGTTAAGGAATAGAATTTTTGAAAACTGAATACCCCACGATCAATGTAGAAGCATGAGTCGCGCAGTGTTAGGTGAAACGTGAAGTAGAATTTTTGGTTATCGTACTAGAGACAAAATTTGATAAGAAGATACAGGCGGCAGTCCATCCTATGTAACAGTCGGACGCTTAGAACGTCCAAAATACATATTCTCGTATTAAACAAGCAGAATAATTGTAATCAATGAATTTGTAAGATTTCCCAAAAAAATCGTAATAAGATTTTCACATGAAAATTCGAAAAAACTACATAAGATGGTTGTTCATAGAAAAATATTCTTGTTCGAAGGGCGCGTTGACACGATTACAAAAAAGTATTAATCCATTTAAAAAAATGCACGGAACGGACTAAATATTTTTGAAAAACAACAAAACCATTGAATAACACAACAACAACAATCGCATCGTACCAAATTGCATTCACGCACTCACAATAGATAAATCAAACCGTATAGAAGCGCAGAGAATACAAAAACACGAGGCGTGAGTAAAATAAAAAAAAATTATTTGTCAAATATTGATAAATCCAAAAGAAAAATCTTGTATGACAAAAAAAAGATACAAAGCGTCAGCACCAAATTAGCCAAGGTGCACTCCGAGGAAGTAGCCCCTAAGAAAACATCCGACTGCCGCCAATTGATCCAAGATACACGGATTACACAGTATCTAAATCTAATCAGAGATCGATGATTATTTTGAACGTTCTAAACGTACCGGCGAAGAGCATGGAGAGATTAGTAAAGGCCGTAGTACGTGGTAGCTCGGCAGCGGTGGTCCCGCCGCTGCTCTTGAGGTCCAGCATCGCGAAAGAGCGACGGCCGGAAGACACGGTGTCACCTCCTCTCTTATCGTCCTCACTAATTAATTAATACCACGACGAAACGACTCATCACCACTTCATTAATCTAAATGCTTGCGGGACTGTGGTAGGACGATCATCGTGGCTTCCCGCTCTGAATGATACTGGAAACGGGTTTGCGTTCTCCAGTGCGTCGGCGAGGAAGTCCGTACCGCCCCCCATCGAGGAATCCGTCGCATCGATAAACCTCTACTCGGGGGCGGCGCGATTCCTAGAGGGTGGAGGCGCACCCTGGCCTATCCCAGGAAGCCGAGGGAACCAAGTAGACGCGCGCGCATTACCCTCTACTCGAGCTACCGCTAACGAGCTTCTAAGCACACCTACCTCTCTGCCCCATACGTAACGCTGGTAACAGCCATAGGTGTTGCACTAGCATTTTATACGGAAAAGCACCCAGAGAGTATCTGCCCCTCATAGAGAAAAGTAGGAAGTAGGAGTTTCTACCTACGAGTATCGTTGCTACTCGCTATATAACCGCCTAACACACGCTTAGCCACTTACAAGCTGCTCCAGCTGGACTGACCTCGGATCATCCTGAGTTTTCTCAATCAATGACCTTTGCACTCATAGGATCCAGATGCGTGAGTTGAATCAACGTTTCATTAGTACCTGAGGAGCTTGAGGAGTTTTGCTGGTTGATCTTCTTTCATTCGAGTATAGATTCAACCCGGATCGAATTAAGGTTGTGTTTACCCTGGTCAAGTGCAGTCTATCCGGTCGTACCTAACCCATACGGCTTCGCTTTGATTACCTTCGAGAGTTTTGATATCGTTAGGTAACCCACTGAACAATACTTCAATACTTTCTTCTTGGAAATAGTTCTGGGTCTGCTCGAGGAACGGTTAGCTCATCCGGTTTCTTGTCTGTTTCCAGGGGATGCTTCGTTTCCAAAAGTTTATCCTGCACGAGAGAGCCAGAGTACTTTGGATACTCGATTTCAAGTAAATACTCTACGGCATATCCAGGAGAAATAACAGTCGAGAAACTTCTCCTAACGAAATCCTTCAAGTCCTGGACCCGTGCCAGGGTTATTCTCCTGGTATGATTTTACCAAACAGGAAACATCCGCCATCCTCGTGTACAACGTAAGTACATAGAATCAGTATATGCCGATTAAACAAAGATTAGTTCGGTCAATCGATTATTCAGCTTTGCATAAAATTCTCATTAACCTAAAAAAAAAAGGTCAAAATTATTCCAGGGAATAAGTAATCTTCAAAGACGTAAAATCAGCAAGACCAAATAGCAATAATCATCCAAAAAGTCGTTCCGAAGAAAATCCAAGGACTGACAAGCAGAACGACAAATCCAATCAGTCGGAATCCAAAAAAACAAAGGGGAAATCGACGAATGCATTTTGTCGTTAGTTCAAAATGGACCCAATAATTATTATTTCCAATGAAAAATTTTACCACCAGATACGAGTCCTAGGGTGACTCAGTCTACTGGCTCCTGTCTGAAAGTAAGGCTGAAAGTGGCTGGCGTCGTAACGACCACCCCCCCTGTGTAGTAAATGGCCGACAATACTATTTACTATTTACTACCGTGATTCACGTGACCAAGGTAAGAATACGTGAACGTCGGTTAACGTTAACCAACGAATAAAAATTGTCCGTTAACCTTTCCCCGTACTACCATAGGGCACGCGTGTCCAGGGTGATACACACGTTCTATGCATAGGTCCCACTGTCCGTGGAATAGCAGCCCGGCAGCCCTATCAGAGAAAAGAGAGAGACCAAGATAGAAAGAGAGAGAGAGAGAGAGAGAGAGAGAGACAGAGGAAAGCACGCGTACGCCACGCGACCGCGGACGCCCGGCGGCGCATTTAACGCGCGATCGCTCTCGAGTGTCCGCGTGTAACGTTGGGGGTGCGCCTTTTTTCCAGGGGAAACGATAGCTACCCTTCGCGAGCTTATCCCCAACTTCTGAGGTCCCCTCAGTTGGTTACATCCAAGTCCTGGCGCCGTGGTATTCAGTTGATCTTGTACTTGGTCCCTGTAAGAATTTAAGGGTTGTCGTGGGCATTACTTAATATACATATATGTTACTGATTTCGTTACCGAGGTCGAAGGTCATCACGAGGTATAGCGTATGGAAGCTTCAGGCTCGGTTCAGAGATTGGTCTTGTATCCAAAGTGGGAGTAACAACACGTCACGATTCACTGGCATTATCTTGAGATATGGTTACGGTATTACGCCGGCACTCCGGCCGAGTAGGCGAGTCGGAGTACGAGGGTTGAGTATCATTGTATCGCATGAAACATGACAGGGTGGCTATTGTACGCGAGACGCATAGCTCGTTGTGTTATAGGGCAAGGGAATAGAACGCGAAGGGAGAACGGAGAGAACGAGCCAGCTAGTCAGCCCAGTCACCCGGCCACCCAGCCACCCAACCCATAACACGATAAGGACCGTGCCACTTTGTTACGTTTGGGGGTCGCTTAAGTACGCGATGATACATATCTCCCTACCAGATAATTCTTCGTATTCAATTTGTACAATATGCTTGATCCAGTATGATAGACCCACGCCCTGACGACGTTCTAGAATTTGGTATAGTATTTCGATTACAATGCTTCGATAAGCCAGCCCCAGTGCGATTTGAATCCGAAAAGTGTTTATCTTTGTTACCGAGGAAAAAGAAGTTCAATGAATTCTCGCTAGATGGCATTCGGTAAATTTTACTTGTGGTTTTCTTTTTATTCAAATTTTTCCTCCCTCTGGTGTAAGATCCGTGTTCAAGTGTCGCGTATCGAAAATATTTCGAAATTCTGTCGTCGCTTTTACACGATGCGGATTGGTCGTTACTTTCGTCATTGGATGGATGTGAATTTGCCGTTTTGTGTGCAAGTTTATGACGTGCAGTCCATTCGACGGATTATAATTGCTTTAGGAACGCAGAGATAGAAAATATTTTGTTAAATTTTTATGGGACGATAGTTCGTTACGCTGGCAATAGGTGTCGATGTTATAAATATTGAGATGGTCGTGCTGTTGGGGGAATTGATCAAAATTCGATTTACTTTTAAGTGTGTAAGGTGTTGGTAGTAATTTATTGATAATTTACTCACGTTTGCTTGTATGACTGCTAAATGTATGTGAGTGTCGAGTGTCGTTCAAGTCACGAACTTTCTTCCTTGCCCGTGTGCATTAAATATATGCGCCATTAGGATCATTGCACTGAAGTAACAGTGACCAAGGCCGCGAATAGAGTACGAAACTTTACAATAGTTGTGCAGGTCACCGTGAAAATTGTCTACTTGGTAAGGAGATTAGGTCAAACTAACTTAAGAAACAGAACCGAACTGCTATATATTGTGTTTCAAATCTCGTTCACGTGCGAGTCCGGTAAACGATCGCAGCGCCGTACGTAATTGTGGACAAATTGTGTATTACTTCTAGTTATCGAAAAGTGTCTAGAATACGACAATTCCGAGAACGGTGAGGCGGCATTGCGGCAGTGAAAGCCAATTTCAGACATGCCAAGAAATTCTGCCTCGTAGCGTAATGGCTTGCGTGACCTTTAATTCCGTCATTAAAACGCAAGAAAACCTCTGACTTTTCCACAGTACAAGATTAACCTTGTCAAGGTATCTTAGAAGGTTTTTGAGGTTAAGTCATTACCAGAAAATCCTTATCTACTACAGATTGGATAAGTATACTTTTTTCTTGTAACGTCAAAATGTTTTTTTTCCTTTTCTACAGTCGACAACAAATAAGGGCTGCACCAGGAAAATTCTGCGGTCTCTTTAAATGGCGTCTCTTACGAATAACTCTTTGCATAAACGCTTTAAAGCAAACATTTGGAAACACGTTCCCGTGGCATGTTTGATGAACTGCACGTGGCAGTGACATAGAGCATAGCTGGATATTACGCAGATGCTGATTTCAATTGGCTGGTACAAGGGTGAACTGTGTAAATACATAAAGAGTTCTTATAACCTTTACAATTTTTATCATACGTCAATTTGTAGAAAAAACCATTGAAAAATTGTCTTTCACGATCCGACGGGAAGTCTGGGCGACACTCAGTCTGTGCAGAGTAAAAATTTTACATGATATATAACAAAATGAGTTAAGGTGACCCATTGTAGCTGACGATAAAGGGAAGAAAAATTGTGTGGTTACAAATGATTATCAAGGGATGCTCGTAGGAACAATAAACTTATATACAGGGTGTCCCAAAATTACCTGACCAACGGGATATGGCGGTGTTCGGGAGGCACCACTGATCACGAAAATGACCTTCCTCTTGTCCGGAAGGTCATAGTTTTTAAATGGGAGCAGGTCAAAGTTGACCAATCAGAGCGAGGCGTCAAGAGAAACGCAGGCACCTACGAACTATGAGTTTTCTTCCCTCGCTTTTGTTTCTCAGTGGCTTCGGGCAGGATGACGTCAGCCGAAGACATGCCTATTGGAAACAAGAAACAAGCTACCGAGAAACAAAAGCGAGGGAAGAAAACTCATAGTTCGTAGGTGCCTGCGTTTTTCTTGACGCCTCCCTCTGATTGGTCAACTTTGACCTGCTCCCATTTAAAAACTATTACCTTCCGGACAAAAGGAAGGTCATTTTCGTGATCAGTGGTGCCTCCCGAACACCGCCATATCCCGTTGGTCAGGTAATTTTGGGACACCCTGTATATAAGTTTATTGTTCCTACGAGCATCCCTTGATAATCATTTGTAACCACACAATTTTTCTTCCCTTTATCGTCAGCTACAATGGGTCACCTTAACTCATTATTTTTGTTCTACCCTAGAAACCAACGATAATTCCACGGACGAGTCTGCGACTCTCCGAGTCGGAAGTGACGACGAATCTTTAGGATTCAGGACTCGAACGGAGTAGATTTGTGGAGGAGCGGAAGGAGTGGGTAGCAAGAGAGGGTAGCTGGGGTACCGAAAGCCATTAATTACGTTACGGAAGAACGCAGTCGTTGCCTCAAACAAAGCTTGGTTGCGCATCCCCCAAAACTTCATAATGCGTACTTCGTGTACGCTTCATATAGCGAGCCTAATTACTGTAGATTTGCATATATCCGCATTCAGCCGAGCATGAACAGTTAAAAATTAAGAACAGACTATAATAAAGAACAAGCGACTAGCAAAGAAAAAAAGGGAGAAATAAAATTATTTAATTTTCTAGTGTCTTCGACCTGGACAGGGGGTCCTCTATCGTGAAACGGAAACCCCAAGAAAGCGTCCGAAGTCGGATTTCTGATGGAGAATATGTCAGGAGCGAAAGATGCGAAGAGACCAGGGGGTTGAATCGAGTGCCAAAGGGTGTAGAGATATGGCGTGAGATTTTGACGGAAACGCAACCGGATTCGGCTTAAAAAATAATTATCGGGTTGCCGGTGTACTTGGGGAAGGGTGGATCGGGGGTTGACGTCATATACAGTGAAGTGTTATCAGTGTATAGGATAACTGCGAATGGGGAGAGAGTATGAAGGGAGATAGACTAATAGTGTGATGAGAGGTACTGAGAGAGAGAGAGAGAGTGAGCTGTACATACTGAAATACAAGGGATGAAAAGAGAGAGAAGTATAGAGTACACAGACACAACCAATGAGAGACAGAGTACGATACAGTCTGTACGAAAGCGAGAGGACGATCTAGAGGTGGAGAGAGCAAGAGAGAGAGAGAGAGAGAGAGAGAGAGAGAGAGAGAGAGAGAGAGAGAGAGGGAGAGAGAGAATGAACGCAGAGTGAAGTAGAGGCATCCGCGCGCTCATTTCCGTTTTGGGGGCCGTTGAGCGGGATGAGAAGGGGTGCTAACTCGCGAGATATTAATTCTGTGTTAGCGCTAGGAGGGTGCTGGGGTGAAAACTACGTGCAGGGGTAGAACGGACCGAGAGAGGGAGGGCGTTACAAATCAGAGATTAGCCATAGTTAACTCGACTTGCGCAGTCAAACAGTTAATCAATAAACGATTATTTACATCATACACCAAACACAGCGTTTGGAAACTGACTAATATTTAATGGTAGAAAACAGCATAGTAATGACTATAGTATATATTAGAGCCGTATTTCTGGATGATTATTACACGAAGAGTCTAATAGCTGCCTATTGACACTATAACCAGTTGACATTGACCGTTAAGCTTGTACTAGGAGAATTCCTTGAGGGAAAAGCAAAAGAATATCTTATACGGGGTACCCTAAGACACTGCGACGTCCAACAGCTTCACGTGGATGCACTTTGTCAGGTCGAAGGACAGCCACGCAACGGCACTCAAAGATCCTGGTGAGTTACACGTGGAAATTACGACTTTGTGAAATTCTAATGACAGATAGTGGACATGGGTCATTTGCGCAGGAGCTTTTGCTATTGCGTGTCATAAGATACTTAGATACTGGATTGGATTTTTACTCGAACTGGAACTTCGTTTGAAATGGCCGTCTAACCTTCAAACCATTGTACGACGGTGGTTTGCTATTTTCAGAAAATTTGTCCAGGTCGACGATGATTCACTGCTACGTTTTTCCACGTTCTCTGCTACGGCAGAGGTCAGCCACGATAATGCTCGTATGAATTTCAATATAGATTACGACCGTGTGCACAGCCGAAGGACGGAGTCAGGCTAACCGTCGGGTGCAAAAAGGTTTAAATGCATGGTAAGAAAGCGGCAAACGGGTAACCTAGTCGTTTTGCCAATGAGGAAGGGAAAATTGTGGTCGGTCGTTGGGTCGCGTGGCGTCGGTAGCTGGTGGTAGCGAAGAAGGTGCTCGTCGAAGGTGATGGTGGTGGTAACAAACGAGGATGGCGGTAGCTGGATGACTGGCGGCGGAAGCGTCGTCATGGCGACACATCGATCAGCCGCCGCCACGCGAATCGAGTCGAGCCGGGGCCACAATACACACTACTGCACCACATTGCAAAAGAGGCGGCATACCTAGTGCTACTCCTTCGACTAGTACCGATCCCCCAGGAGTACTGGCCGACGGATTCCACTGTTAAGTTCGCGATAACTTCGCTGAACCTCAAGTCTAATACACGCCGGACGATCTTTTACATGCTACCAATAGGAATCGCTGTTCAATGAATATCAACGAGGAAGCAGGAAGTCCCAGAAGAGCAGATGATCCCGAGGAAGTTCTTAGTGTATGTACGTAGTGTATGTAACCCATGTGGGTTAACGTGCTTGGTAGGATATTTTTATAGGGGTATCGGTATAACGGAATGGGCCAGGATCGCGAAGTGGAAGTGCTGGAGGATGGCACAAAGCACAGAGGCAAGTCGTCGGGACGAGATGAGGAAGTTCCCCGAGTTCCTGGTTTGCTCGAGCCAATTGCTGCTATTACCCCTTTTCAGAGCGCGCCCTTCTTTTCTATCTACGAGGGTGGCGGATCGTCAAACTGGTCTCTTGGTTCTTGGCCGATGACGCGGGGATCAAAGACTGGACCAGGTTGCGAGGAGGCTGAATCTACCGAGCGAATTCTCCAAGTACATTCTCCGAGGGAGGAGGAGTGAGACGAAGAGAGAACGAATTGAGTAGTACAGAGAGAAATGGAGTAGCAAGAGAGAAAGAAGCAGAGAGAAGGAGAGTGTCGGGACGACGATCGATCCTTGGAGAAGTCGTCGACGAACCCATCCCGCTCACCCTGAGCCTTCCAGTCCTCGGCTTGGGCTGAATACCACTGATTGTCCTCTACTCTCTCTCTCTCTCTCTCTCTCTCTCTCTCTCTCTCTCTCTCTCTCTCTTTCTCTCTCTTACCCTGACAGAGCCAGTAATCTTCCATCTCTCTCTCTCTCTCTCTCTCTCTCGTGGTCTCCCTTGGCCTCAACGCCGCCACTCCGGCCTCCGACACTCTGCTCTATACTCCACCCCCTACCCTACCTTACCCTGGCTCTCCTATCCTGCTACCACCCCCCGCCCTTTCCACGCTACTCCTACCCACTCCACGATAATGATGGCAATCAGCCCCTCAGAAAGGATTTCAGGAAATTCTCTCGCCTTTTTGTCGGCAGCCGGGGCGGCAGCGGACGCCACAAACACCGGTCGTCGTCGTGCGCCTCCAGAGCATCCAAGTCTTTTCAATGACAGCCGTCCGCCCCGCGACCCCACCGGGCATCACCCGGTAAATATGCACTCACGATTACGGATCACGTCGCCACGATCTATCGCCGGTTTCATCCTACACTACGTACGTCTGCTCCACCTAACAACGTCGTCCTTCGACAATTTTACAAAGCTAAGTTCTCAGTCAAGTTCCTGACCCTTTGACAAGTGGACGATCACCGCTCGAGTACGAGCACCGGATCAGCTCTTGGATGAAAATTACCAAAAAAGGGTCTCCGATACTCCAAATAAAAATACAAAAATCCAAATACTCAAAATCATCCCTTAACACTCTTCCCTGAGGATAACAATTAAATTCCTCCGAACAAGCCTCTTCGGTAATGCCATCCTGAGTGACGTATCCTCAGGCACAAGTGCAAGCTCAGCATGCAGAGCCACTTGCGGAGGAAACGAAGGAAATGGAAAGAAGGAAGTAATTCGCGCTGTTAGCCGTTAAGCCACAGGGTGGAATCTGTCATCTCTGGTAACCGTGTCAGCCGAACGGGTCTCCGGGGGGTGGTTCGTAAAACCAGGAACAAAGACCCAGTCGCAGTTGCCCCGGTATACATCGGCGTTCTGAATAAATATTTCGCGTTCTGAATAAATATTTCGCACACTGGAGGAAGGTGGAAATTTCATCTAAAAAAAGATAATAAACAGATAACTGTCAGACTTACGCAACAACCCTTAATGCTTTGACCGAATCGTAGAAACGGACTCCGTCAGTCCATGTACGAGACGTCGATCAGTGTCAGTAACGAAGGATGAAGATTCATGGGTATCAGGCTTAAGTTAACTTTAGGGATGGAATGGGAAACGCGTGGGCGTGTATGGGGGATGATCTGTTGCTCACGGTGCGGTGCACGCCGACAATATTGACTGAGAGCCAAGAAAACGCCAAGGGGATTTTCTCTTCCACCCTTCGGATGCTTATTCGCTCACTCCCTCGTCACTCCTTCATTGACGCAACATTAAGCACACGCGATAACGCACGATCAACCGGCTAATGACTTTCTCTCTCAACAGGCCTTTTCTGTCTGTCCCTCAACCACTCCATATGTCCCTTTCTCTCTCACTCGCTACACTATTACGATACGATGGCCAATCGCCGATAGCGACGTCGGAGAACTCGAATCTCCTATGCTGCAGTACGCTGAAGCAATTCTTGCTATGTCATTCTGCATGTTTTACATGCGAGCTGCGACAGCTTGGTGAGGAGCGTCGCGACGCTTCCGAAAGCCTTCACTTCCGATAGCGTCTTTTGGTACTTCACGTAATTGTACTCGGATGCTTATAAATTTTTATTAATCGTTTAAGGTCAATTTTTTTTGTAGCTATTTCTTACGTGGAATATGTAGACATTTGGATGAACAGAGTCAAAGTTGAGGGTAATTTTTTATATTGGGAAATTAAGCAGACTTACGTGTATATTTAATTATAGTATTTCTGGTTTTTTTTTAATATTATTTTTTATCCTCGATAACTCTGCATATAAGGTGCTTATGACATCTACTGAATTTCCCTGAAGTACGAGGTTTCGGCGATGGCAGTGCCATCTAGCAGAGGGTGGTTGAAACTGTTTAAGGGCTGCACGTCGAGCTCGCATTTCGATATTGATTAGCACCAAGCGTCCCTCTGGAGATTTAACCCTCGAGACTGAATAGTTGACGGTCTTATCACTTTCTTCCTAACCGATAAACGTTAATTCGAAAATCTTATCGTACCAGAAAACTTTTGCTAAATTACCCTCGCAAGTGGGTCGATACTGGACCGGAATAAATGTTTGATCAATTGTTTGAAATAGAATTGATATAAAAAATATTTTAATTGAAATCAAGGAAAAAGTTCAGTGATATCATTCCTTAATCTTTAAACGGTGAAATAAATTTTTTCTATCAAAGGGTATAAAGCTCCGTAATACATTTTGATAAAAATCACTATCAGTAGGTCACAACGCTAAAGTCACCACTAAGCTACGGTACCGCGATATGCCACAATAAGATATGCATTCACAACCCTCTTTGAATTAGCAAGGCAGAACCTTTACGTAAAATCTAATCGAATAACCATTGACCTCGTCCCGTCAACCTGATCCCCTAATCACAGACCAATCCACCCTTTTAATCCGACCAGTGGACAACCCCTACCACCAAGTACCCCGAAATGAGCAATCTTCAGAAATTCGAAGAAATATCCTCCGTACGCCAAGATAAGAGTAACGAAATTGTGGTACAAAAATTTTTCAAAAAAAAAAAAAAAAAATAGATACCACGTCCCTCTAAAATATAAATCGCGTAAGCGTTCTGCGACACCTTCCACGTGATTACTACTAATTCTCCTTCGACAGGGGTTCGAAGTCGGTACCGCGTGGGAGAGCTCTATCGTGGCATTACGTATTCCGCCGAGTCACGTACTTTTAGAGGGACTCTAGTTAAGGATATAACGAGGTTATTTAGTGACGTTAGGTAGGTAGGGGCTGTAGTATAGGTGGCGCGAGGATGAATAATGATCCCTGGATACAGTGTGGGAGCTTGGTTGGATGTCGCTCGAAAGGGAAGCATAGTGGAGAAAGAGGTCTCAGGATGGGCGGGAGAGTTGCGCAAAGGGTGACGCGGGAGGAGATCAGCAGAAGATAAGATTGAAAAGTGTGTCCTTTTTTCTAACAACCCATGGATGCTTTCACTAGGTTCGAACTTGGTTCGAACTCAATTCGATCCGACGTTGGAAGACGCTTCGTGGATCGTGCAATAATTGCTTAGGAGGGATGATCCTGCGATGGCTGATGGGAGGTCGTAGATGGGAACTGGGCATGGGTATGGGGAGGGTTCCATGGTACATAAGGGGAAGGCAGCACGCGCCGGAACCGGAACTGAGAGTCGTGTGTCGCTGCCGTTCCCGAGCGGAACTATCATGATTAGTCACGGGGCTTGCAATGAGCTGTGCGCGAGCGTAGGAAAGCTCAGTCCAGAAAGTATCAGGGGGATGATGGTTGTAGAAGTAGCTGCTACGTATCTAGATACCTAGTGAACGAACCAGCCAAGCCTGCCTTGAGGGGCGCATTCAATCACCGCTTTGCTCATGGCGCTCAGCATGGTGGCGACATGGGTCGGTGAGTCCGGGTTCGCCCCTGCTGACTCCTTTGGTCTTGTTGCGTGAACCTTTGCGATTCTCAACCCCTGGTCACACTTTTAGACACTACTGGATATCCTTGGGTACCTTATGGACTCAAGTGTCGGAAAGAAACGTCACGAAGTCCTAGCTGAGAGTCTTAACGAGCATATCCAGAAAGGCGTCCCCCAAGGATAATTTTTAGGGGTTGAAACATTTCTTTTGCCATCTTTGGATTGGGACTGTGGTGGGATTCTGCAATGAAAAAAGATTCAGTATTTCTGCATACCCCGTAGAGACGGATACGACCGTTCGTTTCTGAGACGGGACCTGGGGTACGACGTGGCTGTGAGGGAGCTTGGCTTTTACTGGTGGAGCCGGTAGCGGCGGAAGTGAAGGGGCGCGCGAAGCCTACCGGACGAAGGGTCGGTATTATGGGTTCGTGGGGGGTAGTTTTGATAGTAGAATGAGGAAGGGATCATCGGGGTGCAAGGATGCAGAGTGCAAGGGGGGCTCGGATCCCGTAACCCCCGGGTTAACCGATACCGGCAATTATCAACGCGTCGCGGCTGTGTTCAATCCTATGACCATAGTCACCCTTCATTCTTGGATCAGAAGGGCGAGCCCTGGACCATATATCAATATAGTCGTTTATCTCGTGACATTCATCGCTCCATATAATTAGGCATTGAACTTTAACAAAAATCGTGCATTAAGCCCTATAGCAATTACGAGAGAAAAACTTCAGTTGGCTGGGAAAGGACACATAAAAATATCTCACCATCTAATAAAAATATATAAATATTAAAATCTTATGTTCCATCGAATTTGGGTAATTTTTTTTCCAATGAAATACGATACGATAACACGAACAGGGTAATGATAACAGGACGGCGCTTGGACATGTATGTCACCTTTGCCCTGTCAAACATCAATTACTAATGCAAACAGACACCCCATACAGAGAGTAACCATGTCATTGTACAGTGATCTTGAATATGTCACATGTAGGTTGATAGGTATATATATGTACAAATATATAGGCTACGTTTTGATAGACATTACGTGCATGACAGTAAGACTTACGGTCTTTGTTTATCAACGGAAATTTTTAGGTGACGTATTATGTTATGTCAGGTTATAATTGCCACTACGGTTTCTGATACTGTAGATACTGTTATTTCGTGACTGCAATTTGCATTGCTGAATTAACTAAAGGAAAAAAGAAGTGGCAGAGCAGAAATATCTAGTTTAGTGAAAGGACTGATTGACTGAAAAAATACCATAATCGGGTTTAAAATATGCGGATTAAATTTTGTCAGATTTAGTTGATTTTGAAAACACGCCTGTGTAACTTGGTTGCTTATACATAAAATTGTAATTTTCTATGACAGATATGCACTGTGACTGTATTTGTTAAGAACGCAGTAATCATGCTCTTTTTTTTTGAAGCGCGCGTGTCAGTCTAGTAATAAATAAATAAAAATATAGCTGGCTGTCATTCGGTAACCTTAATATTATGCAATCGCGTTTTACGAGGAGAAAACTTTTCTCATTGGTTCAAGTTACTGTAATAAAAAGTTAATATTGTCGTTTTTGAGTTCATAAATCTTTTTTACCCATTGCACAAGGGTGTATTTAATTTTTTTTTAGAAAAATCAATAGCAAGAATAAAATTTTTAATTATCAATATCTCGTTAGGTAGTAATCAAGTATCGTATACATATTTCGACAGTGTTGCCATTCTCGAGATATTATTTAAAAGTTTTCGAAAACCTCAGTGTGAGTTCGAGGTAAAAAGTTACAGGCCCCTGTCTAACTTGAAACGATCCAACTTAAAATCTAAGTAGCTATGCATCCTCCCTCGTGTAGATAGGGGTAGATAGGGACACCTCCTGTCCGCCGGAACCCCACGAATACCAGTCCCAGCCACCGGCTGCAGGGATGCTGAAGGCAGCATCCGGGATCCCGAGGGTAGTTCGTGGGGCGGTCGGTTGTCATGGATACGCGCTGAGCTAACCCCTAACCACTCCTCCCTCATCATCCACATTTCGCAGCTCCGCCGCCATCATCGACCCACCATCTTGCCATAACCGTGCCCGCAAAAATGTTCAAACTAAACCTTAGCAATTTACCCGGTCCACCGGTAACTAGAGTTCACAGTTTCCGTTTAAGGTCTACGTCATTAAATCAGCATGAAAATGACATCTGCAACGCCCGAGCTATTAAAACCAAATTCAATTAGAATTTTCGAAAAATTCCTAATTTCCTAAATAGATAAACTCAAATATTTTCAACTCTACAAAGCCATACGTTCCATACCGAATTCCGTTCCATAACGAAACCCTACTAGGTCTACGTAACTCCAAGTTTTACAACCCTTGGCAAGCCTCAACTTTTCAAGTAGCAAAACGGTTACCGGCAATGGCGAACACAAAGGCGCAATCGGAGCAATGAAAGTTTGAGTCATCGATAAATTCCAGCACTAGGTAACAGGATATTGGTTGCGGGTTGAAGCAGTTGGCCGTGGGTGGGACTGGGTTTGTTCGTTGGCATCAGCCACCCGGTACCAGACTACCAGTCCTATAGTCACCCTGGTGCCCAAACCCCAAACCCACAGAGAGAGTCAGAGTCGAGGCAAGGCTGCTAGATAACGTGATTTACAGATCCGTGTAAATTACTGTGCTCCACGAGCGACGTTAAAAAAAAAAACAAACGGAAATCGACAACAACAAAGTGTTACAGTCACGCAGCACTATGGCCGTTGGAGAGCCTGACAAATTGGAGCATCTATTTGCCCTTATGTCCAGACTTCAAAGTTCAAGCTGACAACGAGGATCCTGCGTTCGACTGAAGTTGCTCGAGTGTCAATGAGGAAAATAGCAAAGCTTAATCCTATCTGTACGTCACTCTCTAAAAGAATATAAACCCTTGATACATAACTGACCATAGTCTAATGGCACAATTAAACTGTCACTCACCAGTGATGGAAGCTGTTGGCGAAATGGCGGAAGGGTTGGCGCGCGGTGGTGGTGAAAATGCTCCAGCAAGATAGCCACCGCGATCAGCAAGGGCCTGCTTGGCCTTTTCGACACTTTGCTTCAGCTGCTGAAACGTGCTGCCGCACGCCAGACCCCGGTAAGGCCAATTTTCCTGCTTGACACCAGTCCCGGAGACGGCCACGGCCGCGGCCGCAGCCCCGGCTCCGGCACCGGCTCCACCCGGTCCTTTTAGATCGAGCGCACCTGCGTACGAACAGCTAGCGCTGTCGTACATCACCAAAATGCCCCTGAAAAAAGAAATATAAAAAAAAATTAAAATTAACATGAATTTCGAAATATATTCGTTTTAGATGAAAAACATAAAAAAAAAACCGTTCCTTAAATCCACCAATAAAAAATTCGTACACGTCTCACATTTATTCTAACGTAACCACCGACAACACGCTAAACTTTTCTAACCTCCAAAATAAGCTATAATAAAAATTTCGCAAAATGCATTGATCTAACCAGACCTCATCTATCAGACCGTCTATCCGTCACCATCGCAATTACACAAGACCTACACATCCATCCTGATGAATACTCTCAGGATTAATTAATGTGATCCTGCGTGATCGCGTGTCTCAACCGAGACTCAATGTACGTAGAATCAAGTACGAAGGGTAGCAGCGTGCGATAACATACAAGGTAATACGTGAAAGCCGAAGGTTAAGGTAACATTGAAGGTTAAGGGTGACCAGCTAAGTCCAAAAGGAACCGATATATATAAAATTTAAGAAAAATCGTATATATACACATATATAAATAAAATCATGCAGGTATCATGAGCCATGTATTTAATCATTAACGGATACCTGATCTATCGGAGGCTGGACCCGTGGAGAAGAAGGTACTCTAGGCAGGTTGTCTCGCGCAACTGCGGCCGCCACGGGCAGCAAATTGCCTGCTTCCGGGCCTCATTACATCACTCTGTTACTCTGTTAACGCTCGCCGGAAACCCCTCGGTCTACCTCGTCTAAGCTCGGTTCTGTGTGCGCTGCCACACGCACTGTTTAAATACACGCGTAGTCGCAATAAGCGTGCAATCACATACAAAGTGACGGTAGTGAAGAGAAAGAGAGAGAGACTCGTTAAACGTAATGGAGTAAGAGTGCGACAGAAAAGAATGAGACAAACTGAAGTACGAAATGTTACCCGGTACTAGAGTTTGTTGATAATTAACTAACTAAAACTAGACAACGGCAGGTTAAGTTAGCTTCGGGTAAAATCTCGAGGAAATTAGCACGACGCTATTCACCTAACCCTCTGGCCGAATAAATATGTATGAAACTGTGCACGCGCCTATATCCTCCCTCTCCCCCTTACTCGCTCTTTCTCCGGTAACGGTATTTAACCCTTTCGTTTGCTCTTAATGTTTTTTGTATGCATGAGAAACAAGCGTGCCAACCCCTTTGCTCTGTGGTAATTTCTAACTCCACTGGACTTATGCGAGTTGGCTATATTTTCTTCTGCTGGTTGTAAAATTCTTCTTTTTTTTTTTTTGTAATTTTATGAACACCCTGTTCCAAAGTACTCTCTCGGTAAGGACTCGTACTTGCAGAATGTTATTTGTGTAATCCGTATAATTTTGTTGGTTACTTCTTTGATTTTATGAATACTGACTACAGCCCTGAAAGGCTATTCATTATTGGGTGTCGGAGTGTAGTTTAATTTGGACGTGCGTGAGTAACGTTTGTTGAACTGTTCCTGTGGATGACGTTCATCCGCAAGGAATCGATACCTACGAAGCCACGGCAACGCCTTCGACGTGGTTGAATGTGAACGATGCCTTAAAAAAGGAAAAGAAAAGAAAAAAAATGAATATCAATAAAACTCAACAACACGGCGTCATAGTAAATGATAAAAGTTCTGGAGGACTGACTTGTTCTCGAGAAGAGAAAAGAAAAATTGAAGATATTCGTTCCTTTTGAATCATATAAGAAAAAGTGTGGAGCCTGCGTAGGCATAGATAGATTTCCGTCAGAGGAAGGAAGTCGAGGAGAACACTCGGTAAAAAGAGGGAAATGGCGGACGGAAATAGAGCGTGAAAGGTTTTGATTAAGATGGAGGCGCATTAATGGTCTTGATTTGTTATTTGATAATGACGGTACCTACCAACCCACAATGCAACGAGGCGATTACGTCCGCTGGCCGTCGCACGAGTACGTTCATAAAATCTTTTCTTACTTCCTTAATGTATGCTTTAAAGAAGACATATTTTTCATGACTTCCAATTGTTCTTGCCTTTGGCGACTTCTCCTCTCGAATAGGAACATTGACTTTGAAGCATGTACAGGATACGTATACTGACAGAAGGAAATATTATTATACAACAATAGGACATGGAAAGATTTGAACAATGAGAAAAACTCATGCAATTCTTTAGAACCAAAATGAGACACTTTGAAGGTATTAAAAATATGTACCGGCTTGAAGATACAATTGTGCTCTTGTGGACTGATAAGAATACAAAGGATTGATAAAAGAACTAAAATCGACTTAATTAAATCACAACTATTGCTAAAGGATGGAGAATAAAAGCGTACAGCTATGTTCAGTAATGAATAAACGGTCAGTGATGAATTGTGATGATTAAATAATTAAATTAACAACAGAATATAAGACTAGGATTCATTCAATGAATAAATTTATAACCACAGAGCACTTAATTGTTATCAGGATTAATTACATCCATATAAAAGAGTAACGTACATGGTCTACGTGTAACTTCAAAGAATAAACCTCATCGTGACAGCTCTTGCGTGCAGATTAAACACCGTAACACCACTCCAACGTGAATCGGGAGAACCAAATTAAAAAAAAAAAAGCACAACTTCAGTATAATTGCTCAAACTAATGCCAGGTCCAAACGACGAGTGCAAGATCAGCTCGAGAAGAAGACTCACCGTCAGTGCGGGCTCCCGCGCTGCTGCAGCCTCCTGTCCAGATCCCCGTTCCGTCTTGTCCGTTCTCCAGGAAGTAATGGATATACAAAACGTAAAAGAAGAATAATGAAATAAGGAGAGACAAATAAAAAAAGCAAGCTTGTATACACGTGTGTAGGATAGATATAAGAAGGTGGTAAAAACGAAATGAGCACCCGGGAGAAGATGACGCGAGCAGTCGACAAGTAGTACGCAATAGAGAAAGAGAGAGTGTTGGCTAGGGTGAGGGTAAATAATAAATAATAGTAGCTACCGATCCACTCCACGGTAACGTCACGTCCGCGCAAGTTAAGGAAACGTGAGGAGACGCGACGGCAGGACTATGGAGGCGGATGAAGGACTCGGTCGAGGTAGAATGCCCGGAATGCCTGAGGACGATGCCGCTCCGTGTAAACGGGGTGAGATGGTGTTAGCGCGTGGACCCGCGGACCCGGCCACGGCGACGGACGCACATTTGGCAGCGTTATCAGTCGCGGTCCGACGATTGGCTGTATCGGAGCCTGCGCCGGGCCCGTTGCGCCCAGCCTGTTTTCACCCCCTACTTCGTTCTCGGTTCAGGCTCGACGCAGGACTCCTTAGAGGCGGGATCATCCGTAGGGAGGATCTCCGTTTACCCATCCAAATGCCACAGCCACCTTCCTATATCTATATACACACACGGTCTACCAACCTCCACATGTCTGTCGACTTTCTCTGCTATGTAGTCGCCAACGTGTGGTTTCTCTATGTACGTCATCTCCGTCGTTGCTCTCCTCGTCCCTCTTCTTTCTTCACTGTTACTCTTTCGTGTACTCTCTGCACGTATTTACCTACATCGTCTTGGATAACCTTTCTCCTCGTTATATCTACCAATCCTTCCGTCGACCTCTAGACGGATCTCTCCAGCATCCCCTTGTTCTACGGCTCGACGGGTATCCAGGAGTTTACGCCTCTCCACTCCACTCCACTGCACGCCACTCCTTGCTATCCCAAGTATGACTACTCTGATCCTTGAGAACTCTCCCGTATTATGCTCATTATATACGACCACCCTATCTTTACCTATCTGTTTTTATGTATAGGGTGGCTGCATTTTTCTGACGTATTCTTACCTGTATTCGTCTCAACGATACTCTTTCGGTCTTCAAAATTGTATACCTTAAATTTAACGTTATATGCAATTAATAAATTATATATATTTCACAAGACGTCGTGACGGATTTCTTGAGCTTTTTCGGTTTACCTTGTAAATTAATGCCAAAAGGTTGGTCAGTGTGTGCAGTCTGCACGACACGAACCCGGAATAAAGAAAAGCCGAATCACTGTTTTTTAAATGATCGGTAATGCTTCTGCAAACACCCTGTATATGCTCGGTTAATGTTAATGGTAGGGGTTGGCTCAGTCGCCTAGGGTGGGTGCCCCTTTTCCGTGAGTTAGAACTTCCTGAGGCTTTCCTCGCATCCTATCGCCCTTTCCAGCTACCGTCGTAGTTGGCTACAGCAGTAAGCCCAAATATCAAAAATCTTCTACATAACTGTATCTTTTAAATCAACATATTCCACATACCTGCATAGATACAGACAAAGTAGATCACGTTCCAGACATCACGCAGTTGTCAAGGCGCTTGAATTTTGTTATTCCTTAACTTTCTTTGTCCTTAGCAAAGAAACTGCAATACGTTTCGTCTTTTTCGTTGAGTCTTAAAACTTACATGAAGATGCTGCCCATCGGTCTGTCTGTGACAAGCATTTTAACCTCAAAACTTTACCGAACGCTAAACGTCCTATATTTCACTGCACGCAGGAATAAGGCTGGAGGTAGGAATTTACTAAAAATTCGAGTAAACGTGATATCATCAAATACGTAGAAGAAAAATCGCGCCTATGGGAACAAATATAATCACTGGTTGTCACGATACAACGCATTCAACAGGTTAGTACAACATTACAAGAGTTTATTCACGTGACTAGTACCTTCACATCGCCATCCTCGATTTAATACTGCGCCATAGGCACCACGTCAATTTATCGGCACAAACTTGCACTACTGGACATTGCATATTACTACCTGAGCTACATACAGTATATTCTTCTTTATCCATTGAAATTAGTTTTATATTTTCATTGAGGTCAAGTACTAGAACAAACAGTATATTGATACGTAATATAACATGGAACATCATAGTCCGCATGACTTTATGTTTAATGTAAATTAACTACATTAGATAAAATCATAACTTCGTGTCACTCTATCATAGAAAACATGGTTAAACGTGACTGCCAATGCTGTCATCACGTTTCCCTAATTACTGGACATATTTATAGACACTCTACACACTCCAAGTTATCTAAAAATATGTTACATTTATTTGCCATGGACGTTCCCGAGTGTTCTAGAAGCGATCAAACTTTTCACATTGTGAAAATATTTTAATGAAAGTAGTGAATATGTAAAAAAAAAAGAAAAATCATTGAAAGTTGATAATTCCCAGTGCAAGTCCTCTACCAGTATTATGTGGATGATGTTACTGATTTAGGTAACCAGTAGCATTATAGATATGATCATTATAGGTTATGTCTAGAAGTAGATTAAAAAAGTACAGAAGGGGTCATCCAATCAGGTAGCATAAATACAGCACGTTCCAGCTGCGTAGTGTCTGAACAGGCGGAGGGAATTATCGACATCGCGTGATTTAATTTGTTACAATTAGGGCAAAGGCGGCGTAGGCGCCCGAAGCGGCAGGGCTGTAGTACGAGTCTATACCGCGCCCTGCTATTAATATCAGTTAACGAGCCGATATGATCGCCCGCTTGGCTCGTCTATAGAACCGACAGGCAGCCGCTCCGTTGTCAGGAACCTCCACACAGCGACCAACCCCATCGACCACCATCATCATCCCCGTCAGTGGCTGAGTCATCGACGTGAGCGTGGAACAAGTATTTTCGCACGCCCTCGAATCTTGCCGCTCGGGGAACACCGGTTCCTCGTAGACGACGTTGGATATCACTGTGACACCGTGGACAGCTGGTAAAATTGTGCACGAGCCTTGACCGTGTCTGGGAAGTGGTAATATATAGTCATTTTTAGATTTGTAGATATACATCTAGCGATACGGCCTATCCGCTATCTGCTTGGGAACGAGGAGCGTGCTAGATTTTCATAAGGATTCATATATGCACGGTTTGGTAGATTATACTTGCATACTTGGGAAGGTGGTGCCGCTGCCCGGTATTCGGTTGGAGTCGAGTTCCTCGAGTACGCTGTATACTGACTCGGTGGTTCACGAGCCTACAGCACGCGAACCTGATTGACTTGTAGATGAGGCGACAGTCGATACATGCGGAGCAGCCCAACGAACGAGCAACCCCTATGGACACCCTGGGCTTCGGCGGACTTCGTTGGCTAAGCGTCTCTCTAGCCGCTGCTACCGACCGTTATCTAGTTAATTAATCTTCGCCGGCGGCGGCTGCCGAGTGGCAAGTAGCAGCCCGGGAGAACTCCTACCCTCTCGGTTACTGTAACGAGGGGCGGACCAAATGTTGATAGTCCACAATCCCCTTGGTCCCACCAGTCCTCTCGACTGGTTCTATTCTCTTCCTCATTCTCTCTCTCTTACTTTCCGTTTAGAGACCAAAAATTTAATTACCGCATATCGATACTCCTGGGTAAGGGCTTGTATTTCTGTCAATGCCTTACACTTCATTGAACTTGTTTCCAGTTGTGATCTTCGTCTTCAGATTTTTGGTCGAATAATATATCACATTAGACTTATTGTTCTAAATATTGAAGTTTTTTTTATTATAGTTACAGATTATCAAGAAAGAAAAACGGATAGTTAAATTCAGGTCTTGCAGGCTAAGAGACCAATCTTACCAGCTTACAGCTTTTAAGGGTAATTCTCCAAAGGTAATTCGAAGAATTTTAAATAATACAAGCATGATATCCTTCGGATAAGAAAGTAGCCTTCAACTAGGTCCACCTAGTGCACCAGAAGCGAATTTCAACTACAGCAGTAGAATTTATCATACGAAAGAAATATCGATCCGTAACTGTCGAGCCGACCAGACACAAGGACAATTTGCCGACGGAGCTCCAGGGCGCTCGGGGCGTTTAGTCACGAGGTCTGAAGGCGTCGCGACGCCGCCGCACGGCGCCCCCTAATGCGGGGGAAAGCGCCGGTATTGATTGGGGGTCGCGGGGAAGTCGGGCGCCATCACGCGGGCCACCGCGACTGGGGCGGCCGCCTACCGTATTCCGAAAAGATGGTCATGATGGCTGGCATGGATGACCACGAGCGGAAAGTAGTCGTCGAGTTCTGTCACCTCCTCGAGAAAAGTAAGCAACTGTTTAACGGACTCCGTGACTTACCCCAGTACGGGCACAAGCAGTGGCAAGCCTACTTCGGGCGCACCTTTGACATCTACACGAAGCTATGGAAGTTCCAGCAGCAGCACAGGTAAGTCACTCCATTTCTTTAGTTTCCCCTAGAGGGAGCGAACGCGTTACATCTTATTAAACGTGCTCACGTGATATCGTACGAGCTATCAGATTTACACTATGGGATTCTTATTGCCTTCCTGATTTTAGGATGATACTGGATACGAAGTATGGTCTGAAGAGGTGGCAGATCGGAGAGATAGCCAGCAAGATTGGTCAGCTTTACTACCATTATTACCTGCGTACAAGCGAGACAAGCTACTTGCACGAGGCGTACTCCTTCTACGCTGCTATCCGTGGTCGTGCATATTACAGTCGAGCTGCCAAAGAAGACCGTAGTGATCTGATGGTGAAGAAGCTGCGTTACTACGCGCGCTTCATCGTCGTGTGTCTTCTGCTAAATAAGATGAAGCTGGTACGAGAGCTGGTGCAAGAGTTGGACGCACAGATAGCCGATTATACGAGTACCTACGAGCCGGAGGATCAGGTCGAGTGGAACTTGGTGCTCGACGAGATCAAGGCATTCGTCAAGGCGGAGGCGTCCGTTGGCGTCCTGCATGCGGACTCTAATCCAGTTGTGTTGACCCATAGACTCGGCCCCTTGACTTCCCCACCTGTCGAGCGTTCGCCACCCATGTGCCTATCTCTTCAAGAGATCCTGATCGTCGGTAACTGTACTGATCAGGTAAAGTTCAGTGAGTTATCGATGGATATGTTTAGGATGCTTCAAACGCTTGAGAGGGAGCCTAGGGACGATCCGACGCACCTCCACGATGCATCGCCTGCAGGCAGGCTACCCTTCAGGCCTGGGCCCTACCCCTCGGAGAACGGGGCGCCACGTCGTGATAATCCCCACAAGTACCTACTCTACAAGCCGACCTACAGTCAGGTCCAGGTGTTCCTCGCAAGTGGTTTTAAGGAACTTCCAGCTAACGGCGCGCTTCTACTCTATCTATCTGCTGATGGTTGCTTCTCTACCGTTAAGCATCCTGAAGAAAGTAAGTCTACGCGTTATTCCATTTTCACTGCAATCCCTAAACCCATCATCCCGTAGCTTAAAGTCCTCGTGAGATTGTATGAGCCAAGCTTGCCGGATGAACCAAAGTTAGTCCCGAATCAAGCAACGGTTCGGAGAAGAAGTCTATGTGAGAGGAAGAAAATTGCTTGTGTCTCTTAGAGCGATGACGCAATTCCTCGAAATAACTTGGCCAAGTCTAATCCTGACCCCGTTCTTTTTTTTTCAGTGGGGTACGACCTGGGCGGCGTCTCGACAAGCAGCAAAAGGGACCCAGAGCACGGGAAGAGGCCAACAGGAGGGAAGGAGCCTCACTGCCTCTATCCAGGCGACTTGTATCCCTTCACTAGGAAGCCTCTCTTCGTAGTTGTCGACTCGGACAACAGTTTCGTGTTCCAGCAGATACCCCGATACTTCGGTCAGCCGCTTATGGTCCTGATGTCGCCTCAGGACACGCCGCCAACCCTCAGAGATCTTCGTCACGGGGGCAGCTTGTTCACCCTATTCCTTCACGCGCCTCTCGCCGCCTTTTGCCTTATATGCAGCGTCAGGAGTCTCACCGTACACCACTGGGAGCGTTGCCAGAGTTACATCGAACGATTCCTCATCGAGGCCAGTCGGCTCGTTATGCGATCTAGATGCGGTAAGGACGACGCCGAGTACTTCCTTCCGCCTTTCTCCAAGGATCACCAGCTTGACGCTCGTTAAAGGATTCTTGGCGTTGGGCTTAATGACGCTTGAGTAGACGCTCTATAGAAGACCAGTAATAGCTAGTAGTCCCTCTTGAGTGGCTCCTGGCATTCGTCCTCGAATAATAGACCAGAAGATCGATGACACTGAGCATTCTGCGAACAAAGAACCAATATGTATATTCTCAGGGACAGACAGCTCCCACAATGCGTGCAGGAAGTCAGATGTGAATTAACAGAAAAATTCTTCTATTCTGAATATTTATGTCATGCCATCAAACGTAATGAGAGAAAGAGACTTTTTTCTTTGCCGGGATTTGTCTTCGTTTAAAACTAATGACACTTGGCTAACAAGGGCGTCTGGTGGATAACATGAATATCAAAAGCACTTTTGATTGACACTATTGCATCGACTATCGATACGAGTAATAATGCCGTTGTTTTATTTAGACCGTGTACCGTTTGTTCTTGAGCAGAATGTTTGTGTAAATGATAAATATTAATGTTACAGAGACCAGCGTGCTACAGTTCTTCGGTGATGATTTCCTGAGGCTACTGTTGGTACGATATGTGTTCTGCGATGTGGTTCTACATCTGCATCGTTCATTCCGGGGACGGCAACAACGGCCACGGTGTCATCCGCCACTTCCGGAAGCGGAAGTGCTCGAGCACCCGACTCTTCACCACCTCGTTCTCGATTTAGCCGCGTGCATCGATGCTCGCGATCACTTTCCTGACAGCAACGAGCTCGCCTGACCCAGGCATCTTCCCTGCCCAGCCACTGACACAACCCCACTGTTATCCCCTTACCACCACGATTATGATTATTGCAATTACAATTACAATTACAATAAAATCGTTACATTGAGACCTCATTAAACCGCGTCTCGCAGTTATATCTCGTCTGTCTCTACACTCCCAGAAATTTTCAATATCTCGCTCCACATCCCCTAAGAAAATCCCCTACGGTCATTCAGCTATACCGCCTGGCTGTCATAGCGAACGTTGAATTCAAGTTTATTTATCAGAAAAAGAAGCGAATTCCTGTCTAACAAAATACATGGAATCTGAAATCTTCTAGTCGGGGAAAAGCTATCCTTTAACCAAATAAACCCATTTATCAAATAGGGTCGGTGGTAATAAACCATAGTCTAACGTTATGCCAAAGTCACGACCCCCGTGGACTCCTGCCAGACTTAATCGATTCAACGTTCTCCATTAAATCGTTCATCCGTTAGCTGACGTGCCAATCCCAGTGGCACCGCCTCAATGTCATACGAGCTCGAAACAAATCTCCACAGGGATCCTCATACACTCAAAGTGTCCAGAATATCCAAGCGCAGCATCCACACAGAGATCTAACGTGTTTTTCGACGCTCCCATTCTCGCGTCAGCCAGCGTCGCCCACGCACGAGCGTCAGAGAGGCGTCTTGCACATTCGACGTAGATGCGTTATTTATAAACAAAAGTAGAACGCTCGCTAGCTCTTTGCCATAAGCCAAAACAATAATTCTTAACAAATTCATCTTAATTCTAAATCGTACCTCTGAATCCACAACTTGGATCAGATCTTAAAGCCCTTGGATACACCAAGAGGCATACCCTACTAGCGACCGCCGGTTACGTAAGTCTCCACCGCAAGGAGAACAGTTCGCAGGTGAGCGTCCGGTCGACACTCTAAGACGCTGAATCCCTAACGGAATAGAAAAGGCTATAAATAATATAGGTAAGAGAGATGCCCGCGCCTCGTGGACGCTCGTGAGGACACAGAGCATTGCGCGCCGCGACGCCGGCAGGGTGCTCAACGCTCTGGAGGCCAAGATACGTTAAGGTAACGATAGACGTGATGGAGGCGGCGGAGGTGTCTTTTATGAGGGTCGTCTGAGAGGCCTCAGGACACCTCTGGTGGGGATGGAGCGTGAGCGTGATCGCGATCACGAACGTGACCGCGAGCGTGGTCGCACCTCCCGTGCGTCCTCTACCTCAAGCCTCGGACGTGAGGTCCGTTGTGGTTGTCAGTACTACCGGAGTGACTCGCTTCTACCAGAGCGGAGGGCACTCGTGGGACGACCGTCTTCGAGGACCGCGATGCAGACTCCACCGCCTGTCCAGGCGGGACGCTGGTGAGTAATCTCATCCAGAGATCCAGCCAACCCTGTATACATGTACATGCTTCTTCAGACACTTGGCTACATAAATATTTCCCTCCGCAGAGTTCACTTAACACAAGCAACCTGGTTAACGCATACTCACCAACCCCATGTTCTCATCTGGTCCATTACATATACATACTTCTCATGTCTTCCCCTCAAGTCCGAGATACCGCGCATCGTTTCGCAAACTTCTCTCTTACGTAGCTTCGGTATACGTTTACGTCCGTTAGATCGCGTAGCTATTTAAGGTTCGCCCGGCTGGCTATAGATAGAATCCTCGGTCAGCTCGCAGTTCCTCGTCCGGTCGCGCAGCTTCTACATCTTCTTCTTGGTATTCCTCTCTATATAATTCTACGTCGATCGGCTGGCCGACTATCATGATAATCCGTCTACACCGAGGGTTCTGTCTAAGGGTGGTATAGCGCCGGGAATAGTGTCCATCATTCCTGTAGAAGAGTATCTATAGCTGGTACCTGAAAGAGAGGATGCTGTGTAACCACCTGCTGATGTCTTAACTCGAACGTACCGCTTTAAGTAATCTTTGTGTTTGGTGTACTCACTCTGGTGATATAGATGTACGATCAATGACCAAGGAGCTGATGTTTTCCGTTAATGAGACTTCCTGTTGATTCGATGATCCATACCAGGATCGGCGACGAGTGATTCAGATCAGCATTATCATCAGTATCCTATGAACATGGCTTCTCCTCTTAGCGAGCACGAGTATGAACCCATCGCGAGCCCTTCGCCGACGGTGACGACGACCGTCGCAGCTCCAGTGGTACGAATAACCGACACAGACGTGGTGCGTGTCGCGGACAGCGACGAAAGCATCGACGCACGAGATTTACGCTTTCCGCCTAAGCTCGCCCTCGACGGAGACGTCGTCCTGCCGCTAGATGGGCAAATCGAGGATAACGCGATGGAGGGTCGAGAGTTGGGTGAGACTGTCGACACCTCCGAGGACCAGGAAACTGCACAGCAGCTTCAGGATCGCCTGGAGGAACGATTCCTGAACGCGGCTACCCCATGCACCGAGTCCAGAACCGACGGCGAGGTCAATACCAGTCAGGTAATACTATTTACAAGCTAGCTAATCACTTGGCTCAGTATGACGATGACATTTAGCCGCTTCCGTACTTTGGGCCATCTGTCCTAAATTCTACTCTGGGTCACGGATGCCTCCAGCGTCAGTGCCGCTGACGTCAAGCTTCGAGAAAGAAGTCTACTGGCACGTAGTCTATTTATAGAAAAGTACGTACCAAGGTGTAGAGACATACGTGCTTAGTATTAGAGCGTAGAGTTGAAATTTTGTTGCGGTAGAGCAGCGAAGGGTATTGTCCACTTGGCGCTTGGCAAACGCAACCAGGCGCCTGGTCGTTTTACCTTTGACTTCCTCTATTTTCTTTGTTCCTTTGTTCATGGTATATTTAGCCGGGATAGTAGGTTTAGGTTCGCTGGCCCGAAAACGGGCCAGAAAATACCCACGTTCGGACCTACCGAACCGTGTATTTCATTGCATTGAACGTGCATCTGCATACGTGTATGCATGTGGAGAGATGGAGATAACAGCGGAATCGTGTCCGCAAATGCAAACGCAAACGAGGACGCCCCTTTAAACTTTCGCGGTGGCATTCATATAGGGATTACGTACGCGCAATCGGGATAGCGCGCCAAAAGAGCGAATGGAAAGGGTTGAGTAGTGTACGCGGTCGATAAACGAGAACGCTTGGATTTTTTTAGGTAGACTCTTCGGCGCTGGAGGAGCTACCGCTCCAGAGAGGAGCCCGGGGTTTGCCGCAGCGTCTACGAACGCAGGCCGGGAAGCTGCGCTCCCGTCTCAAGGGAATACACAGACCCCGCTTTGCGCTTCCCGAACGACAGAGAACGGAGAAGACGATAAAAACGGAGAAGACGATAAAAACGGAGAAGACGAAAACGACCAAGATGGAAAAGCCGAAGGTAGAGAAAAGATCGAAGATGGAGAGGTTCCGTTCCTCACTGCCGGACAGGCCAAGATTTTCACTTCCTGATCGACCCAAGTTCAATCTTCCGGATCGTCCAAAGTTCAATTTACCGGAACGCCCCAAGTTTCATATGCCTGAGAGGCCACGGTTTAATATTAAGAAGCCTAATATTCAACTTCCTGGCCTGAATCGCGCGTCCAGGTCACTTCGCGAACGACAACCTTCTGCCGAGTCGACTTCCGCTACCAAGAGGAATATATTCGACTTTTCTACCTATCCACGTATATTTGATAAGAAATCAAAGAGTCGTGGGGAGTACGCCACATCCTCGCCTAAGGATTCCCGTGCACAGTCGACGGAGAGTTCCACGTTTCCTCGTGCCAAGAAGGTCTCTATGAGTGCCAAATGGGCTCAGCGGATAGCAGATCTTAAGTTTGCTGATGATGAACCGGAAGCTGCTGCTCAGAGGTCTAAGCCTTGGAGGCACCCTTCCTTGGAGGAGCCTAGGCTTGCTTTAGGAAGGGACGAATCTTCTGTGGAGGAGCCTGAGAGACTTCCTTGGGAAGAGTCTGGGGAACATTCTGCAGGACGCCTTGAAGATGAAGATATCAGATACGAGGAGGATTCGGCAGAGGCAAGACATCCGAACTTACCTGGAATCGAGGAAGGTTACACAGTGCGTGCATCTGGTTTACGTGATCGTCCAATAGCGGATGAAGATTCTTTTGAGAGACCACCAGGTAATATCGATCCGAGGCTGTATGGAGATCAAGGTGTGAGACTTGCCTATGAAGATGAGCATGAGGATAACTTAGATATGCATGAAGAACTTAGTATTGAGGAGCATCATCCACGTGTTGAATCATTTGACAAACATGATTCTGTAGATGGTATGCATAAGAAACCTTATGGTGAAGTATTTCAACCTATAGATCCCAGGTCGTATGATCAACGTGTGCCCAGTGAGGAAGAGGAGGAACCGGTACCCGAGGAGTCCATTCATTCTGATAAGGAACAGCAGTCCAGTGGAAGTTCCTGTGACCGCAGACGTCGTGGAGTGATTGAAGAAATTGATTCTGATGAATTCTTCCTAAGGGAAAAGGGCATCAGTCAGGATGACATGAATGTCGGAAAGTATCTAGCTAGTGAAATCCGCGATGCCTTCAGGATACCAAGAGGCAACGCTCTGGCCGATGAGGATATGGATATAAATCCACCAACGCGTCCAACCCGTACACGTTCACTACGGAAACGCAAAGATGACTCCATAGAATCCTATAACACGGTACCACCAGCTAGACCTAAGAGAGATCGTCGCCGTAGCGAAGAATCCGATTATAGTGGATTCTTCCCTGAAAAGGGTGGTAGTATTTCCGGGTCTCGACACAGAATAATATATCAAACCGAGGCGATGCCCCGGTCGGTCGAGCCCCTAGACGACATTGTGGTAGTCAAACCAGCTAGAAGGAAATCAAGAACCTCGATGCGCAGCCAATCACAGCTACCATCAGAATCTTTGGCAACGCCAGATGTAACACCTCAGCCACCAACACCTCCTGTTGCACCACGCCGTAGGAAAAGAGGTCGTCGGGAGATAGAACCTGAACAGAAGGAGAAACAGGATGTAGCGTTATGCAATGGACACGAGGATTGGGCTGAAGGACCGAGTTATCCTGTGGAAGGTGTAGATTATCCAGCTGAGGTAAAGTATTTACCTAATTCCTGAAGACCTTTTTAATTCCATTTCTGAGCAAAGAATTCTTGCAGAACCTGGTGATGCGTTTGGACCAGGCATACATGGAACCGGTGGTTGCTCCAGCTCCACCAGTCGCACCCAAGAGAGTGTCCAGATCCAGAGCTACTTCTGTAGCCGATGACGACCGCACGTCTAGGGGTGCAGAATCGTTACCAGAGATTGGATACTTGGAGGATGACATCCCTCAGGATACAAACGCTCGGGATCTTCCTGGATACGCTTCTGTTGAGAAGAAAGAAAAACCACCAAGACCACCACCGCCCAGGAGACGACGTGATAAATTTGCTACATCTCCAAGACCATCAGTACAATCCGCTCCTGCACGTCCTCAACGGGCATACAGTACCTTGGGTCCAGCTAGATCGCGCTCCTTGTCGGATACTCAATCGCAAAACCAATTAGATGTTACACCCTACACCGAATTAGATTCCGATGAAGATCACAAGGATCTCAGAAGTGGTGAGGTCCTTAGTAAAATTCAAGGTCGTCCTTTACCAGCACCTCCACGACCACCAAGAGCACGTAAGGAACACGGAAGCCTGGAGCAAACTACTACAATTTCTAACGGTGTCGGAGAGGTTTTTGCCAGTACACAGACAGATCCTCTTCCAGATGATCTTGTCATCGAAGAGGAAATTACGCAAGCCAAAATGATAATGGCGCCATCGAGATCCGGTTCACAGATTTTGGTCTCAACGGAACGTATACCAAGTCCTATTCAATCTACTACTACACCAGTGGTTCCACCACTTCCTCAAAATCTACGTGCAGAAATGAGTAGTCCTTCACCTTCATTGCCAATTCCTAGTGTTGATCCTGAAGAACGTTCTGAATCTCCAAAACCGGATGAAAGATCAAGAATTGCTCCATCTCCGACATTTACACCTGAACAAATTATCCGTTCGGTATTGTCGTCTGATGAACCTTTAAGGATCGGTAGTCTAGAAGTGGGAGATCTTAGAGTAGATCGATTGAGTGTCTCACAATTAGAGGCGCACAAAATTTCAGCATCTGAAATAGACGCCATTGTTGTTTCTGCATCAGAAATGTCTAATGCAGCAACAGCTGCAGAAAGCGGTATTCATCCCTCACTTCTAAGGGAACTCATAGCTATAAGAAGTCACTTAGAAACTGTAGCTATCTCACAAGCGCAAGAAAGAGACACTTTTACAGAGAGTGTAATACTTCAAAGAATTGAAGAAAGTGTAAAACCACCAGAAACTACTAATACAGATACAACTGTTGTCGAAAAATCTATAGTACCTGCATCATTAGTCGAAGGGACCGAAGAAGAAAAGTTGAAGGAAGAAACTGCAACGGAACCCAAAGTTGAAGGAACTAAGAAAGATGTGTCCGATGGAGCTATAGAAGTGCCAAGTGCACAAACAGAAGTCACTCCTGTTCCAGAACCAAAACCGGAAACGGAATCTAAACAAGAAGAAGTGGCAGAAAATACATCATTGTCTACTGCAACAGTACATGAAAAAGCAGAAATTCAATCTAAGCAAGTAATTCTTTCAAGTCAAACATTAGAAAATATATCATTAGAAACCTCACTAGAGCCAGAAAGTCAAACTTATGAGAAAAGAGACTTCGACTCAAAGGAACCCGTTCCAAGATCAAGATCAAGATCCCAATCAAGATCAAGGTCACCCTCTCCCGGAAGGGGGCCTCGTGCTGTTCGTCAAACTGCATCGCCAGTGAGATCACTTCCGCCGGTAATTTCAGTAACACCTGACACACCAGACAATACGCCAAGTCAGATAATTCACACAGAAGTCCAAGCACAACGTGCGATCATCTCATACTCTCATGATCCGGATGAGGAGTCCCAGACAGAGCGTTCCCAATCTCCGCTCAGATCGCTTCCACCTGGTACACAGTTCGTGGCTTTCCCAACCTCACAAATTCCAGCTAATTTCTTCTCATTGGCTTCGCCAAGTAGTTTTCACATTGAAACAGAGCCCACAATAGTGGATACGACCCATCAGCTTCTTCGGGCACTACGAGTCGCTGGTTCCAGGGCAATGAGGCACTTCGTGAGCTACATCGTATCTCGTATTGGTGGCGAAGAAACTGGCGAGAAGACGAGAGAAGTCGAGCTGGCACTTTGCGCCCTTCTACTTCTCATAGCCGGCTTATTAATTGTATGCTTTGGCAGTCCTCGTACTATAACACATCATCATCATTGGGATTACTTCAATCCTCCCCAATAACAAGTCAATACGGTACCATTACGAAGGTACCAGTCTGTATTCTATATACAGCTTCGTATTTATTTAATTTGTATCCCTGTCAGAGATTCGATGTAATATTATTTTATATAATGGTAATAGATTTCTACGATCGTTGTTGAGAATGCTTTCATTATTAATTAATATTATTGTTGAGAATCACATTTTAATAAACCTATCTATTATTTACACAGACAGGTCAAATACATGACAGACTTGTAAACCCTGAGTATTATTTTTTATTATTAACTTTTTGTGTATATTTCTCTCTCTTCCTTTCTTAAATTCTTATGTCTATTCACGAGGCAACGCGTATCCCTGGAAAATATATACTACTTAACTTCTTATTTCAAGAAGGATGAGAAAAGTAATCGCGCATTCTGAAGACCGACAATAGTATTTAACGGAGGCTTAAAATTTTAATCGTTAATCAATCATAGAATCTAAAATATAAGGGATACAAAATAAACTGATTTATTTAAAGTGTAAGAACCATTCACTGAAAAAGATCCTCTTCGTAAACCTTCAGATCCCGCCTATCTTTGTGTGCGCTCTTTTGAGAATAACTAGCTGCGATAGACGACCACACGGAACTTGACGTAGCATCGTTTATAGGATCTATTATAGGTTGTCGTCTTGCTAGAGACACTTTAAGCTGAATGGAAGATACCATACTGCCATCCATCTCGCTGATCGCCCTTTCCGCTGCCTCAGCTTTGTCAAAGGTGATAAAGCCTCGACTGAAATAAAAATTCGATATTTTGCAACTCTTAAAAAGGCACATAACAAAAATAATTGCTTTCTTAGGATTAAAATATTTCTCAAAGAAAATGATAATTAACATTAACTCACTTTTTCTCTACTTCCATAGATATATTAACTATCGAGCCAAACGTGTGAAAATGTTTCTTCAAGAAATCTTCTGATATTTTATATCCGCAAACAAATATTGTATTTCCCACTCGTGGTTTAATCTCTTGTTTTGTAGGCGTCTGTTTATCTGTTACGGTGCGATCTTCCTGTTCACGGGCACTGACGAAGCTATCATAGAGATCCTTTACTCTAGGTCTTGCTGCATCAGCCTCATCCTCTTCAGGCTGTGTCGCAGAAAAAGGTTGATACGAACATACAGTCTTTTCAGTACTGTTGAGTTTTCTCTCAAGACCTCGTGGTCTTTTAAATGACTGTTCAGGACGTTTTGGAGTCTTTGGTGCAGTAATAACGCCAGATTTGATTAATTTCTTTGCAACCTCTCGAGCATCCCTTGCTTCGGTAGGCCGCTTTGGTACTTGAGGTATTCTCTCTGGTTCTGGTTTTGGTGTCTTCAAGTCTTGCAGTGCTTTTTTCTTACATACAATAAAAGTATATTTATTACTTTAAAAACTTCACTTAAATACAAATTAAAATATATATAAAATATAGAACTTATACAACTATAAATAAAAAGGTATAAAAAAATGCTTTGATTATAAACTTTCTACTAAAATCATTAGCATCCCGTTAAGAAGTTCACATTCATTACAAATATTGTAAAATAAAAATCTGCATCCTAACCTAATATTAGTTCAGATATATCATAATAACAGATTTATAAGTGAAGTACCTTTCTCTTCAGTTTATTATATTTTGCTTGTAGCATCAACTCCTCTTCTGTCAGGTTTGACGGGAAATGTAAATACACCATATTTTGCATATAATAAATATTACAAAAATTATCTGCAACCTAATGCAACCTGATGTTAAACAACTGTTGTTCTTGAATCTCGAACACATGAGGAATTACAATATTCAATGTCAGAACGATATTTCGAGACATCATTAATACGATTCATACAGTAACATATTTCCTTTCCTTATAGCTGACTCCTCCAATGAGGTGTGCCAGTAACAAGTCATACAAGATCAAACAAGATCCCGCACAGCAGAGATGAGTGGGGAGATGCACAACGCTCCGGCAGAGATGCGTGGGGAGATGCCCAACGCTCCGGTTTTAGGCGATACCAAAAGCATGGCGCTAAATCGTAGCGGCGAGTCTGGAAGTAGGATTTAGTGATCATCGCCTCCGTCGATAATGCGGATCACGAACGTGTAGCTTGGCAAGCAGTGGCTCTTCGCTACTTACCGCTGGTTCCCGAAACGACACTTACAACGAGGCAGCTCAAAGAATATAGCCTAAATATTTATTTTCCTTACAATCCTAAGTTCGAGCGTAAAGTGTAAGCTCGGTTGTCATATGACAAAAGTCAGCAACTCATGCCTGCCTGCACTGAAGTGTATGATGCCACCAGTATACGGAATAGATATTTTACGGATATTGCGCAATAGAACTATTGTTACAACCTATCAGAAACTATAAAACCCCTCCGGAACTATTTAAAAAGCCTATTGTTGAATCTTTTTAAGAGATTTTAAAAAAGTGCGATGCTAGAGTGACACCCGTGTAGCACCTCAATTTGTGGAAAATTCGTGTTTTGACGATTTTACGTAGCAGAACTATTGTTAAAACCTATCGGAAATTATAGAACTCCTCGAAACTTTTGAAAAAGCCTACTGTTGTATCATTTTTAAGAGATTTTAAAAAAGTGCGGTGCTAGAGCTGATACCCGTGAAGCACCTCAATTTTTGGAAAATTCGTATTTTAATGATCTTACGTGGGTTCTACTGGCTCATTTTAATTCAGTATCGAAAAACTAACGTCAGATTCCTGATCAGCGCGCCAAAGTACGTAGGATAAGGTGCGCCTCAAGTCCCCGAGCACCTTCAAACTGTTAGGTTAGGTTATAAATCAACTTAGGTTAGAATGCCTTAGGTTAGAAATTGAGAAGGTTGAGGCTAAAACGAAAAAGTGCGGTGCTGAACCTGG